CACTTCAAAATTTAGAATACTTGTTAGTGACATATTCCATTTTCTTATTATTTTGAGGATAAAAAAGCGATGACATTGATGATGATAATGATGTAATTTTACGTTTTTTTTCTCTCTTACCTTTTTTAGACAAATAGAACATAATCAACTAAGATTTAATGCTTCTACTAAGCTTAACATTCCGAAAAAACTGCAAACCTTGTTAGTATATATTTTACAATTTATCTTCTTTTTGTTTATGAATATAGTGTGTATAATGTATAGTAAATGATAAATAACATCATATAATAGTTGGTAAGGAACGTATAGCATAGTGAAAAAATATATTAAATAAAGTAATATTGTAGGAAAAAACTAAGAATACATGCTCTTCGTTTCTTTATTATAAAACATAGTTCGTTTGTTAGTGTGTGCGTGTGCGTTGTTTGTTTGTATGTATGTATGGGTGTGTGTGTGTGTGTGTGTGTGTGTGTGTGTGTGTGTGTGTGTGTACATGCATCATTTCTCTCTTCATTCCTTATTTTTCCTCTCTACTGTAACTAATATAAAAACCTCCGCTTTAAAAGATATTTTTTAAAGAGTTTTCTCTTTTCATTATCTTTTTATTATATTCTCTTTTCCTAGACGTTCCTTTCCCTCATCTATACTCCTATCCTGCTTTCACACCTTAATCTAGAATATTTTCTTTTCTCTGTTCCTTCCATTTTTTTTTCTTTTCCATACACAGTGGAACCGACACCACTGACATTACTAACGTCTCTCTATCGCATTTTCACAATATATAGTTGTAGTCGATAATATCATAATGCTTCTTCTTCTTTCTGCACTTTTCTCCTCCCCTTCCTTTCGGCTTTAATTATATAAGAACAATATTTGCTCAGTCGGTTGCTTTTATAAACCTAACTAAATAACCACTACTAGGTCCCTACGATGGAATAAACTACAAGTTTTTGGTTCGTATATGCTACCTGATGAAAATCATCTGTCAACATTGTCAGTTTTGTATAAATTAAATTTCCTTCCTTATTCTAAATATTATTAATTATATGTTTTTTTTTAATGACCTTTTTCGTATTAGAAATCTTGAAAATAACCAAATTAAGACATTTAAAAGTGGATTAGCGCTAAAGGAATTGGTTGACTTGTAAGTAATTTGTACATTTGAATGCTATTCATTTTATAGAAGATGGAAACAAAATGCTTTTAGAAACTTGAAGAACAATGATATTAGGCAATTTGATGAGGGAACGTTTACAAATATGACAAAGCTGGAAGATCTGTTAGTATAAATATAAAAACAAATATCATCTTTTGAAAATAAAATCGTTTCTTCTTTTCAGTCATTTGTCTTACAATGAAAATTTATTTATACGACGTGGATTGTTGACACCTTTAAAGAAATTAAGGACTTTGTAACCTATTGCATAGTTTTTATCCTTTAAGAAGATTTTCTATGTATTTCTCTTCTTTTCCAGGGAATTGGAAGGAATTATTATTAATAATATTGCGACTGACTTGTTTCCAATGAGCAAACTTAAAAGAATGTTTGTTATATATATATATACAGTATAAAATATATATAATAATTAAAAATATCTCGAAATAGATCATTCAAGAAGTTCAAATACTGTCAATACGCCTACTTCGTTCCGAATTGCTCTCCAAAGTCAGACGGCATTTCAAGTTTAACGTAAGACTTAAATATTTATTATTCTTAATTGATAATGTAAATTTACTAACCAGGCATCTCCTTGGCTATACTATTCTTAGAGTATTCATATGGGTGATAGGCCTATTTACAGTTGTTGCTAATCTTCTAGTTTTAATAACAAGGATAAAGAATACGGAGAAGAACAAGACATCCGCTTTTATAATAAATCTATGCGGTAGGGAATATTCTTTTATAGATATAAAAGAAGAAGAGAAATATTTTACTCAATCTTTTATGTTTTTTTCCCTTTTTCTTTTCTCTTTTTTTTCTCTCTCTCTCTCTCTCTCTCTCAAAACAAAGTTGCCGATTCCATTATGGGCGTTTACCTGTTAATGATCGCAATATATGACGCCCATTTCGCTGGCGTATATAACAAACACTCTCTAACGTGGAAAAGAAGTATCGGATGCCAGTTTATCGGTTCTTTGTCTGTACTCTCTGCAATGGTAAGCACTCCTATTATTCTATTATTCGTTGTCTTACATCATGTAACATTAAACATGTTTAAGGAAATCTTTCTTCAAACAAACCAACAAACATAAATCCCAGCCTGAAATAGTCAAGGCTATCCATTACACTTATAAAATGCTTAATAATAAATAATATTTAATAAATGTATATTATTTATCTTTTCTCCATTTCCTTCTTAATAGATAAGTACTATACAGATATAAATAGTTAACAAACTATATAGTAGTCCGATATGCCTAGAATTTAATACATTTAGGAAAATGATTCTATAGGGTTAATAGTTGCAGGGTAAAATTTGATATATGAAAGGTTCATTTATCAAAAAGAATGATTTTATTACAGACTATAAGTAAAAAAAAAGAAATGAGAGAGAAATTCTAGAAAGAGAACGAGAGAAGATAAATGCTGTATAAAGAGTATATATTTCTAAGTGTAATGTTGACGAGATTTATAACAACAGATTAGAGTTTTAAAGGAGGATTTGTTGTTATATTAATAGTTAATCAATGAAAATATTCAATAATAAATGACAAGTCGATCAACTTTTATTACTTAAACAATAATAAACGAATTGTAAGTGAATACATAAATGTGTATTTTCTATATAAAAGCTACTCTTTGCATAATAATTATAGAGGTTGTTTGATAGAAAGACATTGAAGTAAGTAGTCTATTGAGGTTAAAAAACTTTAATTTAGAATATACTGTATATATATATATATTAGTACATACCGTATATATACTTCAACATAGTGAAGGGAAAAGCGGAAAAATTAAGCCTATATCATAACATGTTTGGCTTCGAAGATCCACTTAAGAGTAGGGATAGAAAATTTTATTTATATGGTATGTAACACCCTGTTTAAAAGACAAATGCATTAAATAAATGAGCCAACTATTTGTAAAATAACGCCTAGGTTATAAGTTCTTACGGTAATTGCACATTGTGACATTTATTTATTATTATAATGAACAGGTCTCTGGTTTCGTTTTAACCTTCATGTCGGTGGAGCGTTACAGCGTTATCTCAAATCCATTTAGAACAAGAAATTTAAATACCAAACAAACTTGGATTTTTCTTTTATGCCTGTGGCTGATTGGTCTCTTCCTCTCCGCATTACCTGTAACTATTACAACGAAATTTGGCCCCGAAGGATTCTATGGAAGTAACGGAATGTGTCTCCCATTATATATTTATGAACCTTGGAGAACTGGTTGGCAGTACTCGGCCTTTCTCTTCCTCGGTATAAATGTTACAGCAGTTCTCCTCGTATCTGTTTCATACGCCAAAATGTTCACAAGCGTTCGAAGAACTAGGCAAAGATCAGCCGAAAACAAGTGGCAAGACGAGGACGCCGCTTTAGCTGCAAGATGTTTCCTTATTGTATTTACGAATGTCCTCTGTTGGACGCCTATATTTATAGTAAAAATTCTAGGCCTAAGCGAAGTAAAAGTTGGCGGTAAGATTCTATATATATTTATATTAGTAAATATGCTTTTTTTTATCAGTTTACCGTAGAAACAGCACTTTCCTACTATTATTAAAACTTGGTGTAATTTTTCTGGTAATTTATTGTTTGATTAAGTAATTTTACACCTGAAGTGTCAAAGACGGTGCAAATTTTCATCGGAATGCCCAAATATAATTAACAGTAGTAGTTGTGAGAGAAATTTTATGGATATTCTATTTTTAAAGCGTATTGTAAAAGCTTTCTGGTCCGTTAATATGCTCCTCTAATGTATTCTGTAGGCTCCAATTAATGGAGTAAAAGTAGGGTGAAAATTACTTGATACTGAAAAGTTAATCTACATATGAAATATATTTAAACTTTCTCGTTGATAGGCTTTCATTAGGATTTGCCCTCTAGCTCTTTTCTTCTTTTTTCATTAAATGCATACGTCGTCCTATGTTTCTTTCCTAACGTTATTCATTTGTTTTTTTTTTTCCCCTTTTTTTTTTACTGGTACCTTCAGCTACAACTCATGCTTGGTTGATTATATTTGTACTGCCAATAAATAGTGCCATAAACCCGATCCTATATTCTCTGGCGTCTCCACAATTTCAGAAGCCATTCAAGCGTTTTCTTGCGTCAAATAATTTACTACGGACCTTGTGCACAAAGTGTATTAAGTTCGACGGTTAGTTTGCCTATTTTGCTTAATTTCCTGTATAATAATCAATTTTCCATTCCTTCCAATTTTCTTATTTTAGAAGAGAATTTGGCAACTAAAGAAACTCAATCTTTTCTCCATTCCCAAATGAATGTTAGTCGTTACCGGAAATATATTATTATAACAAGATATTTTTTAAAAAGTTCTACTCAATCATTAAGAGAAAGAAACCAAATTTTTCATTTTACATTTCATATTTAAATTAGATAACTAACGATATTCTTTAACCATTGTTGAGAAGTCACCTTTCTCAACTAACAATAGCTTGTTTTTGACAAAAAAAAGAGTAAAACCACTTTTGTAACTTGTACTAAAAACATGCTGAATATACTTTCCTTTGACTAGGGAAACCAGTTCAAATATTAACTTTTCATAACCGTTTATAGATAGATTGTCCTATCTCTATTTTCAATTGGCTTTTTAATAACAACTACAACAACAACAACAAGTCTTAGTCATATTCATTTAACTCTATTATTTTTGTATTAAAAAAAAGAAAAGAACAACACACCTTAAAAGTTTTTAACTCTCCCTCTATTTCACCAACGAACAATATGCAAGAAATTTGAGAAAATATAAACTAGATTGATTTATATTATATAAATATATATATATATATATATATATTTATATTTATCTATAACTTTGCCATTTTTATAAATTATAAATAGTCTAAATAGAAAAATCAAACAAGCCTAATAAGAAAAAAGTAGATTGCTTTAAGAGAACAATTGAAAATTTTGCATCAGTATAATTTAGAAAAGACAAGTAAAATATTATAATCATAACTTCTCAATTATGTTTATAATTATTATTGAATATTCCTTCCCCGTCATTTCCGGTTACGATGTAAATAGACTCAAATTTCACATGCTGATGGATTATCTTTGAAAGATGGTATGGAAATGAAGAGAATATTTTGAAAAAACTTGCTTGCTGATAAATATTTGAAATTTACTGAATCATCTAAGCATTTGTTAAGTCTCGGTGTCAGTGTTCTTACAGATAGACAAAAAAAAATAAATTTTGAAAAAAATTTCCTTCTTGAGGCAAACTGAAATTCTATTTACAGGAATAGTTGATCAAGCAGTGTGATATATACATTAATAACGTAATAAAACATGCATACCACAAGTTTCTTACATTTTGCAGGCTTAGAATAAAAAAAGAACAAACAAATTTCCTAGGGTGTATTAAAATTATTATGCTTTTTAAAGGGTATTCCTTTTAAGCTTTTCCTTCTTAGCTCAGTTTTGCAACTTCTTTTATGCTCTGTTTTATATTTTGGAGGGTTAATGTAATCTGTTAATCTGATTTTTTTTAGACAGGAACCTGAGGTTCAATAACCCTGTATGAAAAGTGTCAGAAAAGAAGTATCTCAAAACAAAAAAATACGAAATCGTATTTACATCACTAACCGGCAAAATTTGCATAAAACATCAAAATATACATATCATCACCATTGATTTATGGCAAAAGTTTGATAATTTGCAGGATTAGCGTCAGTTGAAAAAATGACAAGGAAAAAAAATAAAAATTGCCTAAGTCATCTTTACTCCAAGTAACTTTCTGACGTGTTCATAGACCACGTATGAAATGCCAACAGCTGGTAAAACTTTCATTAAGTTTGGAGTAATTCCTCCATACAATCCTTTCAAACCTGCTTCTTGTATAATACTCCTAATAAGTGTTAAAGTCCTTGTTTTCTTTGGATCTGTGTTATAACTCTGAAGGCGAGTTCTTACTAAAGCCAAAGGATAAGAAGCTAATTGTCCACATGTTGAAGATAGCATTCCACATGACAACAGAACAATAATTCCAGGATCTTGATTTCTTGTTTTCCTCATGTACAGTCGTTTTAAAGTCTCGTAGACAGCCAAATCTATTCCAGCATAAGGTATTATTCCTATCAGGTTCGGTATATAACCCCTATAAAATGACACTAAACCACCATGACATCTGATATCTCTAACACAATCTGTGACTCCATTGAACTGTCCTGTCTTCCTCAAAGCTAATCTGGTTTTAACAACCTCCAACGGATATATAGCCGATTGGGATATAGCGCCAGCAGCAGATCCTGCCATAAAGCGTTCAAATACTCTTAACTCTCTATCATTGTTATCTTTAAGCAGCCTCTTTATTTGCTCATACGCCATGAATTTAATAGCAGTTTCAGGAGCAATTTTCACCACATTTATTCCATTTCCTCTCCAAAGCGATAGCCATCCACCTTCACTGAGCATATAATTTAAACCGGCGGTAATACCCATACGACTATTCACTTGAAGAAAAACTTTTAATCGGTCCAAAGGTGCAGTACACGTTCGGGAAACTCCCCCCGCCGCTGCTCCAGCTACCAAATGTCTCCACCACATTCCTGATTCGATTTCGCCCCTCGTAAAATCATCAGGGACAGAGACACTTTCACCAAGATCCATAATTGAGGCATGACGCCAATAGTGTACTAGGTCAAATATATCTTTAGCCGGATGAAGCAAGAGAAAATCCCGCCATTCAGCATATGATATTAATAACGTTTCATCACGATCCATCTGTCTTATCATCGCCTCCGCTTCCCCTCGTGAAATGTCCACTCCCAACCTGTGAAAGGCGAGAACAACTTCCTCCAAATCAAGTACTCCTATAAAACACGACTTTGTATTACAAAGATGTCCACTGATTATAGTGTGCAAGGTATAAAGTTAAGACTAATTATTAAGGCAAAAATACAATCGGCCAGTCGTGCACTTAACAATATCTATCAGATAAGAAAATATTTGTACCTTTCGTCAACGGGAAAGTAACGAACAATGACACTGTACTTCTCTTAAATGTATATTACATTCATTATTATTCAAAATACTATGTATTGCGCAGTTAATGCGTAAGCTACAGATTTGATGTTTTGATATAGTAAATTGTCGTAAATATAGTTCTTTTCTATTTACACATGAATACTTCGTCATACAACCACAATAATATTCAAGTTCAATAAATAATTCACAACACGTGGAAAAATTTTAGCTTTTTAATCGAATTCTATTAATAATAGCATAATAAGGTTATGAATTTGTCTCAAAATTGTGCAATAAAAAGTTATTATTTTCTGCTGACCAATGATATTCATTCATTGTTCAAGATAATCAATTTAATAACAAATTTTACTTTTATGAGTCACTACATGATTATTTTTATGATTTCTAGAACAATGTATTAGACTCAACTAAAATTTACTTCTTTCTACGCAGTATTAATAACAAAATAACAAAAGTGCGTCAAAAATTGAAGCAAATTCCAAAAATTAAAGTTCAAAATTCCATCTCATTTTTGATGTATCATTTAACGGACACTGTCTCTTCTCTTTCTAGACAACCTAGTTCAGTTTTGTGAATCAAATTTTACGATTGAGAGAAATTACGTTCTAAATAAAGGTCAATGGCCATATTGAAAGTAATGTTACTTTTAGACTATTGATTTTCTATTAAGTATTATATTTACGGTTAAGGAGTGCAATAGTAAGATTAGGCCTTCAAAAATTGTGAAATATTTCAATAATTTGTTATAAATCAATAATATTTTCAAAATGAAGTTTGTATACTTAAATATTTCAAGCAAAAAAATCTCTATATTTCAAACAATGCCCATATGTTAACGTAAAAAAAACCTATGATGTATTATAAATTTAAATAGTTCTTACCATCTCTGTTGTGGTCTAATTTTCCAAATGAGAGGCGTAAAATTTTTTCATGGTCAATGACAAACTGAACAAAATCGCAAAATTCTATATGGCCATCTTTATTTTTGTCGTAGGAGTCGAAAAAAGTCTGAATAAATTGGTAAAAAAAAACATTACATTAAAGATTGTGTAATCAATGTCTTTTCTGAGCTAAGAGTTTACTTAATTATTATAGGGCTCTGCAAAGAAACTCTATAAATACAATAGCCTTGGAACAGGTGTAAAAGAACATACTTGAACTTGTCCTGGAACGTGAAATCCTTGATATTTATGTAAAGCAGTCGTTAAATCAGTTATATTTATGCGACCGTCGCCATCTATATCTAGTTTATCAAATAGTATTGCAATACGTGCTTCGTCTTCGTTACTCAGTTCACCAGAAAAAGTTTTATGCATTATATAAACCTCAAAATTTCATTTATTTGAAATATTCATGCATTATCGCACTCCCCGTCTTCGCCATATTGGAATTGAGATCGAGACAAGCAAAACATAAAATTATTTGATGGAAACGGGTAATCCTCAATGTTTGAGTACGCATAGCGCATGCGTGCTCGAAATTGGTTTTGCCGCTTTTTTAAATTAAAACACAAAAACTTGTTGTATAATGCCTCAAAAACGCAGAAGCAATGGTCAAAATATCGAAAAATCAGATCAAAACGAAGACACGGAATTGTTCTTGACAGCCTTCGGAAGTAAGATCTTGTAATTCGCTATATCTTATGTTATCGCTCCTATAAATTTAGATCCAACGCAAATTTATCGTTACCTGGCAAATAGACACCTTCACAATGTGAGTTTAAGTATAAGAAACAATAATTAATTATTCATATCTGAACAAATTTTAGCCTATATTTTTACATCGAACTTTAAGCTACATGAAAGGAAGATGTTTAAGATCTAAAAATAAGTAAGATAACAATATTAATCAAATTAAATTATGGTTTAAAAAGTTTTTATTCTTCTAGACGTTCGCTAAAAGAAATTACCAAACAGCTACTTTCCAAAGCCACAAAATTAGTCAACGAAAATTATTTAAATATAACCTTTACAAATTTTAAAGATGGCTGTGAGTATAGAATATTGATGGTTATAAGTGAAATAAAGAAAATTCTAATTTTAGCGAAACGATCAAACAAGGATGTAGAAATAAAGATATCAATTCTGAAACTTAAGAACTCTAAGAGAAAGGTTTATGACTAAAATTACATATTAGACTGTTTTTTTAACGAAGTTTGCCTATTTTAGACATCAGATAGATCATTTCATCAAGTAACCAACTCTGATGTAGGGATAGTCACTCTGTGTAAGAAAGATGCTTCATCAGCTATTTCTATTTCTGCGGAGGAGTTTACAAAAAATAACTCTTTCACTTTAATGCTCATAGTTCGTAGTAAAAAAAATGATGGAAGTTCTGTTGAAGAATCTAGTGAATATTCTGGTTTGTGTATAAATTTTATTCTACTCCATAAAACATCTAAGTTATAAAAAATTTATAGATTCTGGTGATAAGAGACGATTGAGAAGTCAAGTTCAAAATCATGATGATCATGATGATCGCTTTTACTCGGCCAATTATTTTGCAACTCTTGAAGTGTTCAATAATAGACGAAATTGCCTTTTAGAAGACGGTTACTATGAAGTATTACTTAAACACCCTAAACATTCAGACATAGTGGACATAGACAAAACAGAAATTGCAGAGTCTTTAAAAAAAAATGCCTCTTGGCAATCTGTTGGTGATGGTCGTCGAATAGAAGCTTTTGAGATGAGTAATCATCAACCTACAATTTCCTTCAGAGTACAGTGGTCAAATGATTCAGAAATGACAAATAGAAGTTCCCCAATTACCCGACAACATAAATTAAATGGAGCACTTAGTATAAAAGAACAAAAGAAACTATCAACTTTGAATAATCATTTGCATTCTTCGACATCAAAGAAGATTTTTTATCAATTTATGTATACAGACTCAACAAGACAACACACCGAAAGCGGAGATAACTTGAATTGTCCTTGGTGTCATGTTAAATGTCCGTCAATGTACTCCCTATTAAAGCATCTCCGTTTATGTCATCCAAGATTTCTATTTACTTTTACAGACAATCCTAAAGGAGCAAAAATTGATGTTGTTATAAATCATTGTTATGACGCCTACTTGGAAATAGGTTCAGTGATTGATATTCACTCTAATACCGGAATAAGTCGAAGTCGGTTTGGTCCAACTAAAAAAAAACCAACGACATCTTTACTCGTCGCTGGACCCAACAATCCACCATATCAAATGTCTGAATTTTTTGATAGGGATGTTGATAATTGCCGTCGATTAGTCGACGTTGTTGGTCATAATAGATTATATTATCATTCTGCAACCTGCCGTCCAATTGATGAACAAGAGGCTGATGTTGATTCTGAGGAGGAGAACGACCCTCAATGGTTAAGACATAAGATGCAAAAAATGATAAGCGATTTCTCAGATGTTAACGAAGACGAAAAGAAAATGATGATGTTATGGAATACGCATATGATGCCAGGTAAGTATACAAGCGATAGTTCAATGGTTCAAGCCTGTGAAGATTTAATAAGAAAAAATATATTTGAGCTCATACCCATTCAACGTAATTTCATTCTGCATCTATCAAATATGTATGATTTTGGTTTGTTGGATGGTGAAAAGGTCAGGTCGATAATGAAAATATTCTCTGAATTAAAAAAGGATTACATGAAACCTCCTGAACCTAAGCGAAGAAGGAGTTGTTTTTCTCCATCTAAATTTTACTCAAAAAACTCTCAATAACTTCTTAGGCAATTGAAAGTGTCTTACGTAAGTTTTTTTTCTCTCCACTGTCTTCGAACTTTTGTTTGAATATATTTTTATTCTATTTTTCGTAGGAAAAGTTTTATTTTTATATTTCTATAGTTAATTTAAAATTCTTCTCTCTCACCAAAGTTAAACAGTTCTTTTCAAGCCCGAATAATATTGATAAGTCTTTTCATACTTTTCCGTTCAACAGGTTTACTAATTTAACTAAGCTTATTGCATTCTTTACATTCTTCTTTTCCAAGTCTTTGAACTGACGCAGATATGAACCCCGAATTATGGTCACGTGACTATGACCAAAAAAGTTACCAATTTGAATTTCAAACGCTAACTCTATGCAATGGTATATTTAACACTGAGTTTCAATATTTGAGATTCGAAATTAATTGAAGCCAAAGCAGGAAACGATATTTAATTAAGCCCCAAAGATATATGAATATTTTGCTTTGCAAACAGAAAACTGGTAACCGGTAAATTGAACTTTCGATATGCTCCGACTTTTCCGAAATTCATCGCGTATAATCCTCAATGGGTCATTCTCTCCAAAGAGATTTAGCCATACCGTAAAGTTTGAGGATAATGACTTCAATTTGAAATATTTAAACAATGAATACGAGGGTATTGCCGTCTTTGGAATGACAAGAGCAAAGGCTAAAAATGCCTTTAGCCGAAATATGCTAAAACAATTTCAAGATGCTGTTGAAACAGTCAAACATGATACAGCAATAAGGGTTGTCATAGTAAGAAGTGAAATACCCGGAATATTTTGTGCAGGGGCTGATCTAAAAGAGAGAGCTAAAATGGCTCCCGAAGAGGTCAGTCATCGTCAATTAGCAGTAGCTATTTAATTTTATATAATCTATTTATAATTCATTAGCAATCTTTAATTTAAATTTGAATACTTTCTTTTAACATTCCAATTCTTAATAAGCTATACAAATACAAAGATAAAAGAAAGTTTAACTATTTAACAGGTTGGCCCTTTCGTCTCAAAATTACGCTTTTTAATAAGCGAAATGGACAATCTACCTGTTCCAACGATTGCAGCCATAGATGGTGCTGCCCTCGGAGGCGGTTTAGAAATGTCTCTATCATGCGATATGCGAGTGGCCTCCTCATCAGCTAAAATGGGCTTAGTTGAAACGAAATTGGCAATCATACCTGGGGGTGGCGGAACCCAAAAGCTTCCCAGAGTAATTGGCGTATCCAAGGCAAAAGAGTTAATATATACCGCCAGAGTCCTAGATGGAAAACAGGCCGAAGAAATTGGTTTGGTAAATCACTGCGTGCCGCAGAACGAAATCGGCGATGCAGCTTACAACAGGTCTCTTGAATTAGCTAAAGAAATTCTACCTCAAGGACCTATAGCTGTTAGAATGGCGAAGCAAGCTATTTCTAAGGGAAGCGAAGTAGATTTACAAACTGGCCTTTCAATCGAACAATACTGTTACGGTTTAATAGTACCGACAAAAGATAGAATTGAGGGTTTGACTGCTTTCCGAGAGAAGCGCGCGCCCGTATATAAGGGACATTAGAAAAGTTTGGGAAATTTATTTGACACCGTCAACGATTAAGATGAGATCGATAAACGTTAATTATCTAATATTTTAATTTCTCCCTATTAAATGATAAAGAATCGGTTGATTAACAACTTTCTAGAAAGTAATTTCTTATTTTTCCATAGTTAATGGACAATTATTCATAGAGAGAAATCTTATTATAGAAACGAGGCACTTAAGTATTCTATTAAAGCACAATACGCCTGAAAATTGCCACTTCATGTAAATCTAAATAATAATTTAACAGTGTTTTTCCTCCTGTAACAAGTTCATTTCTTAATTTATCTTGCCAATTACCTGACGGTAGGTAAATGTTTCGATATCGGCTATTTTCCATAATGATTGGGGCTATTAAGAGTTCATTACCAATTAAGAATTGATCCTCTACTCTAAGAGCTTTATCCTCGTTCGGCTCTAACCACCATATAGGTCTAATAATGGGGAAACCGTGACTTACACTTTCGGCAGCTGCCCTGAGAACAGCGGGAGTTATTAGAGTCTCGTGCAAGTGTATGGCGTCTTTGCCTATCTTTATAGTTTCATTGTCGTATTGCCAAGGAACGAATGAAAATTGCATGGCAGGTAGACAAGCTGTCAATAGCATCCAACGTATGAACAATTCTTTTGAAGGTAATTTTGTTGAACTAGTCCATTCATCCTGATTGCCGCTATAACCATTACCCCCGATCATATCTGGCAGGATGAAGGGGTAGCCAACAATACCGAATTGAAGGGCGTTTGGTATAAGAGAAGCGAGGCCATTATCAAAGCCCCAACTCGAATGTTTGTCGAACATTCTAACAAATATTCCAAACTTTTGGGATTGAAATCCGATTCTAGTCTCAATTTGACTGCCAAAACTGAAAACAAGTTGAGCATAATACGTGGCATAGGATGTTGGGTTGATTAATTGTCTATAGAAAACGGCGTTAGGTGGAACGTAATTAGCTTCTCCCGCATCGAATTTAAATGAATCTATATTGCTTTGGCTTCTAAACTTTTCCAAACGTTTTATAAACCATTTGGTTGCCTCTGGATTAGTTACATCCAATAAACCACCAAATCCTTGCCACCATTTGACTATTTCCGTTCGACCTCCAACATTCTTAACCCAATATCCTTTACTATCACCTTCTCTAAATGCTTCCGAGTCGTTATTTGCAAATGGAACTATCCAAGCAGTTACTCTGAAATTCATTGACTTTTTTATTTCATTTATAAAAGATGAAACGTTTGGAAATTTAACTGGATCAAAATCGAATTCTCCATAGAATGTAGAAAATTTGTCATCGATTTCAATCTGACTATTTGCCATTTCGTATCTATTTATATCTTCCGCTAACTCTTTGACGTCGTTAATATTAACGTTCATTTTATACTTTGCCCAAGTTGACCAAACCGGACTCTTAAACATTCTTTCGTCTGGCACTGATTGAGGTTTATCAAAGAATTTCTTAGACATTACTTTATGAACACTTTTCACATTATCACTCAAGCATATTGTATAGTCTAAAATAGACTTGACAGATGCTTGTGAGTCGCGCAAATAGGGTGCTTCAAAGGAGGATTTCAAGCACAATAAACCATTAGAATTGTCATTAAAGCCAACATGCAAAGGTATATCGGGCTGAACGTAAATTCCAGCACCTTTCGATGAAATCCAATACCTTTCTAACACTCCTCCGTATTCATAGTTTAGTTCGGCCGGTGCGAGAATATCTCCCGAAACGTAAGCTGTCATCCTATGTTTCTGTTTATTAATTGGCCAGTGTTGTTCATACACGGATGCACCCCCATACCAATAAGCTTTATTAATGTCAATACAGTCTTCGGGTATAAAATTACTGTTCAATGGTGTCCATTTTATGCGATAGCATCTTCCAGAATTATCCAATTGAGGTTCGATTTCTAGTCTACTCTCTCCAGTGAATTCTATACAATTCTTTGCTCCGTTGTCGTATAACTCGTCTGGACATGGATTTATTGATGCTAATACCTTTAAATTTCGCCCGAATTGACCTGATAATCGGACAATGGAATCATCAGTCTCGAAATTGAATTTCATAGAATCCCATTTTATATTCATGTCCTGGAATCGTGTAAAGCTATTGAGAGTCTTAGGACTTAATAGGCCGAACCAAATAGCTAAAGCTGTTGATAGTAAGCCAATTGTTGTTGTTAGCCTATTCATTGTCCTTTGTGTGCACACAGTTGGACTGAATCGTCTGAATATATAATCATATACCTGACAAAAAACCAAAGGGCAAATAATCAAATATTATCAAAATTATTATCATCTAATTCTGATAAATCAAAAAAAAAGGAAGAACTCATCAATAGATGGCGTTTGTGTTGTTTTCCTTGTAAAGTTTTGTGAATGGGAGACTTAACAGTGATTGTAGTAGACATATAGTGTGAACAAGTGAAAGAAAGAGGGACGTAGAGTAGGCCCTGTGAAGTTCTAAAATTACCAATGTTTCGCCAATTATGGGAAAGAAAATACGGGGTAAACTTTTAATAAAAGGGTCTCATAGTTTGTGTACAAAGAAGTAGAACTGGTTTCGCTATCAGAATGCGTTCTTTCGGCCGTAATTTCTCTAGAAAGGCGCGCTGTATTCGCGTTATTGAGAACTGAATAATTCATTCTAGGCCGATCGCTCGACGAAGCAAGAAAAGATTTATTTCGGAATGGACACTTTAAATCGAAATTCATGATTGCAATCATAAAAGGAAATCTAAGAATATGACAGGACGACGAAAATGGAAGTGGAGAGCATATTCAATAATATCTCTTATTTTAATTTATTATATTTTAACAATATTTTTATTAAATGGCAAGCAACCAAAGTTGAATGACAAAGATATTTCAACAATAACTTCTCCCAGGGAAACTGTTTCGTACCATAAACGATATGTCTTCCACACAAGGGATCGGTCAATAAAGGAGCAAGAATACGGGTATAATTTAACTGCTGGAGACTTGTTGCCCTTGAATAGAAGAATAATAGATACACGACCGCAAATTTGCCGAAATCGCACTTATAGGATCATGGACGATAATATAACAGTATCAATAATAATACCTTTTTATAACGAAGCCGTGTCAACATTAGTAAGAACAATCTATAGTATTCTAAATCGAACACCCGATCGGTTCTTGAAAGAAATCATTTTGATAGATGATAAAAGTTCGCATATAGGCTTATTTAAAAATTTAGAGGAGGAATTACAAAGACTTGGCCAGAGGCGAACTCTCGTCAAATTATTACAAATTTCTACACAACGACTCGGATTGATAAAGGCTAGGTTAAAGGGGGCAACGATGGCCAGAGGCAAAATTCTCGCCTTTCTGGATGCCCATACGGAGGTGAATGTTGGGTGGATAGAACCTCATTTGGATATACTTCAGTCAAATCATCAACTAGTCCTGCAGCCGTTTATAGATTCTATCGACTCCGATACAATGCAATATACGAATGCTAGACGCGTGTTTAAAGGGGCCTTTACCTGGGATTTAAGGTATTTCAGTTGCTAATAGGCGTATCGTATATAGTCAGTTTTTCTAGTTAGTTTAAGGTTTAAAAAAAGGATTGACGGAAAAACGTTGCATATTTATTGAACGTGCTAAAATTTTTAAATGTATTATTATCCTTTAATGAATTTAATTCCCATTAAAAAAGCAAACTCTTATTCAGATACGTATGGTTAAGGACACCCGAATACCTCGAAAACTTTGTGTTTAGTAGTGCTCAAGCTTTCGAAACACCTGTTCTAGTCGGTTGTGCTATTATTGTTCGAAAGGATTATTTTTTTAAGATTGGTTCTTTTGATTCCGGAATGAGCATTTGGGGTGGAGAGAACATCGACTTATCTTTTCGAACTTGGCTATGTGGAGGAGGAGCGATGATTGTTCCTTGTTCTAGGATTGGACATTTATTTCGTAATGTTCCCTATAAAGATTCCCAATTTCAAGTTAGATGGCAAACTAATTTACATAGAGTAGCCGACGTATGGTTGGATAGATTCGCCAAATTTTATTACGCTTCCGTATCATTCTATAACTATACAATAGAGAAGGATAGCTATTATAAAGAGACTATTAGAAAACGTTTCGATTTACGGAACAAATTGAACTGTAGGCCATTCGATTGGTTTCTTAAATATGTTTTTCCACAACTTCCGATTCCGGATTCTCATGTTTTACACATTGGTGAGATTAAAAGTCAGAAAAGCACAATGTGCTGGAGTGTGTTCGATAAATATGTAAGACTTCGTGAATGTTTCTACTATCAGATCGATCCTAATAATCAATTTATCCTTAAGTCAAATGGATTGTTGATGCATGGCGATAGATGTGTTATAATGAACTTGAAGCAACCCTTTCTATTATTAGACTCCTGTCCTGCTGGGTCGCCAGATGAGAAATACGGTATTTGGCATATGGAAATTAAATCGTATTCGTGGGGTTACTTAAAACTACGACTGAAAATCGGTCATTGGCCTGTTATTGAAAGATGCGCAATACAGGTAACAAGTGCCGGTCAATTTATGAAAGGTGCACAGATACCGCAAGTGCAAAAATGCTTGACGGTAGCCGAAGAGATTTGGAGCTTTACGAATCGTTTCGTTTATTGATCGGTCGTAGAATACTTGACAAGGAAAACACTTCAAGGTAAACCGTCAACAATTATATCGATCTGAAAAATGGATAAATAAACACTTGCTGTAATGCTCTTTCCCTTTTTACAACAAATCACTTTACCGTAGTCCATTCATCGAACTCTAATAAATTATCTGAATTCGAGTCAATAAGCGAATACAAAGTATCAACATCATCCTGATTTATAACACCATCACTGTTAAAATCTAGAGCGCCATGTACTTTTTCGGCTTCAGTTTGCGATCCGTAAGAACCAGTTGTCCAGAAGGTTGTAAATTCGTCTAATGTAACTGAACCATCGCCATTCGAATCCCAAGCTCTAAAAATCGTATTGAATTCGTCTCTATCGATTTTTTCGTCTTTATTCGCGTCGTAGCGCACGAACATAACACCCCAAGAAATAGCTCGTAGAAGCTAAACGGGATTTAGTTAAGTATTATTAATAAAGAAAATATTCTAAGTGCCTATCTGTCTATCTTATAAGGCGAATATCAACATACGCCGGGAAAGTTTGTTTTCCATTCTGCTTCGTTAACGAGTCCGCGACCCTCTTCGTCGCACCAAGCTGCAATAATGTTAGTATCACGTTCAGTAATCAACAATTCCGTTGCAGCATCCAAACTCAAAACTCGGAAATAAGCTCTGGTAACTTCGTCATTTACTTCAAAATCGTCTATTTAGGGAGAAGAAAAACAGAATTATAAAGAATAATAAGGAAACTTCCTTCACTCACTCATCCAATTATTGGTTCCCGATGTAAAATCTTGTTCATCAACCTCTAATTCGTATTGACTAGGTTCTAGGAAAAGATTTAGAAGACGAAAATAGAAAGAGCTTAAAAATACAAAACAAAATAGGACACAACCTTGTCTTTCGTATCTCTTGAAGAATTCCGTTATTTGATCATCAGATACATCTCCATTCGGATCTTTGTTCATCATATCCCAAAATTTAGATACAATCGGTCTATATATTAGGAAAAAATTACAACGTAATCCAGGGAATAAAAGAGGCTACCAGGTGTTGCAACTTTTATTCAACTACATATAAAAGCCTGGAGAAAGAGAAAGAGAGAGAGAGAGAGAGAGAGAGAGAGAAAGTTATAAAGAAAATACTCTCTTACCCATTCAATTCTCTAAACGCCGATGCAGACACAATAAGAGCAAAGAACGTTATAGCCAACATGATTATCAACGATGTGTTACCCTGTGTTATTATATTGAATAAATACTTAAGAAATAACGTTCAATTCATCCCAATACTAAGTTTCTTATATATATACTATATATATATATATATATATATATATAGATGCAAGGGGTGAAAGTATCTTTTTTATGCGAAGAAACAGTTGGTTCCAATACATGATGATAACATTTGCTTGCTTATCGAAATTAGGACATTTTTCAAGTGTTTTCGAAGTATTTTTTATTTATGATTAGGATAAGCGGTTAGAAAGATAACTAGCAGAGCTGATATTTCAATTAACAGTATATAGCATATTTAAACGAAAATAATAAAATATATGTCCGAAACGATAAAAGGAGTAAAAGCACAATTTAATGGACCAACAAGTAGAAACATCACGCTATAACCAACAAGATTTAGATTCTAGCCATCATAAATAGTCGTCCAATAAACTGATCTTTCAGAAACCTGTTATTTAAAAAAACAACTCAATTGTTATGGATAGGTTTTTACAACAATAACGAAATACTTTTTCGTACCTTTCACTTTCGGTTAGAAAAGTAGTAAAGTTTATTGAGTCTGTGCTTCTCTTATGGCTTTTAAGATTTTTTGCATTTTTTGTTCCGAATCTATGTAGCCATCGCCTCCCTATGATGAAGACACGTTTTTGTAAAATTATCTTAAGATTGTTACTAATTTGTATTTTGCTATTATTAAAAAATTAGTAAATTAATTATGACCTTCCTCGAATGCACAAGAACTCCGTTAACGGATACTTCTAAAAAGCCTGTCTTTTCTTGTGTTTCTTCGCAAGACTAAACAATTAAGAATAATTAAAAATTTCAAAAAAAATATTTCATTAAGTATCATTAACTAACAAATTCCAGTTCATCAGCAGAAAAGGTAGTTAATATATCCGCCCGAAGTCTTTCATACTTCGGGCGATAACCTCATACTCCGCTGTAAAATAGAAATATGGATGAATATTTCACAAAATCACTGCATTATCGTTCACTTACCAAAATAAAACAAAAATTTGTACAGTCTTAGTACTCATACTCGTATCAGTGTGACTCTAATATTAAAGACTAATTTACTTGCAATCTATTAATTAAAAATTAAGAGACATTGTAATATAAAAGACTAAGGTTATAAAAGAAAATAGAATATCACCTGATCCTGAAACCAGTTTAACTTAGTTTCCTGCAGCCCTTAGATACAAGGGATAACGCAATAACTAGAAATCGTTGTGATAAATATTTGTTATCGAAGAAAATGGCGAATTTCTGATGATTCAACATATATATATATACATTCTATTCTGATATTCGTTCTAATAAAAGATAAAAGAGAGAATTGATTTTTAGGAAGTTCTAAATGTAATAAGATTTGCTAAAGTTGACTAAAGCCGCTGTTTTTTAAATATATATATGTCATAGATCAACTTTCTCTTTTTTCTTTATTAAGTACTCTTAGTGAAAAATATTCTCAGATTTCCATTTCTAAATACGTCTAACGATAATACAGGAATACTAGAGACATAAACCACAAATTTATACTCAACTTTCTCTATTTATTCTTATTTCTTATTTCGTTTGTAAACATTAAAAAGCCAAATAAGAAAAACAAATAACTTTGTTCGGGGAAATGATAATTTAATATATACTTATCAAATAGATTAATTGCAGTGCATTTATTAGCAAATAGAAACACATGTAACGCTTTCTTTCGTACAAACTAAATACATGGGACAAGACGTATTAAACATTGGAATAAAATCAACAAACATAATTTTCAATAAATTTGTCTCAGAAGATAATGAAATAACTCTTTCTTTTAATAATTCGTATCAAACGACAAAATATTTTTAAAACAAAAAATTGTACAAAGCACCTTTGTTGACGATTTTTGTTCACAGTTTGAGAAACGCAGATATGTATGTTATATTTATTTACATATATACATTAAAATAATGTATATAGTAAGTATACACTTACATATTAAACTGTGCAAATTCGTTGCTAGCACGCATGTAAATGTATATCCGAATATAAATACGCTGCAGAATATTCAAATGTAAAATTATTCTTCTTTAAATCTTGAACACAATAGTTTCCTATAGCATTCACAATAAAAACGATTTCAACATCTCGATAAACCTTCGTCACCAATATCTATAGTTGTTGGTGAGCCCCTATATTCAGGCAGGGCAGAAGACGCTAATAAAAAAGGAGGTCCAGCCTCGCGATTTGGTTCGGGACGGCAATGTAACTATGGTTGATAATAAATCAGTTATAATTACAAATTCCTTTTACAAGGAGTAAATGTATAGTAATACTTACAGCTAATAAATTCCTAGGTACATATCCTTTTTTATTGCCATCTTTAACCCACCACCAGTCTTTTTCCTGATCATCACCTTTTCTTATCACAATTAGTTTTTGGTCTTCTTTCATATCAAGTTCATCTTCATGCTGAGCATCGTAATCAAAAGCAGCAAAAACCTCACCGTTATTAATTATTCCAAGTTTTTCCTGTAAATCTTTGAAAGGAAAATAAAAATAGTTTTTTTAGGCGACAGCACGAAATTCAATACCAACCATATAAATATTTACTGCAACCGTCAAAGTTATCTTCCTCTTGTTCACATTTATCAGCTGCTGTTTCTTGGTCACTAACCGTTGTGGCAAATACACAAGCCCCGTTTTCGACCAGAAATTTTACAATCGGTAAATTGTTACAGCTAGCAGCACAATGAAGAGGTGTCCAACCGTCACTATCAGGAGCATTAACGTTAGCTCCAAATTTAACAAGAAATTCGACAATTTCTAAATGACCAGCACAAATAGCATTGTGTAGAGCCGTTATTCCTTCATCGTTTGGAGCTGACACGTCAGGGACTTCCTTCGCCGATCGCATTACCAACTCTAGTTCGCCTTCTAAAGAAGCATCGAGAAGAAGTGCTAAAGGATCAAAAGACACACGACGAGACTTTGTACCGAATCCTCTAATACTTTTTAAATTTCCTCTTCGTCTACGTCTCAAATTTGAGTTGCTGACTATCATTTCCGGTTCACCTTCGTTAGGTTCTTCACATTCACTAGGAGAAACTGTCCCCGAGGACGTTCTTCGACGAGTAGCTTTATAATTTCCGTCTAATTGTTCTTGGGGTGAGGTATCATTATCAGATTTAGCAGAAGCCACTGGCTCCTCATTTAGGTGAGCAGAGACATTAATCTCTTCACTTTCGGAACTATTTTCTGACTTTTTCTCCTTTAACATGGTATAAAAATCACTGTATAACCGTTCTGTGTTTTGTTTGTAATTAGCTGCAGTAGAAGCTGTCAACTTGTTCATATAGGCATTAGCTATGACAGACCTTGGAGCAAAACGATTTCTATTAGAACTGATTGAAGAAGTCATCGGTGCTTGTTTAAGGACATCCAACGCATTTGTTAAAGTTACATCTTTTTCAATTTTACTCTCGGAAACATAACCAGACGAGCTTGTTTGATTGCTGGTTTGACTACCATGGCCATTTGAGTGATTTGAAGTTTGGCTGGCGCCGCTCGAGGCAGGCGATGGCGGGTCTCTACCATGAGGTTCGACTGAGTCGCTAAGCAATTTTCCAGTCGTAGCAGTTTCACTATTGGAGGGTTGATTAGTTGCAGTAATTAACTCACGGTCCCGATTCACCCTAAGTCGAGGAGCAGTCGGAGGAGGTTGTTTTGGAATTCTACCATTGCTTATAGGTGTAGATGTTTTAGGCGATGCAAAATCTGGAGACGGTTGAAGAGCATGTGGTGGCGAATTTTGTGGAAGTTTCCCAGCATATGGCTTTGGCACATACGCGGAAGAATTAGGTGAAAACCCGTTATGTTTTTTTTCTGTTTCATTGGTCAGTGGCAGAGATGAAACGCTTGTTTTTGTCATTCTTTGTTGGCCGGTAGGTGGTGTGTCAGTTTTAAGATTAGACATTGTTATTGTAGACGATGTTGATGATGACTTTACTTTTGTAGGACGAATACTATGTTTCTCATCGCCTTTAATTAAATTGGTGTTATTTTCAATCTTTTTCATAATAGGTTCCACTGCTGCAATGTTTGTTTGACTTTTCACTCGCTCTTTCGTCCTTTGATTTTGTGCTACCTTTTTTTTCTTTAATCTCTCCTATTCGTGGAAACACATTAATCCTTTGTAAATATAGTAATTTCAGTAAAAAAATTGAAACTACCTGCATTTCTTCTATTCTTTGGTCTAGAAAAGCCATTTCGTTCTTCTTAGTAGACAGCTCATTGCGTTTGCAGGCTAATTTAGCATTATTTTGTTCATTTAGTTTGTTCCGTAACTGTCGTAAAATGACACAACCATTAAATTTAATTTTCAAGAGATTATAGAGGTACAAATAGAAAATTCTCAACTCATGGTCCATTAAACAAATGTCATCGATTACAAAAAGGTTGGGTAAACATAAAAGGCTATGTTATTCAAGAAAAGACGCTAAAAATAGAAGAAACTATTTTGTAACTGTGAATAAATAGAAAGGCGATGAACCAATACAATTCATAAAGAAAATTTAACGGGTTATAAATCATTTTCATATATTCACATATATAGCAGGAATACGGCACTCTTTCGTAAATAATACTTCTATAACACTTTCTTTAACGAAACTTTATACCTTATCTCGTAATTGCGAAGAATTACAGCCCATTTTCTTTCCTTTTTGCAAAGTATAACAAAAAAGGATAAAGCTACAAAATTCTCTTTATCTCATCCAATCTAGTTTACTTTACAAAGACTTGAAAGTAAATGTTTGTTTCAAGTTATATCAGGAAAAGTAAATTGTTAACTTTCCAAATCCACTCCTTTTTAGTAAATATGCACTAAGAACACCAGAGCTTTTTACACCATGAGAAACATTCACGCCATATGTTCAACATTAGAGAATAAACCTAACAAACTCATCGGATAAATTGTTTGATTTGTTACTTAGACGAACGCCGGGCGTCATATGCGTCTATAACTACAAACGTTTCATGGTGGCAGCGCCACCAAGTCAACGTCCGATTATCTTTATTACAAGAACTTATTTTCATAGGATTTTGACAACTTTTGAAGCACGAACTTATAAAAAAAAAACCGAAATTATCAATCTCGCAACATTTTTTTAAATGACTTATGAAGTTATAGCACACTATCAAGAATATTTCTGACTGAACAATATACAAAGAGAAAAAAAAAACAAAAGGAAATTGTTACAAGGAAAGACCTACAAGAAGATACTTGAAGAATACTTACATGCAATTCCCGTTTTAGTTTTTCAATTTCCGATGAATATTCATTAGCGTTATGACTTCGTATTTGTTCAAGCTGTTTACTCATCTCTTCTACTTTTGCCACGGCTGCCATCAATTCTTTTTCTTTAGCAGAAAAAATAGATTTCATCCTTTCTAATTCTTCACCTAAAAATAGATGTGCAATGTCAATAACAAAGCATTTTTTAAAAGGAATAACATATAAATAGGATTAATTTAAATAGCTGAGAGTCGAAAAAAAACTTTTATATAGTTCATTTTACAAAGATGATAACAATCAGCAGCTCTTTTTAAATAAAAAGTCACCGACAGTTTACCATTATACTGAAAAAGTCTAGCACGCTGTGCATAAATTACAATACTCCACAGATGTTAAAACAGACGATATATAAACAATGTTTGCGTTTGTTTGGGTATAATTAACATGCAACTAAGCTGCTAATTAACGAAATGTAGATGAAAAACAACGCAAGTAAGAGATGCGAGAATTACAGCAGTTGAAAAAATACTTTAGAAAGGTTTCACTACTCATTTTAGATGATCTAAGCTCGTATTATTATAGCTAATTTATGCTAATATTGGGAGTACGCGTATTCTTGATTACTTACGTAATTTATCGTTTGTTGCTATTCGCTGGAGATGTTCTCCTTTCAAACCCTGAATCCTGCTTAACTTCTGTTCTTGTATTTCTATACGCTCTAATTGCTTTCTTCTTTCGGTATCTTCGTTTTGGTGCTTTCTTTGAAGGTATTCCTGTAACAATAAGTCAATTCGTTAGTTGAATATGCCTATCGCTTTTTCTTTATGCGATAATATCTCTGGAAATTATACAGCAGCGCGTGTCAAGTTATCTAAGAAAGAAGACACGTGCACATATGAAGAGCTATATTGTGTGTAATCTGTTTTAATATCATACGCAATAGTGTGACGCAACACGAGGAATTTAAAGGTTCGTTTACTTGATGAAAGTAACATTTTTGCAAGTTCAGGCGTGAACTGAAAGTGTTTCATTGAATTTGCATTGAAAACAATTCCTGACCTGTTGTCTCAAGTATTTTAGTCTTTGTTCTTTGGCAACAAGCATTTGCTGTTGAGTTTGTATTTGTTGTTCCTGCCTATCAGCCATCTGCTGGAGCTCATTTAACGACATCTCAACGGCAGTTCCGGGCGCCATCTGCGGAAGACAATTGTTAAAAATTGTTTATAAAATTCATATCAAGCGGAAAGATCACGAGACTTTTAAAGTTCGGCATTTCTTTTATCCAAAGGAAAAATAAAACTAAACATATGGTGCGTGTTGGATAGATAAGCAGGCGGAAAATAATATACCGTAGTGTTCTGTGATTTAAATCAGGCATGTATAGAATCAACGATTCGTGACCTTTTCAGAAACTAAGCATTGACAGACATCTTCGTCTACAATACCTCAAAGATATAGCAAATATGGAGAGAAAACAAAATAGATGCGCAATATTCGATTCACACTTCTAGTTTAGTTCAAACACTATCCTTTTTTTTTAAAAAAAACACATTCTGTCAGACTTCAATAGAATTAAGATGTAAAAAATAAGAATTAAAATAGAAACATAGTACTACAAAATTATTTATAGTAGAGAAAATGACGGTTCACCTATTTTCAAGTGCAATCGAACAAACATAAACATAATATGAACAGAATCAATAGTTCATTCGGGCTGTAAGCCGCTTAGTCAGTCAACAAAATACCTGACCAGCTTTCACATTTGCGGTCGACAATCATATTCTTGTCATTTAACAAGGTCTAGTATAATTTAAACCACAAAAATTTAAACCAATTAATATAAATATTTAAAATTGTAACTGAAGTACAACATGTAACAAACCCAATAGAAAAGAGAACTACCATTAGCAAAACTAACTGAAAATGAATAAGAATTTCGATTGAATCTGTCAAATTATCGATTTATTCCTTTTCAAATATCTATACCTACTCAATAGTTTTTACTGTATATCAATGGTATTATTGTTACTTGAAAATCCTTGGAAGGTTGATAAAATCATTGGTAAAGTCAGTTAGTTGTAAACAGTTTATCTTATTAAAGTTACCCGTTAACAGATTAATGATAAACATATTTAAGGTAATTGTGGCATATAACCTAAAGAGATGCATCAGACCGAAACCTAAAATGTCCGAATAATCAATGTCCTTCATTGAAATTGTCACATACCACCGTTCGTTTATTCTTTTCCTTGCCGACTTCCTTTTTTGTATGAATGGCATGGGGCGATATTACTGGCATTTTGGGAGCATTGATATTTTCAAGAGTATTTTCACCAGATAATTAAAAAGTACCTATTCAAGTGTTGCGAGTATGCAAGCTATACGCATAGAATTCAGAGGCGTAACAAACAAATTATATTTAAAAAAAGAGCATAATTAAACTAATCTCAGTCAGAACTATCCAACGGAAACAGAATAAGCAACATACAGATCAATTACTACAGTATGACCTGATCTACAGTTAATTTATAATAAAACACTGATTTAAAATGACAATAATACTTTAAGATTAAATTAATCATGAGTTTTTATTATTCTATTTGCTCACCCAATTACGAAAATCCCCGGTATTTCTCATCCGTTTCCAATCCTGTTCATCAGTGATTTGAACGCTTTGTCTATTTACCAATTATCTTTCAGCGGTTGATTACAATTATACTCATTTTTTGACAATTGGATGAATATTGATTAATGATTATTCAGCGGAAGTAGGATTAACCGATGAAAATAATCCAGAAATCGAGATTACAGCATAAACATACACTCTATTCGCTCGTAGGTAAAAGAATGGCGGTGGCGGCGGCAGCTGTTTACAATCAACGCACCTGAGGGGCTCCTTTTGGGTGACACTATCTTACCAATAAGTTAATTGACCTACTAAAACTCCCAAAATTGCCCCAGCATTTACATACACAGCGAATTTAAAATCTTTAGGGAGACGTACGATTATTCACCGGAAATCGATTGAACGTACGTTGACACAATGCTCTTACCATAAACGGTGTTTTAATAACAAATGGAACGTGTAAACTGTCAAGCATTTCAAGTTGATGATCAAGCTGTGAGGAGCCCGGGAAACGCTTGCCTTACGTATATACTGACATAAGGAACCTAAACACATACGATGTAAAGGTCGTAAGGTTTCGCAGTAAGATTATAATTAAAAAATAAATTTTCTACACCAAAAGATTATAACAAATGATTGAATTTTCATTCCCAGCATATTCTTTTATACAGTTAAGGAGTAAGTATGTTGCAACGTATAATGCAATTAAAATCACCTCACGTAGGAGAAATTTACCATGCGTTAAATGGAAACTAAATTAGAAACTTTAAAAGATAACAGAAACTTTTCCGTTAAAACGTACCGTAAGTTTGACACGTATTTAATTGCACACGAAACGACACTTAACAGAAACAAACTATGTAGATAAAAAGTTTGTACATACCACGACATTTTCGTATTCTTCCGCTTTCCACCTTCTCCTATCTGTTTTAATAGATTTTGAAAAAGGTAAGTCATCATATATATCCTTAATAGGTGTTGAAGAAATAACATTTTCTCCAAAATTGATTGTGGAATTATTTGAAATATCCTTCAGTGGAGGCCGATTGCGACATTTGCATACTTTAGAGCCAGTAACGGCTATTACGAAATCACCTCTCTTTATCCTATTCTCCATCTGACAATTGTCACGAAAGACGAACAGTTCAAGAATGATGGAAATAATACGTTGATCTTTGTGTTGTGTCCACCTTTCGTACCTCAACGCAAATACACCCAACGCGTTAATTTGTCAGTTTGGTTGGCACGAGTTAAACGAAATTTAAACAATGCTGCCAGACACCGTCACCTTGAAAGCAGTTGTTAATCCATCAAACAAGACCGACAATTATTCGGTAAGCTTAGTACGATTGAGTAAAACGGCCCGATTTCACTGTTGTCTCACAGCGTCCATGCAACGTTCTGAAAGCGTCGACAGGTGTCCGACTCAGGTACATGTCGTTCTAAAGCGCACCCGCCGCTTTTCATCGAACACGTGCCCCTATTCTTTCACGCAACTAGAAGCGTATAGCCTACCATTCAATACTCGGGAAAAGAGAATTCCTAATAGTTACCAGGCAGCCCTTGATAAGTATTGATTCCTTACAAATTCAGGAAAGAAAGATTCAACAAATCAATACACCTCATTGGTAAATTAGACGGCTGCTGCTATCCTCTAAGTTATTATTTCATTGGAAAATTTTTACTTTTTATGTTCGTGACCAAGCACTCAAAAAGTCTAAAAATATTCCTTTTTTACTTTGGTGTGATTTTTCCAAACTTTGAAATTTCCTCTTCTTTAAATTGTAATTGAAAAACTTCTTTGTTAGAGCAAATGGGCAATAACTTTTATCTTTTATCGTTTCGCTGAATATTCTCAATATTCCAGTTGAACAGAATGAAAAGAGTGAACATGCTTAAATGAACACCACTTTATAATTATTTAGCGCTTAAATTGGCCTTTTTTCTTTAACTAATAAACTTTTCTTGAACACATATCGCTTAGAAATTCTATTTGGGTCTTAATCAAAATATATTGACATTGAATGGACCAAAAAAGATCGAACCTTTTTACTTTATGTACCTATTACTGGAAAGTCGTTATGATATGAATAAACTTTCGATAGAACCTTATTTTGGACAAGTCAACATACAGAAAACTTGTTTTTTACAATTTTCGCGTGGGAAATGGAAAAATAGCTTTGTACTATTTTGATCTTATCCACTAACAAGGAAGGAAGTCTTTCTTTCATAACTAAATAGTTCAAAGGCTACTTAAGAATTCCTTATATAAATTTGCCGGTCAATTTTTACTAATAAATCAGTTAAATATTTTTCTCCTATCTCTTTAATCACAGTTTTTTTTTTTTTACATTGTAACCATCCACCTAAAGAAATCTTATCTCAAAAAATAACATATTCAGTGTTATTCATTTATCTAAAACAAATAATAAAAAATATATTTAAATAGCATAGTTTTAGGTTTTGATAATCGGTTTACATTTGAAATCAATAAACTGACAGAAGTAATTAAATGGGGGCAATTCCGAATTAGAGAAAGAAATCTGTTCAAACTGCAAGTAGCATTACAGTAAACACTAGTGAACGACTATTGTATGTAACCTATTAATTCTTTAAACTCTACTTTGTAATCGCCTTGAATTCCATATCCCGAGGTGAAAATATATCAATGGTATACAAGGTGAAAGAATATAGCTCCAGGCATTCTGAACGAACACATTTACCTTTTTAATTAAAATAAATTACGTGGAAGTTGCAAATGTCACAACCGCTTTTATCCGTTCAATTTTTACTTGATTACAAAATCTTTACGTAAAATAAATATGGGAAATACAAACCGTAACTCATGTTGATGGCAGAAAACACTGTTAATTAGAAACAACTCAATTTCAGTCACATATAGAGAAGTCCAATCAACTACCTAAGGGGAATACAAGAATAAAAAAAAAGTATAATGATTTTAGCCTGTGCCTTATGTTTTTACTCTATACGATACAATATTTTTGATTAGTCACTAAAGCTGATATAACCATCTCTGAATTTATACACCTTACAAACATTATGAATCATTATTACAAATAGATTTGATGTTTTTAAGAGCTTGTTTTTCAGTATACATTGAAACTCCCCTAATATCGCCCGATATTCGAGCGGAACAAATTGAAAGAAAATTTTTCTGCTTTTAAAAATTCCTATCAATTAAGGAAATATTTACTTATACATACATTCTTAATTGGCCAAATGCCAAATTTAAAATTGTCGATTGATAAAGCTTCACGAAATTAATAAAATTATCGCGTGTTTTGAATTGCAGCCGCCATTTTTACCCACAATACCTTGACTGGATATCATCTGAGTGATTGGAATAGAATTTTTTCTTAGTTTGTGGACTTTGCACAACGCACCTGTGTAATTTGGAATATGAGAGATAAGAAATTTGGCGGAAACGAAAGCATATATTCAAATAGTGTCTATAACAGAAAATTGATAATTTACTCTTGAAAAGAAAGCCATTTATATATTATTTAAAGAGTAACAATGAATTTTATTATACATTGTTAAGACATTAAATATTCTACTTTTTAACAATAAGAAATATTTTTATCTTATTAAAATTTCATTTCGCAATCTAAATAGAGTTATTATTTATAATAATGAAGAAATAGTCTATATCAAGGCGTATCCTAAAGACTATATAGCACAATCTGTAATTATATTAGTTTGCTAAGTTAACTTTTTAAATCCATTTAAACTATTACATATTTGATAATAGAGTGAAAATTCGCAAACGTTTACTTAATAGATTTAAATCATACAATAGGTAACTATCGTACAAAGAATGTGAGATTTTTTCCTTTGGTACTTCCTTTATTAACAAGTGTAAGACTTATATAATACAAATAAACGTATTCTTTAAAGTTAGGCCACATCAATTCGCAGCAATCTTTTATGTGACGGATGTCTTATATGCCATAAAAACAACTTTATAATGAATCTATCATAAAGCAACAAGAAAGAGTTAAAAAAATAACTTTTTTCAACATTTTTCACATATTTCAGTAGTGAAAAAAAAAGCAAGTTTTTATTGTCATATAATCCTATAAAGGAAGTTTTTCAACAGCTTAAATATAGGTATTTTATAATTATTTCCTCTTCTCCTTTTTCTTCGTCTACTTTATAATAGCTAGGTATTAACCAGCGAAAAAAAAGAAAAGAAAATACACATTAAACTATTCAATTAGATATTCTGTTCTTTAGTAAAAAGCCCTTTGAAAAAAATTAATATCTATATTTGGGACGCTTCTAATAGAAATATAAGTGTTTTTTTCTTTATATAATACTATTTAAATCACTACTGCTTTATCTTCATATATTTCTGTAACAGAAGTAGATGAATAAACAGTACAAAGAATTGAATATATTAATAATTTATTATGTCATTTTTCTTTTGTCTTATATTTACTCTTTAGATAATTAAAAGTTTAAATATAATCTTCAAATTTCTCTTTATTATATAAATATTAATATTTAATACATAATAATCTTAAAATGGACGAAGAGATAGTGTATACTCTTTTAAATATATATGGGGAATGAAAGAGAAGATAGAGAGAAAGAGAGAGAGAGAGTGAGTGGAGAGATTGTATCTGTTAAATTTTTTCTGTCATTTTATTGAAGTATATTTTTTGCTAAGCTAATGTAAATATTTTGTTTACTGACTTCCTTAGGCAATCAAACAATTCTATATGCGTCATACACGTTTTATTTAAATAAAATAAAATTACAAAAGATAACTTTATCCAATTGAACTAATTTAACAATAATTCATTAAAATAATTGAAAAGATAGCTGTATTTAATTTTATTAAATGCTTTAATGCTTTTAAGTTTATTATATAATAATTTTTCGTAACTCAAATGGCTTTTTTATAAGATTATTCTCATGGTTCTTATCGAATTATTGACGCGGGAGATGTTTATTATTTATTGAAATTGTACCAGTTTATTTTTCAACAGCTATTTTTTGCACGTAATCGATTTGACAAATTTCCTTTTTATTGGATTTAATTTAATGTTGATTCTTCTTTATATCCACTGAATAAGAGAGATGATATTTGTCGTTCTAACTGTCTAAGATCACTTTTCGGGTTAATTGGTAGAAGATAAAATGAACTTTGTAAATAATATGTCATCATTTCGTGTAAATCCTTTTATTTGAATTTTAAAAAAGCAAACAATTCAATTAATTCTTTTATTCTATTCACAGCCTAAGTTGATACGTAAATCGAATGGTATGATACTATGAATAGTTTGCCAGACTTAGCATATCCGTGTCAAAAGTGTGGTGGTGCTCAAAAGTTTGCAACTATTCAACTGCTCCAAAAGCACATTGAAACGCAGCATTCTATGCCCTACTATGTGAAATCTAACTCAAATCTATTAAGAAGGTCACAAGAAACGGTATATTATAGTATTTATATATGTCTATTAATGATTAATTAAACATTACTTGTGAAACAAAAAATCAAAATAATCTAGAATGAAAATAATACGGCATCTTCATCTATCGATAGACTATGCAATAGTAAAATTGGTTCTCCATCAACCTTTAACGTAGGTAAATTGGGTTTGAAGAGGAGTTATATATTTAAACCTGGTTCGAACCTAACTTCGGCTGATATAATGAAAGAATATAGGAAAAAATGGGACGAAACTGACGCTCTTCTAAAAAATCGATCTTACGATAAGTACGATATTCAAGTTTTATTCGAAATTTATGTTTTTATTAATCGACTAATATTTATTAATTAAAATTAATAGCAGAACAGAAAATTCAACGAAACCTTTTAGCGAAAGTTTAACACCCTCTAACGACTTTAAATCAGCAAGCTTGCTGCAGGCAACAAGCGAACCGAATGAAATGAATTATAATAATCTTAACCCTCATAGGCCATTTACTGAAGAAAAATACTTACATCAACCGAAAAAGAATCCTAGTATCACATCTGTTAAACCAACGACAATAGAACCAAATAGTATTCCAGACTTAAACGATAGATTATCAGGTCAAGCTTACAGACCTTCCCTTAATCAACATAAATCTACTGTAAATTCACGGAAGACCTATGATTTACCAGCTTATGTAAATTCACAGTTAGTTTATATATCTTAAATGTAAATAGCCTTTATTTAAAAAGAGCGATATTCTATAATTTTCCAGGGCGGCTCCTATCAATTATACCGCTGATTATATAACGCAAAAACATACTGCTTACGGGATAGAAAAAAAGCATTACAGTCCAGTCACAAATCCTTCTCAAGTCAATCTCAGGGGATCACACTTAATGTCCAACGAAACTCATCGTATGTTTCATTAATTCTTTTTATACTCTCTAAAACTCTTATTTATATGTTTATATCACACAGCTTCTCATTACTATCCTTATCAATCGCAACAATCGCAACAACCGCAACAACCGCAACAACACCATCAAGAACAACAACAACAGCAGCAACAGTTATTTATGCCACCTCTTCACTATCAGCAACAGCAGCAGCAACAACAACAGCAGCAACAACAACAGCAACAACATGTGCCGCAATTACACCAACAACAACAACAACCTCAGTTTCATCAACAGTATCAACAACCGTCCAGAAACTATAATCTATCCCGTCCATACGATACTTCTATTACAAAACCAACGACTAATTATGAAAGTGCAGTTGACGATCCAGATAATTGGAAAGATCAGAATATTCAGAGGAGAGCAACCAATCATCAGAAAGTTTGGAATAGACAAATGGATCAATTGTTGAACTCTGACGACGGTATTTTTGAATACGCTACACCTAGCATTCAGGGAATAGAGGCCCCAAACGGTCCATTTACATATGCTAGGCCCGTTTCGGTCGAGGTATTAATTTTTCAGATCATTGCTTTTTCAGTTAGACTGACTTGTTAGAGGTTTTTAGATCGAACATTCTAATAACAATGGAAATGAAGAAAAGGGAAGAACTGCTGATGAAACCCAACAGTATAGTTTATATCCCATCGAACCTCAAATACAAATACTAAATAGACCTCCAGAAGGAATATCTGATCCAAATAAGAGAAAAGATAATAAAGGAAAAGAAGGATCTAGAAGAACTTTACCACCAGAACCAGTTTCACAAGCCGTCATCCATCAGGTATTCTAGACTAGAGAATAAATACCAAAATCATAAACGAGATGTAAAATTACATGTTAATAATAGGTGAGAAGTGATGGCGAAACTAGAAAAATAATGGATCAGAACCAAGCTGCTGACCGGAAAAATCTCGTTCCGGAGAAAGACAATGTTTCAATAGGAAGGCATTTTGAGGCAGGAAGCGGGGATAGTCGTTCGAGGCCGACTGTCATTCCCTCTAACGAAATAAGTAGGATAAAAGCCCCAAATGTCAATCAGATAGAGGAAATGCAGGGTAAATGACGACATTTATATATTGAAATTAATTATTCGTGGAAATTCTTTTTTATTCTATTAACTTTATTAGATATCTCTCAAATTTGGTTTCAAGTTTTTCTCTATCTTGATCCAAGAACATTATGTACTGTTGCAAGAGTATGCAAATTATGGAATAGATTATCAAAGAATCCGTCCCTTTGGCGTAACGTCACAATAAGTAATACCATCGTATCAGTTCAGGTTTGTTCATTTATTTTAATTAGTTGTTTGTTTGTTTTTTTTTTTATTTTATTTTAAAAGCAAACTTAGATGACTTTCACTTTTTTCACTGTTTTTTTTTGTTTTCCCGCCATTAGTTGTTTGTTGTTTTATGTCTCTTTTTTATCTTTTACTAACAAAAAGCTTGATTATTTTAATTGCTTTTAAACAATTATAACAGTTTCTAATAAGAATGGCACAATGGTGTAACGAATTACAGAGTATAACGTTTGAAGGTAAGCTTTGATTAGTAGTTATGCAAATTTTTAATACAAGCTAGTCAATGTCAAATGGCTATTAATAACTTCTATTAAAAATACGTAATTTTGAAAGTTATTAGTGAATAAACAAAATCTTTTTTCTTTAAAAAAAAAACAAATAAACAAAAATATAGGTTTAAGAGGAAGGAGAAAACGTAGTAGTCAATCGGAGAAGGAATATAAGAAAGCAACTAGAGGTTATCTAGAAGTTGGTTTGGAACAAATTCTGAAATCTGCACAAACTAATCTTGTATCGCTAAGCATCATAAATTGCTGTAATTTATTTACAGAACGGTAAGAAGAGAAGATAATAATTAAATTCGTTTTTAAAAACAAAAGAACCTTTTTAGTTGCCTATGGTTGGCCAGTTGTTACGCTAGACACTTACGTCGGTTTACCTATATTAGTGATAGCGATCCGATAGGTCCTGAACCCATATACGCTTTAGGAGCTGGTTGTAGGAACTTGGAAAATCTTGTTGTACCTCCGATGTTTCCGAAGTACATTTTAATTTTAATGGCTATTTTATTGAATATAACTAATAATAAAAATCACACAATTACAGTGAGAAACCTCATAAAGTTGACAATAAGTGCGTTCAAATGATTGCCAAGTCTTTTGCTAACTTAAGATTTCTTTGTATTGGAGGTATTGAAGTAGATGTGAAAGGATTAGAATTTTTAGGTTGGTAATAAAAACAAAATAGATAAAAAAGAACTCCCTAAACAATTGCTATTTATGTCATATTAATTCTTTTATTATTATTACTATTATTAAACATTAGCTCGACATCTAAAGCATTTATCGATGCTAGAATTAGATCATATGAACGAAATAACTGCTGACACAGTAAAAGCTATGGTTGATGCTGGCCTTAAGGAATTAGAAAATATTGATTTTGCGTTTACACCTATTACGCCGAAAGCTATTCTTTATTTACATGGTTAAAATTCTTTTATTTCTTTGTTTTTTCTCCTTTAAAGATATTGTCTAAATGAATAACTATACTTATATTATAAATAGATGATATCAATGCCGAAAGATTTAGAGAAAAATCATTAATTTCTTTGTTTTTATTAATAGAAAATTGTCCTCGATTGAAGAAGATAAATATTCATATAGGAATATCCGATTATTATCAAGATGTTGAAAATCGCCAAAATCGTAAAGACTACGCTTTGATTATTAAAAAATTAGAGGTAAGATATTCTAATTTCTTTTATTATGCAATTCTCAATTTGATTATATTATCTTTTTTATTATTTAGGCTCTTAAGCTGAAGAAAGGTATAAAACAGAAACTATTTTTGAAGACAGACTACGGTTAATGATATAAGAGCTTTTCTCGTAATTTAATGGTTTAACACAGTTCTTCCGTCCAGATTATGTAAAGCATTGCTTTACTTTTTGTTTTTTCTTTCTTTCCTCGTAGCCAAATCTCCAAAGAATGAAGGAAATAAAATCTGCTATTTTGTCGTTCAACTATGAATTTTCCTTTTATAGTTATTTATATATGAAATATAATTTTCAAATTGACTTTTATAGTGTTCTTCCTTTCTTTATAAAAAAACAGTATGGAAGAAAATTACCAAAGTATCTAAAATGGTCATTAATTGCCATAATAAAATTAGTAAAATAATAATATAAAATGAAAGGATATTTAGTGATAGACGCTTTTATTGATAGAAACGTGCGATAAAAAAAGAATATGACAAATTAAATACTGCTATCAAATTTGTTTTTGTGTTAAAGTTATTTATATAGTAGAGGAAATTGAAATTTTATATGAAAATCGAAACAGAACGATGTCATTTATTTTCTAGTATAGCATAGAATTAAAAAAGAATATTTTGTTTAATGACATAAATTAAGCTCTAAGCTAGATAAAATGTTTTTATGAAATGGTACAATGACCTAATTATACGTCTTTTTTCCCACTTTACAAAACTTTAATGCCTTTCCCACAGTTAAAAAAATACGCAGTGTTAAAAAATAGTCAATATGATATCGGAAATCTTTTTATTTTTTGCTTCTTTCTTTTTATAGGATGTAATAAAAACTATAAGTCAATTAATGAGGTCAATTATTGTGTAAGTTTGTCCAAGTTAGCCTGAGCACACACAAACTTCGACAGTAGAGTTGCTACTTCAGGATTACTCCTTTTAACTTGAAGTTCAATTTGACAGCGAGATGCAGTATCAATGCAGCACATAACAAAGTTTTGTCTGAAAGAAATGACTAAAATATTAATAGCAAATTCTAATTTAAACGATTAATCACCTCTCATGATGCAACAAGCAGTTCGGATATGATAAGAAATAGTCAATCATCCATAAAATTGCCACAGACAGCCTTAGTTTCATTGGTTTTATTCTTGAATCCTATTGTTACAACATTTACTTTAAAAAATTATAGAAAAAAGCAGCATAAAAAATTTACCTTAGAATCGTAAAGGCGACTGTAAACATCGAATACTTTCAAAAGAGAAATTGGTACATGAATAACCAAGCTTTCACAGACGTAACAATCGTCAAAGTTATTTTCAGCAGACAACTCCTCTAAGATTGGTATTATAAAGTCTACAAAAAGTGAAAAATTGTTCGATTTACATTGGGTTCAAAATTTCCAATAAAGCGGTAGTTGTATTATACCTAAATTCAAAAATATATCGCTGTTTACATACACCCTGCATTGCTCTTGTAGCTTATATCTTAAGGCAGCCATTTTCGTCTCTCTTGGCTCATTACTTAGCGTTCCTAGTTCTATATTTAAGAATGAGAAAGTAAGTCAAGTTGCATGTGATATATTTATTCTTACCCTTTATAAACATTTCTTGCCAGAGGTTATTTATTTCAGCTTGATTATTATGACCGGCACAATGAAAGATAGCTAATTTACACTCTGTTAGATTTAGATTTTCGGCAATATCCGAATAAAGCTATATAATGATAACATTATTATTATAGAGTAGGTATTAAAATAATGTGCTTTGAGGAAATTACCGTCGTCAAATCAAGCAGCTGCGTATCCGCTATTTCCAAGATTTGATCGATCTTCGGATGATAATTTTTAGAATTTTTCATTTTATACAATAAATCAACAACTGTTAAGTGAAAGATAATTAATTATGAAGGATATTTAATAAAAAGTATAATACAGACTTTGCAACTGAAGAGTTGCTACTTCGAGTTTATCCTCCAGTTCGTTAATAAATTGACCAAGAGATTGGTCACTCTTAATTGTTCTACAGCATTTTGCTGCTAATTTTGCATTGGAAAGATACGACACTCTGTCTTTTAGCTTTAAATTTTTACTGAAAAAAATATGGTCAATATTTTCACAAAATATTAAAATAATAGTATAAACAGCTAGAACATACTTTTCTTTCTCAGCTAAAATGCTCAAAACACGAGCAGCCATTGAATAGTTTTGTTGTTTTTCGTAATATTTGGCTAAAGCCTCAACAACAGTAACGTTTTCCGGCTCCTTTATAGTTTTAGATTTAAGAAAATTTTCGAGGAAAGGAGAATCAATCTATTGATTAGCAAATATTAGTAAAAAAAATATTATATCGCAAAAATCCCTTACATCCAGTAGTTTTTCCATCATGCTATTGTCTATAATCCAAGAATACAGAGTATAATGCATTAATTCATCGTTGCACTTTAATATCGTTCTGTACAATTTCTCAACCTATGGGAAAATATAGAAATAGTCGATTTAATGTAAATCATTAAAGTGATTTTTGTATTAACTGAAATTGTTAGCATTTCCTCGGATTTCGGATCTTCATTCTGAACAGTGGATCCGTTGAAGTTTGGTGAAGGAGGTTGTTGCTTGTTAGTTTGCGTGCTGCTACACAATTGGTTCAATGTGTCCATTATGCATTTGTAACACGATAATCTGATTAAGGCGCAACAAGGAAATATTTTTAATGATTACTTTATGTTTAATGTATAATAATGTACCTCATTGAATAAGCGTTCTGACCGTTAACGTCCCCTATCGGCATTTCGGAATTATAAAAATGGAGGGCAAGATTGTGAGGATCTTGTTTCTCAACCAGAAATAGTATTAGCTCAACCATTGCCTCATACTGGTTTAGTGATGCTAGCTGAGCACTGACAGACTCTATATCGACTGTTTTACCAACGTTTCGTAACAAGTCTAAGGCTTGCACTGTTAATTCGTTTTTTTCAATTTCATTTCGAGCGTATTTGGCATTAAATAATAATTCATTAGCTTGAGTGCATAAAGAATCTTCATAACTGTACAATGACGGACAAAGTGTTCGTAATTTGTCACTCATTGCTTGAATAGCTGCATTGTCGGTTAAATATTTTTCAGTAATAGCCTTTATGATCAAGTTATATACGCTCTTCTGTTGACTCAAGCAGTAAGATTGGAACGTTAAAGATAGAAGGTGATTCTTAAAATCCTATAAAGGGGAAACCTTTGAAATATCAAGTTATTAATTGAGTATCAAGTTTACGTACCTCTTCTTTTTCAAAATGAAGCAAAAGAGATTGAAAATTATCATGGCATACTAAGGACCAAAGTGATAAAGCTTCACAACAGCGAACAATAAAAGGTTGAAGAGCTGCAATTGAATACGCATCCGTTGGTTTGTCATCTGTGTGTCAAAGGAATTAAGACGTTATCCTACACAAGTGATAATCCTCTTACCGAAGAAATGTGTTTTTTTCTCTTCGTGAAAAGAGCGAGTTAAATCTTGCTTCATAAGAGTTCCATTACTATTTGAGAAATTTTTTCTTTGTTGATAACTAATATTTGATACGATGTAACTACTTACAAATCTCTTCCATACATGACTGGTCGCGTGGAAACGTTTCTATCAATAAAACTTAAAACAGATTTCAGACATTCAACAATGCATTCAATATCTTCCGATTTTAAGCTGCTATCCCATAACTCAATTTTTTCAGTGGCGAATAGGCTCGTTCGTTTGACTTTAAGATCTTTCAAAATCATCAACCTATCCCATATTGATGACAAAATTCTAGACACACAGAAGTAGAAGGCCATTTGTTTACTTAAATGCGTGTCGTCTCTATACAGTTCATCTGGATCAGTTAACATTTGTTTCGAGAGAGGTGAACTTGCTACGAAATTCGGTTGAGATGTTCCGTTTCCCAAGAACGAACTATATCCGACTGACTTATCAAGTAAACCATCTTGACGTTTTTGACCGAATGATGTTGAATGCAATGGGTCGGTATATCCCGTTGTTTTCGGTCGAAAGACTTTGTCAGGGTTAGAATACAAAAATAACGCTTCAGCAGCCCATTTGCTGACCTACAAGAAGTATATTATTCTTCATTTTTTAAATTACATAATTGACTTACCATCTGATCATTCGGATTTTCGCCAAGTATGCTTGGGAGTGACGATGCAAGTAGTACACAAGTGTTCATAGCTTGTGCATGCTAAAGGATAATTGTAAATTTAATTGATGCTAAATAGGGTATAAAATTAAGAGTATACATTTAGGCTAAAGAATCCTCGAACAATATCTCCTTCGGGACCATTATTTTCCAATAAAATTTGCTTTAGTTGATCGACTGGTCGATAGTGAGAAAATATGTAAGTTCCCCGTGTGTTTACTATCACAAACTGTCTCTGTGTTGAATAATGCTGCTTTAACAATGTTGGCAAAGCGCATTTTTTTCGATTATCAGCAAGAGTTATTGGTTTGCTTTCGAGGTACATATTTGATATTTCAGCAATAGACAGAGGCTCAACTTCTATTGCTTTATTACCCTGGAAAATATTAAATTTTTTTTTAGTAATAGAATCCAAAAAAAAAATATACTTTATACCATATTTTCTCGAAAGTCAGTGTTAAATGAAAAATTATCATTTGATAGCGACGATAAATAACTATTATCGTGTTTCTTCATGATTAACAGAGTTAGAGCAGGGCCACACGATAAAACATCAACAACTTTAGAAACTTGCATTGGTTGGCTGGCATTAGGAGGGAGCCGAACGTGTATTAATTTGAGACCACTTGGTCTGCCGTAATCCGCTGAGTAGATCCTAAAGTAGAATCGAACGCCTACAGCATTTACTGCCATTAGCTGAACATCTATAGAATCCTTTTCCTCAAATGCGTGAATACTTTTCAAATTTTCCGTTAACAAAGATTTATTAACGTTGTTTCTATGAAATGATTATATTTTAATCAGGTTAATTGAAATTTATAGTTTAATATTTATACCCATATTCATAGTTGACTTTTCTAGCAAGTTCCTCTAATTTACAAGTGGACAAATGATTCATATAATTCCCATCCGAGCCCAGATCAAAAACATTGATTTCTGATTTTTGAGATAATGTATACAAAATATTCCGGCTTTTGTCGACACACATTTTCATGATCGGATCCTTTCCTAAAGTAATATTAGGAAACGTTCATCAATCTCAAGTGACGCTATTATCGTAGGTAATTTAAGCTTACCGTCATCCCCATATCCAAATAGAAAAGACGGCAAAATAAACGATGGTAACACAGACATAGAATAACGCTTTAGTTGACATTTCCTGGAGAACCAACCATCTTTTGCCTAAATAGGTAAAAAAGTAAATGTTAAAGTTGAACATCGCTAAGTATAAACGTTGCAAAATATTAAAGTTTACTTGATAGGTGAATTCATAGACTTCGTTTAAAACTGTTCCTAAAAATATACGGCCGTTGTCGCTCGAAGTAATTTGGGTGAATTGTATTCCTTCCGTTTTAAGTGCAAATAACGGTTCAGGCAAGACAAACATTTCATCATAATTATTCTGTTCTATTTCCTGGCCTTTAAGAAGTAACGTTTATGTTATTTCAATCTTAATTTATTTAAAAGATATTATCACATACCTGCAACAGGTCGGGAAAACGTAACACCGAGAAGTGATATTTCAGATGGTGTCACCAAACATAATATATGAGAAATATGCTTTTGAAATATTCCTTGAATACGAAAAACAAGAAATAAATTGGCTATGAAAAGAAGAGTACTGATATTAAATATACCTGGTTTAGGTTTCATTAAATGAGTTAATAAAATGACTTCTTTTAAAGTATCGAAAAATGCTAAATCTGAACTGTCAGTATATTTCCAAATGAATAGATTGCTATCAACACTTAACCATGCACGTTCTATTTCCGGAAATAGACCCATATGATACATTGATTGTGTACCCGAAAGTTGTTTGTGTAGTTCCGCTGGTAAGGGGACATGTCGTAGCTAAAAATAAATAATAATTTATATTCATCATTTCTTAGTTTGATATTTAACATTCATTTTACTACCTCACTGAGTTCGTAATTTGATGGATCGTCCATTTTCTTAGAAAATGATGTACTGAATAAAGTTGCTCCCATATCAGGAGATTGAAGGCGAGTTGGTATTTTAAATTGCTCATGATTTGGGTAATCGTTCTTTTGCTGACCGCTGACCGTAATTTCACCTAAACAGTCGATTTATGTTTACAAATTTAATAACGGTTTATATTTGAAATAGGTGTGTGAGCGAAGTTTTGGGGCTAATTGATGAATACGTACTGTTTCCATAGGCTTTAAATTTTTCTCCCAAATCCTGATAAGAAGCATCTAATTGCATACATTTATTAATAAATCTTCCCGCTTTTTCAAGCATCTCCTCATCGTGCTTTCGCTCTGTCACGCTGCCCGGCATTTCCATCGTACACAGTAGTGGAGAGCGATAATTGACAAGTGTGAATCGATCCGAACGATATTATGAAGAAATCGATATTCTGAACACGATTTACGATACTTCCTGTTTAATTCTCGAAGGTTATTAAAAATAGCGCGAAACATTCGAAAATTGATATATTTTAATTACTATTTAATAAATATATTTAATTTAAAACTATATTTTATACCAAGCGAATGTATCATATTACAGTTTGACTGAAAATTAAACTGAATTTTAATGGAGTGAAGTCAAACGAATAAGGTAAAAGTCAATAATTTCATTATTGTGCGGCTTTCTCTTCAAGTTTTGCTAATTGCTTTCTTTTTGCAGTTGATAAGTTCAAGTTTCCTTTCTTATAAGCGTTGACAAAGTATAGTAGCAAGGAGAAAATGAGTGCAATGCATAACAAAGCTAGGAAGAACATTTCCAATAGTAAATATCCTTTTGTGTCAACAATTGCCCCCGCAGCTTGAGCTATAGTTGCTAATCCCAAATTTTGTATAGCTTGCATTAAACCGTAGACGGTTCCGAGTTGATATTCAGGAACGATATAGGAAGCCATTGGCCATAAAGCACTCGCAACAATAGAATAAGCAAACCCCATTAGTACGACAGGAATAAATGGATTAAAGAACGTAAAAGCTAATAGCCCATGGCTAATGATAGTTAAAACAACACCAGCTATAACCCAAAAGACATTACGTCCCGTTTTGTCTATAGCAAATCCGGTGAAAGGTGACATTGCCGCAGAAAGAATGTAAACCAGACTATTACATAAAGATGCCAATTTAGCACTTTGATCGAATTTCATTTCGTAAAACAATAATCCAACATCAACGAAAGGAAAGATTGTCACGTAGTAGGCGACACAAATTACACTCAAAAGCCAGACTTCTAATGGGAAGTTTTTTACGTCTGAAATGCGAATTGTTTCACCAGTCAGCGCTTCTTTTTTTTTCAATATTCTTTCAGCTCTTTTATCAAAGAACGCCATTGCAAAGGCACAGAGTAAAGAGAAAACACAAAAAACTCCAGCAATGAAAAGTGTGATTCCCAATGTATGATGACCAATTCCCATAAAAGATGCCAGATGATCATATAAAGGTTTCATTGTATTCATATTAACTGTACTCCCTACTCTCGACAGACTTAATTGCAGCCCAAAAACCATGTTTAATTCTTTCCCTTTAAACCAGCTAACAGCATAAGTATTTTGAGTGACACATAACGACTCTCCACCAATTCCGAACACAAACCGACCAAAATCCATCAAACCCGGCTTATTAACTAGGGCTCCAGCGGCAAACAAAAAATGCCCAATTGTTACAAATGAAGAGAATATAATTGCTCCGAGTCTTGTGCCAAAAACTCTATCAATTAGGAAACCACCGAAGAAGCAGAGGATAACATTCGGATAAGAATATAAGGCATAAAATAGCATGTATTTTTCGTTGTTCAAATTCAAGTCCCTCTCCATAACATCCTGTAGAGCTGCTGGATTATCGTAAACAAAGTAGCTCCCAAAACTTAACAAGCACATAATAATTAGTACTAAATATTTATGTAATTTTCTACGAGGATCACAAGGGAGGCTTGCACCGCATCCCGATGCAATCACAATTTCAGGATTGTCTGAGCTATTGTTTCCTGGTTGAAGCAATCTCTGTTGCTCGTCTTCTGTAGCACTCATATTTGTAAATAATTGTTTTACGTGTCCACTTAAACCCACTCTTGAATTATCTCAATCAATTATGCTTTCAAGTATCTAAACTAATATTATTTAATCTCAGCTAGTTGTAAATAAACTTCGTCACATGATCAATTCCTTTGGTAGGCGAATAAAAACTGGTATCAAAAAACAGAAAACGCCGAAATATGCTGATATTAGCAGCGGAGTTTCAAATAAACAAAATCAATCATTAAACCCCTAAGTATTTTTGCACCGGATTGTAATGCATAGTTTATTTGATTGAATAACGCTTCGTAAATGGTTTTTTAGCGTAAAAACAAAAATGGTTCTATTAATATTTTACAGTTGAACGATAATAAAGATTTAAAATATTTAGAAATTTGGCGCGTAAAAAGAAAATTAATTCTTGATTAGGCAAATGGATGACGTTATTGCTTTAATAGACATGGATTGCTTCTACGTACAAGTAGAAAGAAAGTTCAATCCTGAATTTGAAAACAAGCCATGTATTGTGGTTCAGTATAGACTATATAGAGGAGGAGGGTAAACACCATTTCTTTTTATAACATCAAAATGCCAATAGTAGTAATTTCTTTAGAGTGTTAGCCGTTAGTTACGAAGCGAGAAAATTTGGCATAAAGAGGGGTATGATGGCTGACGAAGCGTGCGAATTGTGTCCTGAATTATGTATAGCCAGAGTTCAAGAGACCAATGGAAAAGCTAACATTCAAAGATATAGAGACGCTGGAGCCGACGTAATTAAATCTATAACAAAGCTGACACCTAATGTGGAGAAGGCTAGTGTTGATGAAGCATATATAAATTTAACATCCTTAGTTAATGAAAGATTAAAGAATTACGGAACTATTGATGAAAGTCTTTTAGAAAATACCTTTGTGGAGGGATTGAACAATCCAGAAGCGGACAAGAACCTCTCAGGTTGATATTAAATTTTAACTTCAAAGGTTTTTCTTTCATTAACGATATCTCCATTTAGAGTCGGTTCCTGAGGATTCTGGGGTGAAAGCTTTTATAAAAGTGTGCAACAACACATGTATTAATAATTTAAAGTTATTACTAGGAGCGAAGATAGTGGAAGAAATAAGACAGGAAATCTTTAAGGACACTGGCTTCCGTTGTTCTGCTGGAATTTCTCATAATAAAGTAACCGACTTTCCAATTTATTTTCCTCTTTTTGTATTTATTGCATCATGTAAATTGGTAGACATTAGCTAAACTGGCTTGCGGACTGCATAAACCAAATAAACAGACAATACTTCCAAAATCTTCTGTTCAATCACTTTTCAACGTGATACATATAAAACAAATGTAAGCACTAAATAGAAGATATCTAATAGATTTTTATTCAAGTAGATTCTGTTCTACAGAAGAAATTTAGGTGGCAAACTTGGTGACCAAATTTGCTCTGATCTTAAAATTTCTACAATGGGGGAATTGTGTAACATTTCATTAAAAAAACTGCAGCATTTATATAATGATAAAACAGGGTAAGAAATTTTAGACACAAAGGATGAAATATTAAAAAAAAAGGGACTAAAAGTCACATTTTGTCATATGTAATTAATTATTTTGTCTAAATTTGTTGACTTAAGACAGTGGATATACGATTTGTGCAGAGGAAGAGACATTGAGCCTGTTGCTGAGCGACAACTTTCAAAATCAATCGCTTGTAGTCGAAATTTTCGAGGGCCAGAAGCTTTAAAGAGTGCATCTTCGGTACTTAAAGTATTATAATATTATATATATACTAATATATTAATATATACTTAGCCAACGTTTTTTAAACTTTGCAGATTTAATATCTTTTTAGGCGTATACTATTTAATAGTATATATAAGATCTTTACATTAAAAATATCAATAACGTACTCTCTAGAAGCCATAAAAATATAAAAGAAAGGCCCTTACTCATATATATATACTTGTATCAATATACATGTGTCTAAATAAATATATATATATATATATATATATATAAATTAATATATATGTATATATATAGACATATGCATATTACTTTATTGTACAAACTTATACTATATTACATATTTATAGACCAATAACCTTATTCTTTATAATTGATAACCCTATTATTATATTTCTTGCTACTTAACATAGATAAAGAATTGGTTAAGCAATTTTGCTGAGGAGCTACTCGAACGGTTAAATAAAGATTTAAATGAGGTTAGTAACACAAACATTTTGCCTCATATATAATTAACGGCATCGACAACAGACGTTATTAGCGCTAAAACACTATTTCAGTTGAATATATTATAGTAGTTTTATAACAATTTCTTTCATTTCATTCCAACAATAATTTTTTAACTGTGCAGTAAATTGCATATACTATATTTATATAATATATATATGTATATACTGTATATAGACTATATAGCATCTATATTCGTTTGTGAAAGAAATTGTTTTCCCGAACAATCGCGATAGATTGAAATAAAAACCAGCTTATGGAAGAGCATAATGAATTTTTTATTAAAATTTTGATTTTTCTAAACAATTAATAACAAAGCTTAGTTTGCCTTCTTATGTATTATTTTATTCTTTTCTTTTCTTTTTAATGGTTAATTTTGATAACTTCTTTACTTGAATACTATGAATGATTCTCAATTTTCTAAGCACGTTTTGATGTATATTATATCTTAGAGATTATCGCGACTTATATTATTCTAGATATATATATATATACTAATATATGTATATATGTCGGTGATTGACATAACCTAAATTGCGTCTGCGTAATTTTATTACAGCACATTTTACCAATTACTGCAAACATGCGACAGAAGTTTTTCTTCTCTTTAGAAATATACTTTAAAAAAAAAAAAAGGACACTTTACGCTGTAAATATGGAGGTTTTTTAATAAAATATCTATGTTAAACAATATAGTTAAACTGAATGCCATTTTGGTAAATTTTACGCATCGCTACTCAAGTAAAACGTTTTTTTTTTTTTCCTCTTTAACCATCTATCCCTCTCTTTTACCATTAGTCTAACTTTGTTCTTTGCTCTTTTTTAAGATTTGTTCTTTTGTTCTCTTATCCCTTTTAATCATGCTCCTTTCCCTTGTTCTATTGAACATGTAGAATAAACGCAAGGCAAAGCAGATGGTTGTCTGCGCCAAAATGCAGATAAAGTTGGAAAATGTTAGTCGATCCTGGCCCTTAACGAAATACTGTAAAGAAGCCATTGTCAGTCGGTCTTTCAATTTATTACTAAAGTTTAATCAGTCTTCCCAGACTTCAGATCGTTGGCAAGTATATCTTGACTTTAACTCAAAAATGCTATATAAGATATAACAAAAAATTAAATAATATATTCTTTTCATGGTAGGTTTCCACCTCTCGTATTACTTGGCTTAAGCGCCACGAAATTTGAGGATGTCAATATTACGTCATCAATTTCTACTTTTCTCGTTCCGCAGGAATTCCAATCAAATAGATTTGATTATGATACAACTCCAAAGACGACGATAAAAGAAGCATCAAAGGAAAGAAAGTGTACAAGCGATATTAAAGACTTTTTTGAAAAGAAAAGTTGCAAGGAACCACCCATTTCAATGATCACTTCGTCAAATAGTCACAAAAAGAGACGAATTGGACCACTAGAGAAACTGTGGAAGAATAAGCAGCTTTCTAATAATGAACGTTTACCCTTGACAGGCAATCAATTAGTAAGAACGGATTATGATAGTAATACTGAAGGGAAATCGTTCTCATTGGACAGCTGTAAGAGTTCTCGGAACAATGGTAAAGATAACCGTTGTCAATCTGATACGGATGATGATGAAAATGAAATAGAGATAATAGACATTCTCATTGGAGGGGAAAAATCCGAAATGAAAAAAAAACAATTTGAATGGAAATTACCATTGAGTTCCGCTAATATTTCACTTGAAGAAGTTGATAATTGCAATAAAGTATCAGTTTCGAAAGATGCCCGAAGGGATTCGCAAGTTGAGCATAAAAAAGGAACTAAATCGATCAGAGAATTCTTTAGTAAGAATTAGGCAAAGTTACGTCGTTTTCATCTTCTTTTTTATGTAATACATTCGCCTTGACATTTCGTTTTATGGTTTTAATTATTCTCGATATAAAATATCTTTGTAAATAGATGATACTATACCAATAACATAAAAACTTATTTAGATATGTAATTAAGTTCATTAGTTATTCTACACCTGTATGTTAACGATACTATTGGAACGCCTTGGTTGCATGCAACTTTTATTCGTGATATAAGATTACTCTGAGAGGTTAAGAAACATTTTGTCATGGTAACGCTTTTTCATCAATTTAATGCTTTCTGTTTTCTAGAATCCGATGAACTTTAAAAACAAGTATCCCCTCAAGCAACTATGAAAAAACATTCCCCCTGTTCTAGATAAGAATCCTTGAGCGTAATTTAATCTGGGAAAAGCTTAAATATTCTCTTTAGCCAGGAATAACTAGTATTTGTAGGACCAATGCATTTCCTCTAATCCTTTATATTCGTTATAATAAAATATATCGGCTTATTTTACACTTTTTTATCCTCTCATCATCATGATCATCGTCTTATTCTCTTTCTTCCTTTCTTTTTCTCTCTTTCCTCCTATTTCGTCTTTTACTTTATTAGCATTCGTTTTCTTCTCTACATCCATTCTATCACTAAACTTACTCAACCGTCTATAATTTGTATGATTGAGATATTATTTTGTTGATATAAGGTAGATTGTCTTGTTCCGTCGCTTTATACAGGCAGCGGAAACGTTGTAACTTTATATTGAGTTATACCGCTGCGTTGGCAGTGTTTGTCGACGAGTTTTGCGTTTTTTTCGATTGATTAATGAGTTTGTCGGTACAGGGCGTCTCCTTCCATGCTGGAAAAAACTCTGTTTACCGATTTCTTCCATTTAGTCAAGTTTTTTTTTACACTAAGTAGAGCATTTCCAACTAACTTGTAAAGGAAAGTAGTATAATTTTCCTTATTTACTACATTTAGAACTCAATAAAGCGTTACTCTGGTAATTATTCGGTCTCTAGTTGGAATAATTGTAATAGGAGTTGGCCATCTTTAGTCTACACCGTAATGGTTACCATTTAAGTCCTGTTTGAGTGATAACTCTTTTAGTGGAGATGTTATGAAAGAACAAGAAAAAAGGCAGTACAAAAAGGTAGCGGAAGGAAAGTCTACCCTTTATTGCGAAGAATAGAGCTTAAAAAAATGAAATAATCGTAGATCAATAGGTAGAAAAATAGAAGATTCTACTATAGAAAAAAAAACTCGATATAATGATTTAACGTGTCTTTACAGCCTAAATGCGGGTTAATTCAAAATGAATAAAATTGGATAAAAAAAAAGAAAGAAACGAAGAAAGGAAGAAATTGGATAATTTCTCTTTATACAAATATATCTCTTCTTTTCCATTTTAAAAATATGTATATATATATATTAGTATATACTTTGTACTGTATAAATATATATATATATATATATCAAACTGTGTCACTTTCCACCTCTACAACTCCATTCATGAGCAAACATTCAAATTCACACACCCACATACGTATAGATGTTTTTATTACTTATGCATATTGAATATTTGCCATTAAATTGATATGTCTAGTAGGCCTAATTTTAGAATAAAGTAACAAATTATTAAGTAGGCAATTTTCTATTATAAGTTTACGCAAGCGTATTATACATACCAACGTATACAAGTTGAAATATGCATATTTGTACAATTATTACAGTAAAGAAGGATGGAGATATTCTTTTTTTCTTTGGTATTGATACAGCAAAAGAAGAGAATGTATTCAATTTTGCCACTTTTTTGTATTGGGAATTGTTTGAGAGTTGTTAATTAATTAGTTGTTTGCTAAACTTGAGCATGATCCGTATTCAATTCCTGAACTATAGCCGATTTACTACTTTCCACCAACAGTGATTTTAGGGCAACTGCTTCCGGTTCTCCATTAGCACTTTTTACAGTTAAACCTTCATTTTCCTCTGTTGCTCCACAAGCCCGAAGTTGAACTTTGTGAGTTCCATAAGATCGACCAGGACATACAGTTTGAAAGAATAGACGCCGAAAACTTTTACCAAATAAGCAATATATAATAAAATTAACTCCCGAATTAGTAACAACCAAGACGTCACTAAGTCGAGTATAATAAAAATGAAATCGACCACATTGTCGATCCTCCTGCGAGAAGATTAACCACAGAACTTGGTTGATAAGGGCGGGAGTTTGGCAGATAATAAAGATAAAAACGACAGCTATAATAACGTTTGTTATTTGATCATCGTTGCTCATTTTATGTCCGGTTAAAACTTGCCTCTTCTCATTAAGAGTTTTTATGGTCCGTATTAGTTTTATGTTTAGATAAGCCAAACTGATTAAGGGTACAATGTACATAACAGGAAAGTAGAGGATGTTAGAGTAAACCAATTGATATATCTTATTGTCTCCTAGATTTATATTAGTTGACGTTCGATTGGTGTCATTCGATATTTTTTTATCGATTACATGGTGTTCAAAGTATCTCGGTACGTTGAAAAGAAAAGCGAAGACAACTACAGCAAAGACTTCCGTATAAGTACACCGGTTTGTGTGTTGATTGCTTAGAGGCTGCCAGGGCTTACAAACGGCAATGTACCTGTTAAGAATAGAAACAAATTATTAGATAAAGAAGTAGGAGGAGAATAAAGAGAAACCGTTAAGGCTTTGTTGTTTGGAAAGAGGGCTATTTAATTATACATTTCAGCTATGAATATTAAATATACATTAAAGACATATACAGTTTCTTATAAATACGCTTTGTAACAGTTTATTGTCTTTAATAAAAGTAAATCCTTATATATTTAATATAGAATTTATAATATAGCTTTTATGTGGCCTGGTAAAGAAACTATACCTGTTAAATGTGACCAGAACTGTTAGCATGATTGTTGTAGTATGGCACATCATGGACGCTGGCCAAACGAATTTCTGTACATGTTCAAAGTTGTTGTAAAACCCTTCTAATGATCCATTCCATAGATGAATTGGCTTAAGCACATAAATAATGATTGATGCCAATAAGAGAAACGAATCAGAAATTGCCAAAGCCTTTAATAGAAACAAAGTTGTAGTTTCAGTTTTATGGCGATTGAATATAACGAAAGCAGCGGAATTGCCAATTATTCCTAATAGACAGAGGCTCCCAATAAGTATCGTACCAACGAAAAATTCGAAATAGACACATGGATTCCTCTCACTATTAGAACCTCCAGCATCATTGTTGACAAGGTCAGTAGAGTTCATTTTACCCAATGAATTGATTAGCTCAACTTCAAAGTTAAAAAATTCTCTATCAAATTATTCTATCATTTTCTTCTCTTTGTCTTCCTTTCCTTTCGTTTCTTTCTTCTGTAACTTTTTACGGCGGATAAAGCAGCTGTTTTCCTCTTGTCCTTTTTCCTCTGCCCTTTTTTCCGTTAGTTTTATTCTATTTTATCTATTTCTCTTCTCTTTAAAAACAAACAAATAAACATAGGCAGCTCTTTTCAAATTTCATTAAGTATAGGTGAAAATTAGCAAATCTTCGGATAAACCTTTCAACGTTAAAACTTTGTTCGTCTCGCTAGGAATTCTCTCTTAATGTAAATCACCTACGTCTGTCGCTTTATACTTTACTCTTTCCGAACCATAATCCAATAGATGGAGACAGTTGTTCATAAAGTAGACGCTATCTCCATCACTCGTCCGTAACTTAATGCCATATATCAATTTTCTCTATGAAAATGAAAATGGTAAATGTTTTCTTTTATAAAAAAAAACCAGAACAAAAAGGCAAAGTAGAATATTTTCTTTCACTTTTTTTTGATTTCTTCGGCATGTATATGAAATAGGAATAACAAAGTGAACTATATATATATATATGTATAAATTATCAGTATCAGATATAACGTGCAAATATCGCTTATAACTAAATTTAAGTACTCTCAAAAAAACACATTAGAAGGGGGAGCTTTATATTATAAGTAGAATACACAGCAACATATGATTTCCTTTGGAAGAGTGATTAAAACGTATATAAAGCACAATTCTTCAACGAAAATGGTTAAGCATAAAGAAGATGAAGAAGAAGGAAGAGCGGAGGGGAAGGAGGGAGTTAAACAAGTTTAAAGTTGAAAAGAAAGAATTAGATGGGCATACAAAGAATTTTAAGGCGACAACATTGATTCATTGATATAAAAATATTACGATCGTTTCTCAATCAGATAGTATCTTTGTTTTAAGTTCTTTTATGTTTTCTATTAATTGTCTCTTGTTGAAATAAAGTTGAAATTTGTTCCCCTCTCTTTCCTTTTATAGACAGCCGGTGTCCGTAGCATTATTAACAGATTTAAAAGAATTAAGTAGAATAGTCTTCTCCCTGGATATTAAATCATTTCTAATGTCTTTTCCTCTGCAAGTAATCAGTTGTTTAAATTGTTTCCGAAATTTGGCTCCGCAAGTATAAAATATGAGAAAATTAATTGCGGAATTTAAAACAACCAACACGTTACCAACTGCCGTATAAATTTGAAGCCATTTATATTTTCTATAGTTGATGTATATTGCATCAAAGGTAAATGATAGAAAGTTGTGCGTTCCACAAATGATAAACACAATAACTATACAAAGTGGAACTTTGGTGGCTTTCATCTCTTTTTGTTGATGCCTATTTAAAAATGCCCATTCTCTTTTGGCTCTACTCAGAGCTACAACAATTTGAACGTTGAGAATTGATAGAGAGACAAGCGGTATTGCGTACATAATTAAACCATACAAACCGGTGTTGTAGGCGTACCTATAAATGCTATTCTCCCTTAACATTGTCTGATTCATTTCGATAAACGTTGTATTGAATTTCTCAATTGTTACCGTTTTAAATTCAAAGAATTTTGGTACGTTGAAGAGAATAGAAAAGACCAATATGAGAATAATATAACGGCATACTTTAGATAATTGGCAGAGATTGAAAGGATTCTTAATTGCTAGATACCTTTCGCCCGAAATTAATAACGTTAGATAAATTGACGCTGTTTGCGCCATACAAATAATAGGCCAACTATAGACTCTTAAATAGCCTTGAAATCTACAAAAATCACTGGTAGATTTAGATCTCTGACATAACATCGGTATAGCTTGTTGAATAAGAGCAAAACAAAGTAGTACTAAATCCGCACATGCAAGAGCCATTAGGGAATAAGTATTGGCCCTTTTAACTCTCTCCAATGATAATGTAGCCAGGGAAAGAGCATTTCCAACGATTCCTAAGCAGCATGTAATTGTTGGAATCCAAACGCCCATTACATAATCAAATGTCTTCGAAGTAACAACAATCGATGAACGATTCATATCTATTTATAAAGATGTTCATGTATTAGATAACGAGTATGGTATATAAGCATGCATGTTTAAGAATGAAAAAATTGTTTCCAGATGACCTTTCCCTTCACTCTTTCCCTCTATCTATATCTCTTTTTCAACCTCATTAATTCAGAATATTAGTATCACCTAGGAGCATACTTTTCTCTTTCCCTGTCTTCCCTGTATTTAATTTCCAGTTAGTAGATCGCCTTTTCAAAAGGCAATGTTTAATAATGAACGTAATGAGTTCTAAGTAATAAAATAAAAATGCAGCCAAGGTACAATGTTTAATTAAAATTCAAATTTATCATTCCATGAGAATTAATTACTCGTTAATTAATATTTAAATATTTATAATTAATTATTTAATAAACAATTATTACATTCGCTAGTCAAAAGATAAACAACAGATTGGGAGTAATGGCAAAAACATCACCAATAATCGAATAAGATTAAAAGTTTTATGACACCAGATGACACTAAGGTGGTTTGTTGACGGTAACCAGGTGATAGGTGACACAAAGCAAACTTCTGTTGCTCCTTTTTAAGGTGAGATTTTTAGCTTTATTTTGTTATCATTTCATCAAAAAAAAGTCTAAAATGATTAAAATTCATCTAAAGACAGGAACTAATTGAAATTATCATAAGAATAATCCTGCTTTTAGTTAACTTTATCGTTAATAAATCTTATAAATAAATCTCTATGTTTAACTAGTTGAACGAGAAGAACTTTACTTATTTTTCAACTGTTTCTCAACATTTACTTATACTTTCCCTTGCATTTTTATATTGAAAATTTATATATTTAATTGTATTTTTGCAAATAAAACCTGAATATTTAGGTTAAACTTTATAGCATTGAACTATACAATAGGAAAGATTAATTGCTATCATTTAGCAACGATATTATGTAAGATTTCTTAACGGTTTAGAAGGATTTTATTAGAAAAAAATGACTAATATACCGAACAAGCTAATCCTTTCGCCAGATTAACGCTTAAACCATCGATCGCTTGGAAAGCATTAAGTAGGTTATTGAATAATTCTGCACATAGAAAAAAAAAGTGGTAGACAAGAGAAAAAGTGTTTAAATCACTTTCTATTAAATGAATAGGGAAATAAATCTCTAGAAAAGAGTGTGACAGTGTAGGCGAATGAATGAGAAAAGAGAGAGAGAGAGAGAGAGAGAGAGAGAGAAAATCTAGGTTAAAAAACATAATCTTTATATCAATAGGCTAAAAAAAATTATTGCCTATTTCATTCATTATTCCGTCGTCCTTTCGCTCTGTTTATTTAAACAAACGCTCCTATTTGAAAAGAGGATTTAAACGATTGTATCTAAAATTAACGGTAATAAAAAATTATAGAATGTCTTTATTGAGTTGTTTTTTCTCTTTTTGTTGATATTTTGATTCTCAGCATAGACTTTTGTTTCATTAACAATTTCACTCTCTTTTATTATTAGTAGAATTATTCAATCGAAATTTAATTGCAACTTCTTCGCCCTTTGTCGATAAAATATCGAAGCGTTGCAAAAAGTCATTAATCATAGAATAGAAATAGTATTATTTATTAGTACTGATATTTTACTCTCTCTTTATTTTGTTGTTTTATTTCTAGTTATGAAAATATTATAGGATAGAGCGGAACAAAATAAAAAGACATGTCTGGAGCTAAATCGGGTAGTTCGGCTAGGCGGAGGAAAGACGATAAGCCGGCTCCACCTGTCGGACCTGGTAGTAAAATATCATCTCTACCTGCTACTGTCAAGAAACATATTAAGCCAAGAATGGAGGGTGTTAAGGGAGTCGAATTGCACTTTTCAACTATGTTGGCTAAAGCTCTTCCAGCCGAAATATATAAAAATGAAGAGGTACAGGATTTTGCCAGAACTTTAGACGCTCCGAATAATAAAATGAAAAAAATACCAGCAGCAATTTCTGAACTACGAGAACTAGATAATCTAAATTTACATAATAATCTACTTGCAAAATTACCGGGTACAATTGCAAAATTGAAACAGCTCAGAACAGTTGACGTCGCTGGTAATCAATTGAAAAGCCTTCCCGCCCGTACCCATAAGGCAAGTCAATTAACTGCCCTAGATGCGTCTCACAATAAAATAAGGAAAGTTCCTGCAAAGCTGGGAACTGCTCCATCTCTAAAAACGCTGGATTTGTCGCACAATATGATAAGAACATTGAAGAAAAACGTATACAAAATGCACATGGACATTGATGTATCTAACAATCGATTAAATGAATTGCCTTCAATAAGTATTAAGAACCCTGGCCTTCATAAATTAAACGCCTCTTCGAATAATCTTCAATGCTTACCGTCAGGCATAGAATTTTTGTCTTGTTTGACCCACTTATACTTGTCTGACAATGATTTACAAGAGCTACCGCCTCAAATAGGCTTAATAAAATATCTTGAAGTTTTGGATGTTAGTCAAAATAAGTTGACACAACTACCTGAAGAGCTATGTGAATTGGAATTTTGTTTAAGAGAGCTAATAGCCAACATGAATAAAATAGAACATATTCCCGCGAATATTGATAGATTATATCAGCTGCAAGTTCTTGATTTATCACATAATCTAATTAAATCTTATCCTTCTCACTTAGAGAAAGTCCAAGGAAAAGACTCTAGGAGTTTCAAGAGTTTAAAAGTTCTGAAAAAGATCGATTTATCCCATAATCAGCTTAACAAAATGGATCCTCTGGTTCATTTGAAATCATTGGAGTATTTGGATCTTTCTTTCAATAATGTTGAATTTATTCCCGAACATATAGATTTGTTAAGGAGTTTGGTACACTTGCAAATGAATAACAATGCTATAGCCTATATCCCTGAAAAACTGGGATTGATAACTTCTTTAAAACATATTTTCCTAGCTAATAATAAAATACGCAGCGTTCCTGAAAGTTTGGGTGATGAACAATTGTTAGAAACGCTAGATTTATCCGATAATCTAGTTGAAGAAATGCCAAGAGAAGTAAGGAAGCTAAGAAAATTATTTTTTTTGAGGCTCAATAAGAATAATCTTCAAGCGTTACCGAAAGGTTTCGATTATTTACAACAGCTTGTAGAGTTGGACGTTTCTAATAATAAATTGAGCGGCTTCTCCTTGCCAGAATCAACACAAATTTTACGTATTTGCGGAAATCCAATACAAATGCCGGCAGACGATTCGAGGGGTTCACTCTTTGTACACTTGGAAAAGCCACAATATCGTCGTAACTTGAAAGAACTATATGCTTCCGAATTAGCAATGGAAGAGGTACCACCCAACGTGTGCAAACTAAAAAGTTTAACAGTATTGGACTTGCACCAAAATAACTTGACAGAATTACCAGTCGAACTTTTTCAATTGCGAGCTTTAACAAGTTTAGATCTCAGCAGCAATAGTATTACTACCTTACCGGAGATACTTGGAACTAATCTTCGTAATTTAAGATACTTAAACATGTCATCTAACTCACTCACGGAATTTCACATTTCCTTAACACATCTACCGGTTCTTCAATATTTGAATCTATCAGAAAATAAAATAGCCTCATTTCCACCGAATATGGGAGAATTAAGGGAATTAACAATCCTTAACGTTTCCAACAACGAAATCTGCTGGTTTCCTAACGATCAATTAGATATATTAGCTTCACTCCTCGAACTGGATATTAGCAATAATCATATAGATAAATTTCCTATAGATATACCTTATTTGTATAGGATGAAAATTTTAAACGCTTCGTCCAATGATATTTCATCAATTCCTAAAGATATTTTCAAGATGAAGCATCTTGTTCGATTACAACTGCAAGATAATATAATTGAAGACCTTCCAGAGACGCTTAGTAAGCTCCCCTCTTTGAAAGAAATAGATATTAGCGACAACAAGGTCGTTTATATGCCTAGTTGTTGGGAAACAATGAGGAAGAAGGACATAAAAATGCTGAATGAAAATCAAACAAAATACAAAGAGAGAGATCCTCGGGAGAGACCGGCTCCAACTCCCGAACCTGAGAAACCAAAGAGAAGAGGGAAAAAGGGAGGGAAAAAGAAGGGTGTGAAATCATCTGGAGTAGGACCATCACGTCCAACAACCGGATTAGGTTGAACAAATATTTATAGTCGATGATGCTTTTCTGTGATAATCCTTCTAAGAGTGCTGCTGCCTTTTATGATCATTATTAATCTCTTATTTTTCTTCAATATTATGTGTTTTTATCATTCTTTCTTCTAATGCGTTCCAAATTTGCAGTCTTATACAAAAAAAATGAATTTAAGTGCATTAACCAAAATCTTTGCATATTTTACTAAAGTACTTTATGTCATTGTTCTTCTTATATTCTTTTCACATAATCATCATTACTACATAGCCCTTTGTTTTTTTATTATTCATCTTTTGCTATATCCTACCTATTTCTTTCTTTCTCTCTCTCTCTCTCTCTTTCTTTCTTTGTATTACTTTCCTTCCTTTGGGAAAGTGAAGATTATTTTGAAATATCTATTCGTTGGTTAATCGTAAAAGTCTATTCAATTTGGATATTATATAATTAATAAATCAATAGCTCAATAAATATTTTGCCTAAGATATCTATTAGTATATACTAAAAGTATTGAGATGATAACTGAGTGTCCATCACTTCTTATCTTAATAAAACATAAACTATCAATAAAATCGATAATAGTACGATTTTATATATAGTATATCGCGTTTCGCTTATCTATCTATTCTCAGTATTTATAAACTCTCTACAAGTGTTTTTTACACATAGTTTAATTACTCTATTCCAGTATATACGACGGATAATTTACTCTTAATTTTGTTTCTCCCTCTTTTAATTCTTTTAAGGTAAAACATTCTGCAAAAGTAGTTGTTAAAGCACTCGAAGACAATATATATATATATATATATAGATACAATGTATACTAATACTGTTGTATAAATAACTTTATATAGTATTTTGTTTTATTATTTTTTTTTAAGGGCGTTGTTCTATATTTCCTTGATTACCCACTCTTAAACTCTCTCTCTCTCTCTCTCTCTCTCGCTCTCTCTCCATGTTTCTGTTAAATCTATTTTTGTATTTTGCAGAAAAAAAACCTGTTAATTAATGAAGCTCTTTAATGAAAAACTCACCTTTATTAAGAGTAAGTTTTCTCTTTTAAAAGTATTGGTAAAAGTTAGAGAAACTATGACTTATTTTGTACATTAACCCAGACAAAACATAAAATTATAATAGCAAAGACAGGGAAAGAGAAACAAAGAGATAAAGATGATTGATATATTTATATACCTTTTACATTGAAAGAGAGATTTATATATGTATATTTATACAAAGTGTATATGAAGTATATTCTGTATATACTAGGCTTCGCACATAAAATACTTTTGACGTTTCCTAAGCTTTTAGTTTATATTAATAGCGAATAAAATTAATTAGATTTTATAAATGAATTGACTAGTATTTACTATAATATAAATAAAATAATATTAGATAGTTGATAAAGGGAACATCTTTTGGCATTTAATGCATAATTCAATAAAAATGATAGACAATTCTAAATATCTAAACGTTGGAAAAAATTAGGAGTAAGGTAAAAGAAAGATAGAGTTTTATTTTTCCATTTGGAATAGAAAACACAAAAAAAAAATCATTATTATTAAAAGAAGACTTCTTTTACATTTCTCCCTACTACTTCTTATACTTCAAGATACTACCTGAATCTAGCTAGACAAATAGCTTAATTAAAATATAGGTACAAAATAAGAATGTTCCTTCAATTTAATAATACATTAATTAGAAATAATATTTAATTTTACTTTTAAATAATAAAAGAGATTGTTATAATCAAATATATTGTATAATTAATAAATAATATATTATTCTTATTTTAAACAATTACACATCTTAATGATTTATTATTTAAAACTTTTTATAAGGTAAAGACTCTTTTCATTTTCATTAAAAATTAGTATTAGATAAAGAGATTTAACTCTAATGAATACGTATACTCTACTTATTTGTAATATATAACATCTCTATGTTAAAAAAAAACAACACGTGCAATAGCTTAGATATTATATGAAAACGTTATACAAACAATAAAATCAACAAAATTTACAACAAAATCGTCACCTGTTTAGCTGGTGTCTCCATTTATAGCTTCAAAAATACAATGCTATCGGCCAGCGCCTCTCCTTGCGCTGGTAGTGATGCCTTCAAACGCGTCATATAATTTATATAATATATATATATATATATATATATATGTATCCTGCTTTTAGTTGCTCCCTACGATAAAGACCATTCAAGCGAATTGTTCCATATTAATAATAAATCAAAATTTTCCTTTGTATTTAATATATAAAAGACTACTGTAGTTTGCTTTATATTCAATGATTTTTAATCAGGCGTTTCTTTATATAAAAGTCACTTTATACTCATAATTTCAACAGAAATAAAACAGATATATTCAGCTTTATATATATATATATATATATGTATATATTATAATATATTCTACGTATACATATATATATATATATATATATCGAAGCCTTTTAAGTCAATATTTCCTTACGTTATGCAGCCAACAAAAAAATTAAAATCGCACACGCAATATAGAATACTGGTTCTAAATTAAACTTGACGACTTTACTGCGCCACCTGTCGTCTTAGATGATAATTCCTTAGGGCACTTCTTTTCCTATTATCACTGCACCCTCTTTCAATAGGTTTGCCTTAGTATTGTTGTCAGTTTCAGATAAACTTTTATTATAATCTTCATCATTTGATTTCTTCTTTGAACTTCTAACCGGGGCCAATAATATTTTCTCTAATTTTACGAAAGGGAATTCGAAGGTCAGAGAGAATAAAGTCGATAAGATTATTGTTAACGTCATGTTTGACACAAAGTCATAGAACTGTTAATATGAGGAAAAGCCAGATGATTAAATGATTTTCAAAGTCTAAATTAAAATAAAAAATCTTGTTACTTACGACGTTAGCGTGGGAGAAAAAGCGTTTATATCTTGCAGTCATGTAAACGTAGGTTATTACGGTCCAATGAGTTAGATAAATACCATAACTTAGCCGACTGAGAGGGATAAAGTATATAGAAGATAACTGAAAAAGATTATCAATTTAATTAAAGCTTTAATATTTCCTTTTCTTTTATACAAACAATTTGATTAATAAAACCACCGTAATTTTCATGACATGCCCAAATTACCCAAGCTATACAAAGTCCCCAAACTGGTCTATTTAGAGTTTCGTACGCTTTTCTTTCTGCTAATGTCCATGGTGTAAAATGTTTACTAGCATCAGTCCATTTAGCGTAAAGTAAAATTATAGCGCATGAAGAGAAAAATATCCATCCGAGAAGAATGAAAATACTTGATATTCTTTTATGCTTCTTCATATGCATAACATAAGCAAGAAAAACCCCAATAATATACGGGCCAACCCTCGTATAAGGTTTAACATAAATGCTCTCGTGTATCACACGTTGTTTTTTAAAGCTAATTTGTCCATCATTATCGCTGAAAGTACATTATACTTTATAACTCTTTATATTAAAAAAAAAAGGAAAATTTTCAACTGACATTATACTTCCTAAGAGAAGAGGATTCGCTATAAAATGAACGGCAAACAAAACAAACAAGTAGACAATTGTTATCATCGGTTTACTGATAGAAAAAAACATGTAAAGAGAAAGGGTACTTATTCTTTATTAACTTATAATAAGTTTATATAATTCAATGAAATAAAAGAGATTCTAAATGCGGTATGATAATTTAAAATGATAAAAGTAGGAATACGTACAAAGCATATATGAATAAACCTATTCCCAAGAATATGTATAATTGCATGTCAACACATAGATACCAGGTGTGTCCGAGACACTGAGAAAATTAATAAAAAGTATTAGATAATAAATCTATATATAGAAAATATTTACTGATTCTGATGCTTTAAAAAGGTTATTTATATATAATATATTCCTCCACCAATAGGTTTTGCAAAGACCAAAGTCACCTAAACCATTGCCAGCTTTACGTCTATAGCTCATTTCAATTGGACCTGTTCTTAATCTTGGCAAGATTGTTGAATAAAAAATAATGGTAGCGGCTAAGAATGGTGTAAGCCGCCAAATCCTATGTAGAAAGAAGAGTAGTATTGTTTTAATATTTATGAATTTTTTGCCTCGTTTCTTAAGTTCTTTAATAAAGAGATATGTTGTTAAAAATCCACTGATGACAAAGAATGTATCAACGGAAAGATTAGCATTTAATATTGCTTGAAAAGCTAAACTTTGCGGTAATTTTAAAAATTCCATTCTATTACCTATAAATAAAGAATAATATAATGTTCCCTATTATAAACTATTATCCGATTTATTCACCAGCTCTATCTATCCATAATAAATAGGAATGGCCGAGTACCACCCAACTAATACTTATGGCCCTGATTCCGTGTATAGCCGTAAAACTATTCTGGCTATGTCTAGCATCCAACAGTTTTGATAGATTCGTATAGGCCGAAAACGCACAGATGACTTTGTAGGTAGTACCTTTAGGAAAAAGAAGAATAGTTAAATTTTTTTCTCTCTCTTGGAGAGACAAATAAAGGTGTCAAGTACACTCTATGATCTTTGCCTTTCTCGCTTCATCACAATGATTTTCTACTATATAATCAGCCACAGTACCAAAGATAACGAGTACAGTGAAGGAGGAGAAGAAAAATCTACGAAATTTAATATAAATAATGAAGTTTAATGTTTCTGTAGACTGTAATCGTACATGCCAAATATTGCCGAAACATCTTTAATTAAAGGCGGTTGATCTTTTTCCACTTCGACAAAACCTCTCGCCAATTCGTACTTGCAGCTATCATCGCGAATAATAACTAGAACGTATATCACTATATTACTTTAAGTTTTATAAAAAAAAATACGTGTTACATTTTTTCTTTCTCTCAAAGAACTTTTTACAACTAGGTGTGGCGCAAAATCCTAGCTTAATTCTATCCAATGATTGTTCTAGGCCCAAGAATCCTCTTACAGTAATTTTTAAGTAATGACCATTAAAATATTCCAGTTCTGTATGCGTTCGATTTGCAGAAATACGACCCGAAACACTTTTACACTGATCGTATTCTCCTAACCATTCCCCTTGGGCCAACATAGATGAAAAGCTGCCTTTACCATTGGAATCTAACACTGAATAACAGAAAATTATCTGACAAAGGTCTCAATAAAATTTTTCTTGTACTAGCTTACTTGACCAAGCCCACGTTTCATTAGATTGATAAAGTGTTAATAACTCTTGTTCGCATCGTTCCGCCAGGCGTCTATTGTCAGCGTCAGACTTCAAATCATAATTGCACTGCAGCTCAGTAGTGAGAATATTCCTAACAACAATTTTAGAGATATCCTCCATATTTTCTTGGTTTAATTCAGATTGAATCAATTGTAAAATGTCGCTTCCAGTGACATTTCGTAAATTTTTCATTAAATCTCGCATCTTGTACAAAAATTCATCAACATTCATATCACTATTTTCCAATTGTCCGAAGAATTGCTCTATCATATCTTCATCGATAAGTGCCAGTAAATCATCGATTGCTAACCCTTGACCAGCTGATCTTTCAAGTAAAGAGGCTGAGCAAGTAATTAGTAGAATAATAGGTAAACTCGAAAAAGAAAATATTTTTTGTCGATTTGCGGCCATTACTTGTTTGTAGTCTATCGACAAGAGATACTATCATATTACAGATATGTAGAGAACCGAAATGGTCTGCTTGTAGGGATGCTCTACATACTTTGTACTCTGTACTGTTTTTTTTTTCCCTTTCCATTTTCAATAAATGCTCCCTACTTAGTTTTCTACGTGTACACTCGATGACTCTTTTTAAACATCACTCTGTTACTATAAGAGAACGAGATTTTTACTATATAAGCCTAACTACATGCAATGTATAATATATTGGTATATACTACATGGTGTATGTTGATGAGATTGCAATAGAAATTTAGTACGTCTCCTCCCCATCCCCCACCCCTCTTATAGATCTCCTATATAGTATTGAGCTATTGTACTAAGAGCATTGAACTATTAAGATAAAAATACTTAATTAAAAGAAAAGACAATATGTTAGCGGGACTTTTAAAAATAATTGGTATGGTTACCTGGACAAGAAAATTATATTACCTCTTTAATTTTGCTACAAGCCGTTATATTTAATGTTCTATATATCGTATATGAAAGCTATATGAATAAAAAGTATAAAAAACTTTTATAGTCAGTTTCAACTAGCTATAATATCATTTTATAAATGATTAGTCACTTCCTTGTCATTTTTATAGGATATAATTATTATAGAGAGTACTTAGTTGCTTCTAATACTTAAAAAAGAATCTCCATCTCTTGTATTGAATGATGATTGGTTCACTAATTTTAGAGACTAAGATTACTGTCTTTGCTTAATTTAATATAAGATTATTATTTCCTTTTTTGCCAATTTTTCAACTAAATATAACTTTCCAGCATGCATTAATTTCATTCTTATAGAATAAACTTAGGGTTTCTCTTTTGCTTCTTTAAAGGACTGAATACCGTAATAAGTCTTATATGTCAGCCCTATTATTTGGATTGAAGGATGTGTAGTGAAAGCGGTTGTTTTTCTATACAAGCAAAGAAGTAAAGATATTTCGTATATAAACGTATATACTTATTATACTGTATATAAATATATATATTAGTGTATATACTATATTTGAATAATGAAAACTTTTGACTTATTTGGGAATATCCTATTAGAAAATAAATAACAATATTCATCTATATAAACCGATTAATAAATGCTCTAACTGATTAGATTTTATTGTTAATTTTCATACTCTCTATTCGATATTAGCTTTATCAAAAGTTTTGATATAAAGTAGATACTGTATATTTCACTATAAATATACGTGAAAATGAAATAATAACAATTACTTTCCATCAATTACCACTAATTAATCTTTCTTTTTTTTATATATTTTATATACAATACTTTCTTTTTAAGCTTTTATGAATAATTAATCAGTTAAATGTTATTTTTAATCAGGTTATCATATACTTACCTTTAAGGGGGAGTTTATTCTTTTTTGTTTTTTTAAGTTTTACGTATCAAACAAAATAATTTTGAAGTGAAAAACAAATTAAAGTCGATCGTCTATTGGCTACTTTAACGATAAACATATTCTTTTTGCGTGGTAACGCTTTCTATAATATACGTCATAATTATATATATTTTTAATATATTATTAATTTATGTTATACGTTTAAATTTCCATACATAAACGTATTTATATATATACACACACATGTATATATAAAGGTGGGAGATTATTTAAAAGTGTATATTAGAATAGAAACAAAAGACCGTGAAGGATTACTCTTTTAGCTGTTGACTAAAAAATGTCGACTAAAGAAGTTGTATTTGCTTGTCTTTTATTTTGCTTAATTTCAAACTTAGCTTCGGCTACTTACGGTAATATTTTCTAGTATATTTTCTCTTTCCTTTTTAATCTAATATTTATAAATATTCTACTATTTTCTAATTCTTTTTTTATGCTTTCAGTCTCTTATTATTAATATTTCTTTTATTTAATTAGTTAATTCTCTTATTCTTCTTCTTCTTCTCCTTCTTCTTCTTTTCTTCTTCTTCATATTCTTTTTTAAATAAATTACACAATGCATTAACTCATTATTTTATCTTTTTTCCAGTTGATGATTCCAACAATTTACGAAGTGAAAAACGAACGAATTTAATATCAGTGGCTATTGCAGCTTGCCAACAATGTCGTTCATGGCCGGTTCGTTGTCCACATATCGATATCGATAGATTATGCTATCTGGCAAAGTATTACCGAAAGAACTTATGAAAATATTTATGTTCTCTATTCAATTTTGAGTTTTCTATAAATTTCTTTCTTTTTCCTATAATTATCGTTCTTTTCGCCTCCTCCCCCACCCTTCACGCTTACCTCACTTTCCTACACGTCTCCTTACCATCACTTCTATATTTTCCCTCAATCTATTTTTGTTGTCTGAAACAAATTATTCATCACCTTTTAAAAGGATAATGAAAAAAAAAATAAATATTTACAATTATAAAAAAGACTTTTTTCTTTTTTCCCTCTTTACTCTCTCTTTCTCGCTCTCTCTCTCTCTCTCTCTCTTTCTCCCTATCTTTATACATAAAACAGATCATCAGAGATAAATAAATTAAACGCTTAAAGGGCAGGAAAAGGATAATTAATTCTCTAATCTATGTTCCCTTCAATCATCCTCATGCAATTCGCAACTTTATACGGCACATGTAGATAGTTATATACTATGTATCAACGGTTATTGTCGTATGTAAACTTGGAAAGCTATTCGGAAAAAATAGGCCAAGGTAATTACGTAACAAAGCGATTAAAGACTCATCAATCGCTAAGAAAATGGTTGTTAACAATCAGATGTTAAACAAACAGCGTAAATATCCATATATATATATATATATATATATATTTATATACAGCATATGGTATATAAATAGACATTAGGCTAGCCTCAGACCTAATTTCAAGTGTGACTGTCATTCTGATTATGTGAAACGTAGAAAGATTAAGAAGTTGTGTGTTATTTAGATTTTTATAAAACTGTTATAATTGGATACTCAAATCTTATAGAATACTTCATCAAGTACACTTTATTGTTTATAAACAATAACAATATTAATTCTTAATAATTGAGTTAATCAACACGTGATTAATCAAATTCTCTTATCGGATATAAGTTTTAACAAAGATCGGTAAGTTATTACACGCTTATACGCTATTGATTATAGACATAGTGTGCTGCATTTTATTGCAAAATGTGTTATTCGCATGCTTCTCTTTTATGAACTCTGTGGATGTTTAATCTTGGTTACTTAAAAACATTAACAGGTATCCAATTTAATTACTTCATCGTATAAAAATGTCGGACAACTTTAAATTGAGTGAAGACAAGCCTCAAAACAATAATATTAAGAAGTTCTTAAGAAAAAACCGATACTCGCTTTATGTTCTATCCTTATTAATGTTGGCTTATATGGTTAATCAATGTAACACGTTAGTTATCATTTAAAATATTCTTGTATCTTAAGCTAATAAACGCTAAAAATTCACTTTTTCCTCTTTGGAATAAAGATTTTCACTAGTAGCTACCAATAATAGCATGGCGCAAGATATTAAATATGGCGACAAGGAATGTTCAGTGAAGAATAAAAGCTACTTCTCAGGCACATTAAATTTAACGATTACGGACAAGTTTTGTCAAAGAAACGACAGCATTTGGTGTGAACAAAACAAAGATCCAAATGCATGTTACTGGAAATATTTAGGAACCGGTCTTTCATATCAACTTCTTGCCGGTCCATTGTATATTGTACTATTTAGCCTATCAGGAATCCCCTTAGGTAGTAATACACGGTTTTTCCATTCATAGTTTCTTTGAGATATTTATTTATCATATTTAAAAAAGTGTCTTATAATAACACAGGTTTAATTTCCGAATTGAATAACATTAATAGAAAGATTATACTAGGTGTTTGTGCCATTTTTTGGAGTTTAATGACCTTTCTGTGTGCCTTTTCTACTCAATACTGGCATTTGGCTCTAACAAGATTATTATTAGGAATTTTGTAAGTATACTTTACGAAAATTAATTTTCTAATATGTCAATTAAGCATAAGTAATAACAAATATAAATCATAAAGTAGTATGGTTTCTTGGCCACATAACATCTTTCACATGATTTTAAAATTTTACTAATGCCATCTGTTGGATAATTTATCTTTTCTTACGTTTCCTTTATTTTTAGTTCGGCAGGTTGCGTTCCATTTTGTGCAAGTCTTATATCAAATTATTTTCCAAAGGTATAAAAAGTGTACTTTTACTTTTTTTTTAATGCTAATCCCTGTTTATCGAAAATTTTAATCTATCGAATATATAGATTAATATTAATACACTCCTTACGTATTCTTCATTACAAAACATATTATTTTTCTCTTAACTATCGAAGCCTTATAGAGGAGCTGCTTTGGGATTCTATAATTGGGGAGTTTATCTCGGTTACAGTTTGACTTTTGTCCTATTGATAGCTGAAAAGAAACTAGGATGGAAGGCGGTATATTTTATTGCTGGAAGTCCCGGAATACTTATTGGAATTGTAATATTATTAACTGTCAAAGATCCATCAAGAGGTGAAAACGATGATGATTCCGTTAGTTTTGATATAAATACTGTATAGTATTTAGAAACAATTCGTCTCCTCCTAAATTAATAAGCTTTAAACATTTATAATTCTTCTAGAAAGCTCTGGAGCAGCTATCAACAATGGCTTCCAAATTAAAAGTATCGGTTAAACACTTTATCGATCCAGTTTTACTACTCTTATGCTTCGGTGGGGCTTTAAGAAATGGCGCTGGTATTGTGTGGGCATACAACATTCGTAATTTCTTCAATCAATATCATCCTTCTGTAAATGTAAGTAAAGCAGATTTAAGTGTCAAGTGCCGCTGAAAAAGAGAATTAGAACCAACAATTTAAAAACCTACAGTCCAAATTAGACTTTTTTCAACTAGATCTTACTTTCTGCGGGATTTTTTTATTCTAATTTATTGTTTTATCAAAAGTTTCTATCCAAAAAGTTCTATTTAGTTAAGCGCTAAGGGAGAAAGGCAGAGCGGAGGTTTAAGGCATCATTTGGGACATGTAGATGAACTGGTAATAAAATACTTCCTTTCTCTCTTAGATTGAACAATGGATGTCTTGGATACCTCTAATTTTTGGATCACTAGGAGCTTTTGCCGGTGGATTTCTTTCGGATAAGTTGTCTTCAAAAGATCGGAAAAATTCAGTTATAAAATCAAGATTAACTGTAGTGATATCTTGTCTTATAGTAAGCGCTCCATGCCAGATTGGAACTTTACTTTTACCGTATCCGTGGACCTGGATCGCGCATATATTTGCATATTTGTTTGGAGAGATGTGGATAGGAGTTTGTATTGCCCTCGTAATCGATTTGGTTCCAAATGATTTAACAGCCTCTTCTGTAGCTGTTTACTTCTTTATTATTCAGGTAAACAGTTGATTAATTCTGAATATTCTGTAAGCTATCTCTAAATTTTTATAGATTATTGGTGGTAATATGAACCTTTTTGTCACGCCTATAAGAAAAGCTGTTAATTTAAGAGTAGCATTAATAATAACTTTTCCTGGATTATATATTATAGCTGCTTTTATTTTTATGGTAACCTTAGCAGTTCATCAATCAAGAAAAAAGCAAATGAACAATTTGAAAAAAGAAGAAAATAAACCGTTTCAAAACGTTATCTAGTTTTTCGAAATTATCTATCTAAATAAAATTTGAGTTTGGTCGTGGAAATAGTAACAATAGTGATAACGAAATTGCCAAGAAATATATTACAAAAAACAATCTATCCAAAATTCGAGCAGCGACTATCCATTGAGTATTCAAGCGAACTAGTCGTTCTTCTCGGTTTAATTTGTTCTCCAATAATTCAAAAAGATTTGCCGTTTCAGGTAAATTTTGTTGGAAACCTTCTTTTTTCGAGAAAATTTCCCTAAATCTCTCATTGACTTCGTAAAAATAATATTTATTTTCGCTGTTCGACAGCGAAATAGGTCGAATAAAGAAAATCTTTATTAACGAAGAAGATGTAATCTGCATTAGGGAAATAAAAAATTAAATACTAATCATTAATTAAATTATTTAATAATTTCACATTAAAACACATAAATAGACTTATAGTTCCGAAAATAATAAAATACCTTTTGTAACCAGTACGGGACCGGAATACCATTGCCACCAGCTCTACTAATATTAACAACAATTGTAGAAAGGAAGAGTGAGAGGACAATAATTACCATGTTAAAACAGTAATAAATTCCTAAACAAGGGGAATTATGGTCGTATCATTGACACAATGTAAAAATATAAGTATAAATTTTATATATAATATAATATATATCCTAAAAACACTAAAATTCTGTATATCATGCTTGTTTCTGTTATTAGAGAGAAAAGATGATATAATAGTTGTCTTATGTGTAGTAAATCACAGCAATGGGAAGAAAAAAATTCTAATGTTGCTTATATATTTGTAAAATTCAGGTCAACTATATCACTATACAGTCGCGCTATTAAGTAATTATAACAAGAGTAAAAATATCTAAAATTCCAAATATCTTGATTTACAAATGAAGTTTATGGTTAGGAATAATTTTTTCTGTAAGAGAGATGACTTAGGCAAAATTTTTTAAAATATCTATATTTTAATCATCAGTTTTTCATTCTTTTTTTTACAATACTATGAATTTAGACCGCTATTAAGTAATTATAACAAATCAATCAGGTCCATCAAAAGTACTTTTTTTATTTTACTTATACATTTTTAGATAGGCAAATGATTGTAAATGATAAAATTTTCAAATTTAATACTTGGTATGTATGCCTTTTGCCTTTCTTACTGCATTTAGCCTCCTTTCAATAGAGGCATACAATCCCTGTATCTCAAAATTTGATATTTTGAAAAATTCCTTCTCAAAAATTTCCCACAGCTCTTTCAAATTTCTCCTGGCGATTTTATGTGGTCTACCAGACATATGCAGGTCATTTATTGTTCTAAATTGCTTGAACTGATTCTTTATATTCTGCACTGTAACTGGGCTGCAATTAAATTTTGCTGTTATGCCTTGAATGGTCAATTTTGGCCTGCTTAAGTGGAACAGGATATCTTTGCAGATTTCTAAAGACAGCTGATACATTTTTTAATAATTATGAGGTCATAATGATGATGTTATAATTACTTAATAGCTGTCTAAATTCATAGTATGGTAAAAAAGAAAGATAAATTGATTCTTAAAATATAGATATTTATCTGAAATTTTCCATCATGTTTCACAAGTCATCTATCCTATACAAAAAAATATTCACAACCATACACTTTATTCCTAAATCAAAATATTTCGATTTTTAGACATTTTTACTCTTCTTATAATCACTTAATATCGCGACTGTATAAAAATGGTGGAAAAATTTCTTATGAATAATATATTTCATTAAAAGATTGTTTATCAAACACTTAATTGTTTTTTGCTTAGTTGACATAAAAATAATAAATCTTTTAAGGGAGATTTAATCAAAACTATCTATACTACTTAACATTCTTATCCATGTTTTCAAAGATATTTTCCAGGTATAAAATAATTACATTAAAAACTATAGAATATGTTGATCAGTTAAGAATGACGGATATTATAGTTTTAAAAGGGGGGTATCATTTTTGAAACTCTTATACAGTATATTATTACTTCATCTTTCACTATATGATAGAATTAATTGAAGGACGAAATGATGATAATATATTATGGTGTATGTGCAATTTTTTCCACATTTTTATATAAGAATGTTGATTAAAACTTTATAAGCATCATAGGAATTTATTTTTCATGCAATAGAGATTTACTGTAAATAATAGATAATTATTATGCCATCTCCTGTAATAATAGAAACAACCATTCTACACGCAATTCAGAGTATCTATAATTTTTTGCCAACTGTGTATCGTATGTATAGTATGCTGTAAATCTTTATATCTTGTTATTGATAACTTACCTAATAGTGGTATGTTGGAGGCAGTTGGTGGTGCAGCTTCTACTAGTATTAGTAGTAGAACTAAGAATGAAGAAAAAGTAGACATAGCTAATGATGTTCTATCTGGTCTATCTGGTGGTAGGAGGAAAACTAATAAAGAAAGGGCCGCCAAAAATACGCAAGGCAACGTTAGAACATAGGATGTAAACACAAATTTCCTCTTCAAGCTTAATGAAAACGTTAACACTCCAAAAGCATCTTTTTGAGAGGGAAAAAACAATTTTTTCGCTGTTGTATTAGCAATCTCCCACGGACAACTCTCTTTATAATCGGTTTGAAAGGCCCTTAGGTCAATTCCTTTCGCCTTCTTAAATAAACGAGCGTCAATTTCACTGTTAAAGTATGTCCAAGAGCCAAACCATAATTGACAGTGTTGTTCGTCAAAAGGAAAAGATCGAACATCAACTGAGCAGGACGATTTAAAAATTTGATGAGGCAGCCATTGAACTTTCCCAGTATGTGTGACAACCATTAAAGCTTCTCTTTCGTCAATTTTTACTGCAGCTCTATTGGTTTTTTCATACAAGTTTTTTTAACTATTAAAAGTATTGAATGGTTAAACTCACGTATTATAGAGCATTATATCTGGTTTCCATACAAACTTTGGATTTATTCTTATTTTAACTAAACCTCCATAGTCTTCTGGGGACCATCTAAGATATTCATCTTGCCATTTCTAACAAATTTTCAAATATTTTTTTTTAAAGGAATAAGCTTTTAAACATTTTCAAAGAAAGCTAAAAACTACTTTAATATACCTAATTTAGTTTACTTACGTGCTTAACCCACATACTGGTAGTCAGTACTCTATTCTTTTCATCAAGGTCAATTTGTACCAATCCAAGTCCTAATTCTACAATTGTAGCTGTACTATCATTAATTACAGGTCGCCCATTGAGTCCTACAAGTTTGTAATTTGCCAATAAATCCAAAATAATCTTCTTTTCATACGACATATTTCTATGGTTGAAAAGTGTAATACATTTTCAATTAAAAACCTACATTTACAAATATTTAAAAGCAATGTTATTTTTCCTATTCAAAATAACAATCTCATTCACAAATGAGAGACTTACAAATTTGAATTAGAAGATCCATTACATGACGTAATTGTCGGGATACATGAATGGAACAAAAGGATGAAGAAGAGCTTCATGTTTGAAGTCAGGGCGCCTAGTACAGTTTACATTTGCAGTAGAGGTCAGGACTGTGCGGTGTAAAAGTGTTTGAGAAATGACACGCCTTAAACATTTCTTTAAACTCTTTTATCCAAAATACAATTACAATAATAACCTTTATAAAAGATATACTGTGTAATAACATAAAAAGCATCTTCGGCTATTCATGACCTATTTAATAATCAAAGGAAGAAATTGTTTTTAATTGAAATCAGAGAGTTAAAAAGGAAAACTGCGAAGAATAAGGCATAATTCATCAGAAGATTTTCTAATGTATAGTGGATTAAAGAACATAAGAAAATGTACGAGAAAGATAATTCAATAAATATAAAGGATTCGTGACAAAAAAATATCAAGAGCATTATTGTCATTTTACATAAAATCCTTTAAATAATCCTCGAAGAAATATTTAAGACAAAAGAAGCAAGAAGAGAAATGTTTCTAATTTCTAAACTATTAAGAACAAAAATTTAAACCTATTAAAAGAACATTTTTATCTTTTCTAATGATTTTTACAGTGAAAAAAAGACTTTAAAGTATTCCTTTGAATGCAATAATGATGAATGATTCCATTATTAAAAGCAAATCCCACAAATAGACAAGGCATTTGGGTATTTTATTTCATTGTTAAAAGCATTTTAATTTTCTAAAAAGATGAACTTTATACAAGTTTAATTTAAATTAATGAAAAGCGAAATTTCCGTAAATTAAGTTGTGCAATGTGAACATGAAACAAGATGAGATCTAAAACGCCAGTCGTTATCCCAAAATCCTGTACAATCATAACTACCATGGCCAGTTGAACGAAAGTCTCGATTTGTAATGATAAAGTCAGGTATCAGATTTGAAAACTATACAATCACGGTTAAGGAATGAGAAAGAAACGTAAAATTAGTAATACAAAGAGAAATATTAATAACACTTACAGGTGATCTTGCCATGGGAGGTATAGTAGGTGATGCCAAACTTAAAATGTCAAGCAATCTTTCCATATTAGTAGCGTAAAGCAATAACGCTAATCTATTATTTAGTCCATGCTAGTGTTTGGGGCGTGATAGAATTTTTATCCAATTATTAAACAGTTACAATTAAAATAATAAATAAAAAATAATCTCTTTTTATACACATGCAATATAAACTAATATATACTGTATATATACTTTAAGATGATTAAAACTCCAAATTTAGAGCAATGTACTCACTTTGTTTGATATTGGAGCTAAAGATAGTACACCAGCATCCGACCATTGACAAGAACCAAGTTTAATTATTCCTGTTTTGCAGCGAAAATTAAATTTATGTTAGTTATTTTACTGGGAAAAAATTTCAAGTATAAGAAACTACTAAACCTGTTTCTGTAAATTTAATCGGTATAGTACTGGATAAAGATTTTGCTACTCTATTTTTATTAGGTGACCCGATAAGGATAAGATTATAATCTTAATTGAAATGGAAATCGATTGTTATTAGTTGCTTGTAAAATGCAAAATCAATTTGTATATAAAACCTTCATAGTTGTTCACATCTGTATCCTTTATAATTGGTACATAAGAATCGGATGTTAAAAAGAATTGATTTGCCAGGTAAACTCCCATATGTTGAAAGAGGGATAACGTTTCCGAGTCGCTTAGAGTTCCTTAAATATCAAAAGATATTAGCGGACAGAGTTCCTCTGATTTTCAAACAATATTACCCAAGACAATTGCAAACTTGTGCTCCGCAACTCTTCTAGCTGGACCTAGTGTGTTTAAATTTCTTTTATCAGCATCGTTCAAACATCTCTCCCACTTTCCTGCAAAATTAACAAGTTGAAAGAAGAGACGCGTGATTTTTGTCCTAAACAATAAATACAACCATCAATAAAACAGAAGTCCTTAATTTTGATTGTATCCAGTGTTTCAGTGAAAACTTCATTACCGTCCAAGTACAATATATGATGAAAATATTCATCAGAAAACCTCAACTTTTCAGCATTTTTTGTTGAAATATTGGTAAAAGTTTCATGTTTCTCAACCTAAAATTTTAAAAGACAGCTTTAATAAAGATTATTAAACAAATGAGTATGCTATACAATACTTTTATAATGGTTTCTCTCATGGGTATAATTTGACGAAGAACATGCAGCCCATTAACAGGTCCTGAACCAGCTGGATTAATTACTACTATTTGAAACTTTGTTTGTGTTTGTTTGCGATAGAGAGAATGAGGCATTTCGTTATTGCATTTATTACTATCACACTTAATATCATCTAGAGATGCTGCTGCTATTGTAAATTTCCTCAACTCTTCGTCATTTGTTGCCCCACCATCATTGGTTTCCCTAAAAAGAAAAGTTATTTAATAAAGCAGTGATATAAAAGAAGATAATAGGATAAAGTTCTCACCAAGTATCCCACCACCAATGTTCTTTTCCCTTTATTTCTGAGTAAGTGACATTTAATAAATGTTGTTTCAGCAATCTCAACATTTTCCTAGAGAAAAAAGGATGAACCGTTCTGTCAGAGCTACCAACTCTTACCATTATGGGTATATCCTTTTATGTTTAAAAGGGATTAAATTTGAATAATAGTATAAAATAATAATAGATAATACATACGTGTAAATTCGAAACCAATCGATTCACGTTGTTTTCTGCAATAGACGCTTCAAGAAAGTATTTGGTTATAGGATCAGTAAAATCTAGCGATTGGTCGTGACTGTTATAATATAACGATTAGTTAAAACGTTCTCTTTATTAGAGAAACTCCTCAAACCCACACAAAAAATAAGTTGCTATCACCGTAGGATTCCTTGGAAATCCAACCTGCAAGTGCGATCACCCCAAGAGCTTTATCGGGATAATGAGTGGCTAAGTGCCAAGCTCCATGACCACCCATTGAATGACCTGATATTGAATTAAAATGAATGTATCACGATTAAAACTTAGATAAACACACTCCCCCGCCCACGCCCTGTTTTATTACCCGCATATATAACATGTTCTGAGGAAGCTTTGTCATGTATAAAATCCAAAGTTTTAATAAGTTTCTCAAATTCACTTAGAGATGTCAGGGCTGTCAAAGAGCCAGGTCCTTCCCAATTATGTGCTCCATGTCTAAAATGATGGGAACGTTTTAAAAGCATGAAGGAGCGCAGCTAATAAAAAGTAACCTAGATGGAGCCAAAATGAAGCTGTTTTCGATACCAAAAATAAAATCTCCTTTACCATCTCCTCGCTTGTAGCTGTCTGCATGATTACGGGGAGGAACAGTCGTTCCATGGAGAGTTAGAACAATAGAGCAAAGGCCGCAATTGTTTAATGGTACTATTGCGGCTGCTTGCTGTATAGAATCATCGTGGTCTACAAATGTAAAGACAAATGACTGATCCAAATTTCGACATAGCAATTCTAAATTTAAAGTCTGATCGGCTATTTTGATAGTCAATTTTAAATTCCCTTTACTGCAATCCTCAGCAACTCTATTACCATCTTTCGTTTTAACGATTAACTGTAACGTTGTAATTTGGCCTCCAACTATAGAAAATTGATTTCTTATTGATATTGTTAGAGGACGACCGTAAGATTGTTTTATGATTTTCAGCTTTATTTTTCCTATACTGATTGACTTTTCTTGTGATGGGTAAATAACAGGCAATGGTATATAACCATTTAGGATGTGTCCGTCAAGAAGGTCAGGTAAGAAATGAGGTGGATATGCAATCAGCGAGGCTTCGTTTAAAATCCTAACGATGCATTGCGTATCAAATCTCACTTTGGATCTTACTCGTAGTAGTATATGATTGATTCCTCTTTTAACTGGTACGTTAAACCAATACTGCTGGCGATGATATAAATCGTTTGCAACAGGTATATTATTAATGTATACTGTATGGACTCCAGTACACCTCATTTGAACAATTTTCTTGTCAGAAGCCACCAGTATATGTCCGACTAACATACCCTGCCATTCAGTGACGCCCATTGAACCTAATGTATTCACTAAATCATTCCATAATACGCTCGGTATTATTTGGATATATCCTTCCTTCGATTGTCCTATATGTTTCCACGATACAGTTCCTTTCATTACCAATTCACTAAAAAATTCTTTCTTCGTATAGCGTGATCTTAATATTTCGGTTATATTTCCAAAACTAAAAATACTATCTCCATCGATTTCTGTCTTTCCTATTACGAAAGGTCCAAGAAAATGCCATCCTTGAAGATTAACTTTCTCATATTTTGAAGCATGTTTAAAACAACTATCTATAACATTTACATCTTCATCTAGCCGTCTGAAACCTTCGCATAACTTTACCCAGGATACACCTTCGCGCGGAAACTCTTCTAATCTTTTAATAAGACACGATAAAGCAGCTTTAATCTAGATTAATAATATATGTTTAGCTCTGTAAATTCCATATACTATATTCTTTGCGACTTACTTTATTAAAAGAAAGCCATTTATCTATTATTTGATTATCATACTCCTTGATAGAGCATTCTGGTAATTCTTCTTTATATTTATCAACAGAATTTTGTAATTGTTTCTAAAAAATTGTCAAAAGCGGAAATAAAAAAACCGCATGAAATTAGGACTTACTGATAATTTTCCGCTAACTGAAAAGACTATTGTAAAGCATATAATGGTATAAATGAGTAAGAATTTTCTATTAAGACTTCTGACAGACATAACTGAATAACTTCGCTTTAATTACGCTTTAAGATTCAAACATTTCGCGAATGTTTGAGTGAGTTTATTTTTTTTTGAAGAAAATGGATTTTTTCTATGTCAATCAAATATATTACACTTATCAAGAATAAGATATCGAAGAACACGTCAAAAAAGAGAACTATACTCGCCAAAAACAGATGTTCTTAGCGATTAGAAGATGTATTTAAGTATGCATAACTTAAGAAAAAGAAAAAAAAAATAGACAAAAACCTTAGAACCCAAGATTTTAATAAGTTTTTAAGCAACCTCTTAGAGACACTATTATCCATTTAGGATTAAGAATATAAATAATGGATGGGTTGTTAATTCTTTAAGGAACATTCTTTATCTATCCATTAAAATTTTAATTTCCATATTTTTTTATTGCTATGAATAATGTATATTAATTATATGAGATAAAATTTTCAAATAACAAGTTTAGTAACAACTCACGTGATTCAAAACATAAATGTAAATAGGAACAAAGTCGTATAGTATTGATTCATTTATTCTAGAAAATTGTTTCTTCCCTTTTTTTAAATATCTTTTTTCTTTACAAGAGTTTCTTTTAAAAGCTAATTGAATTTTTTAACAATTTTACACAATGGCTTCCTGTACTTTTGCCAAATACGGTTTAAGTTCTTCCTCCATGTTCAGAATATGTCCAGAATTGCTGCTAGAATCTGCTATAAGTACCAAGATTGATGAATTACAACTAATAGATATAATCTGCAATAAAAGTATCTTTTGCAAATATTTTCAGATGTTATTAAATATTTCTCACTTGCTTAGAACCATATTCAATCAACATTTTTTTATTAGATGATAATCCTAGTTTAGAAGCCTGTTCTATTGCCAAGGAAAACGTGGACAAAAAATGAGCATGTTCGCTCTCGTCATCCAATGTTTTGTCACTCACTAAAATTGCCAAAGTAAAAACATTTGATCATAATAAAAAAAAGAGAAACCTTTTAATATCGGAACACCTTCTCGGTCACATATGATTATACAATGCAATCCTGCTACACTGTATAGTAAAATTCATTTATAGAACTCCTTGCAATAGTTTAGAAATATATACTTACGATTTCATATGTTGTCGAAACTCTCTTTTAAGTTCCTGTTGAACGAAAATAATGAATTGCATGTAAATAAGTCCAATTCTAATTTATCTAGCACTTATAATTAATTTTTAAAAATAATTTTCAAATATTATAACACCATTAAAGTGTATATATCTTAAACATTTGATTTCGTTAATGTAAATGATCTCAATAATTAATAAAATGTTTTTATACCTCAACCATTCTTTCTCATATGATCAAATATACAAACAGGGTAAGCCTAGAATACACCGTCAGCAGGGACTTCCATATTTTCTTCTAAATGCCCCATCCTCTTCCGTTCTGTCTCATAATGTCTTTTTCATCATGTCTATTTATAGTGCACTCATATTATTCTTACGAACAAGACCTCACAAAAGCCGGATATTTATTTCCGTGTAAGCAAGTTATGAATTTGTAAAGTGCGAAATTGCCTGTATATTCTGTAGTATAAGTATTACTAGTTATTTGAAATTTCTCTTAAGACATTTACAGATCGTAAATGCATTTATTTGGTAATCCCTAGCATAAAAGAGTTATTGACTTGTTCCAAAAAAGAACATGTATTAGTCGTATTTCCGCAGCAAATTTTTTTTTCGCATGTAATGAAGTGCACTGACGAAAAATTACAAATTTATAAATACAGTATTTACCCTGCATTCACTGACCAAACAGACTAAAGGCTAGCTCATTCACTGCATCAAGAAAAACAACGAACATTTGAATTTCCTGGTTATTTCAAGCTTCAAATGTTTAATGGCAATATACAATTTGAATCTACTTACGGAACAGAATATGAAAGAAGACATCATATACAAAAGATATGATATATATATATATATATATTTATATTTATATATATATATATATACATAATATACATGTATATGTTAATTGTATATGAATTGCCTAAATAAAATGTCGAATAATCATTTTTAATTATATAGCACATAAAAAACAAGGTGTACATGTTTAGATACGTATAGATATTATTTATTATATCTACTTAGAAAAACAACACAACTACATTTTACATTATACATGCAGTACCATCGTCACTTTTAAAAAAACGATAATCTTTTTAGAGTAGCGTCGTTAGCAATTAGTTTCGTGTTTTAAAAAAAGTGAAGGTCAAAGGGCAACATTGGGACAACTATCTCAAAGAGTTTAGGTCAAACGCTTTCAGCTAACATACAGTTTTCAATCATTCAGTTCAATGTCCTTGTAAAAACAGTGCATTATACAACAACATTGCATTCCATATAAACGATTCAGCCCAAAAATAAACAACCGTAATGCATGACCAATAAATAAACAAAATAGTTTGGCTTTTTCACCAATCAGAACATTCCTATACGAAGTCAATTGCGAAACCGAACTCATTGTTTCTTCTTATTCGTCTGAGTTTGGTGCTGCAGCTTAAGTTTTTCTAATTTTTTCCACATCTCTTCTCTCTCCTTTTCCTTCTTTCTTTCTCTGAAATGGTACAAGAATGCTAATAGATTAGAGGGCCATAACATTAATTATACTACTTTTGCCTCTCTGCCTTATAATTATTGGTAAGTTCATCGAAGAGAGTCGAATTCATTTCCATAAACGTCCTAAGAACACTATAAATAAGAGCTACGATAGTCTGATTCCAATGCTCTTTCGAAATACGATACAATGAAGGAAACATAATTGGCATGATGACCTTGATGTTCTCTTCCATCAAACCCATAACGTAGTCATTATTCCAGTAATATAAAGCGCGTTCGGCTACCTACAAAGACAAAACAATTGATCAACGGATGTGAGTGCAAAAATTCGAATTTACGCTAAGTACCTGGAAATGAGGAGATGCTACACATTTAGCAATCTGCTTGAATAGTATTTCCATGATCCTTTGAAACTGAGTAGGTTCGATGACGTCGAGTATTTCTTCGATTTCGCCCAAAAACATCACCTCTTTTGTGCTGCAGGTTTTGGGCCAATATTTTAAAAGGCCCTTTACTACGGGTTCGGTTAGTGTAGCGTCCTTCTCAAGAAACTGCACGACACAATAGGCGAGTTGTGCATGATATAAACTCAGCGTCTTTGATTTATGCAAGGGAATGAGCACTCTGATTAAAAACTGCTTATGCTCCACTTTCAAGGGCAATGCGAAACCGTTAATAATACTACCAAGAATTTCCAACAATTCGCCAATGCCATTAAATTTTTCAGTTTCATAAATAAACCTATTAAAGAAGTATCATTTTATATAGTGTAATAATTCACTTACCATATCTTCTTTGCTTATTGAATTACCTGAGAAAAATGTGGTTGATTTGTTTGCGTATAAATGCGCGAAGACCTAGAAACTTTCCATATATACGATGAAGAACAGTTTTCAAGAAATCTCTCTCTCTTGGATCTTCACTATCGAATAAATCGAGAAGCTGAAAAAAACGAATGATAGAACGTTGTCATGGTTACAAAAGCCATAATGTATTAGAACCTGCAAAACGAATTTCTGATCAATGTATTTCTTCACAAACGACGTTTGGAAGTCCTGCGATTCGAGGAAACGCAGAAAGAATTCGTAGACTAGCTGCAGATGAGGCCAAGATGCTTCTAGTGCCGGATCGTCCTCTTCCGGATCGAAGTCGGGATTGTCGGATGGCGGAAGTGTACGCAAGATATTCGCCGAAATCATTTTCACGATTTCCGGACAAACAGTTTCAGTAAGAACACCTCTGTTTGCCGTCACGTATTCGACAATCTCATTTAGTGCGGCCCTTTTTATTTCCTTACTTTTCAGATCGGCCACCGTATCCATAAAGTCGAACACGATACAGCACTGTTGCAATTTCCTTACGAATAAATCTTGTTGTTCATTCCCAGGAGCGTCTGTAGCCCAAGAATGAAAACATTTTTAATTACTTAACTACACCAAGTTTTGAATAGGTGAGTTTCAAAAGATTTGTTAAAATGATATTCGCCACCGTCAAACTTCATTCATATCTTAAATAATAAAATCAATAGATATTAAAAATGTATTACTATACCTTTCAAAATCGGCAACGGTGTTAATTCCGTTTGGCCTTTGTTTCGGAAATGCGACGATCCTTGACTACGTTTCTGTTTTCTTGTTTTAACGGATATTTTATTCAAGAAGGGATCGGTTATGCGATCCCCTTTCTCTTTATTCGATGCCATATCGTTTTATTAGAATTTAAATCTTCAGTTCAGATTCGCTCCCTCCTTAATTTCTTGCTTTTCGATAATAGGTTTCTGTATATATAGTCCGTAGTAACTAATAACACCATTATCGGCCGACTCTTTCAACTGATCACATAGGCATTCGAATTCGATTGCCGCTATCCGGAACGCACTGTCCCTTATCCTAATGAAGACAGGCGTTATACAACTTGTTCCCAAGATCACGATCAATCAATCAAACACCTAAATCCGATAATCTTAGCAGCGAAATATGACTGTTCATTGAAATCTCGTCAGAACAATATGGCGGTAAATCGCGATTTTCCGAGACTGTGTTATGGACTCTAACGCCATCTGATGTTCTAACATATTTTTTAACTTTTAAATTAGCCTAAATTTGACTGTAATTTATTCAAATAACTAATAAAAGTTCGAAAATTAATATTTACTATAAAAAAATGGCGGAACAATTTTTATACTCATCAAAAAATCGAAAATGTATTACCGATTGTGTATGTCAATTGAGGGAATATAGAGAAAGAAAGAGTCGTTCAAAATCAACATCAAGACATCAACATGATATTTTACCTTTAACTGAAGAAAATCTAAAACGCCTTCATCCTATGTACTTGGAAGAGTCACAGTGCCCTATTGAAAAATGGCTAAAGAAAGTTCAGAAGTCTTGGCCACCAAGTCCCTTACGCCCACCCTCAAAGAATTCCGGAAACCGGCCTATGTATCGACATTTTTAATAACAAAGTAAAAATTTAAAAGTAAGCAAATGTACTTTTTTCTACTAAACACGACTTATTATAATAGTGTCAACTAAAGTTCCTCTTTTTATCATATTCATGTCATCACTCTTTGAAGGTAATTTGATTAGGCAATTAGCGCTTTTCATACTTAAAAGTCTACTGCTCATTTGATTTCCAGTACTTACGACCGATGGAAAATCTTCATTCGTCCAACTTAAGATACCTCTATGATATTCTGGACGCGGATCCAATTTAATATCGGATGCAATCTAATAAAGACATAATACGCCAATTATTATAGTATAATCAAATAAAATATTGTTTTACCCTCGCTTTAATCACCGGTCTCATAAAAGAATTATCATTAGACATTTTCTTAAGAGCAGGAACGATATACAGATTGAAGGTGACAATGGCCGATACTGGATTTCCTGGTAGACAGAAAATTAACTTCTTTTTCCCTTCATGCATCAAAGTAGCAAAGCATGTTGGCTTTCTTTAATAAAATATTAACTACAGTTACAATATGTCGAGCATACGGTGTACTAATAATTTAAATATTTCCGTAATAGATTACCCTGGCTTCATAAACACTCTTGCAAAATGAATTATGGCGTTAAAGTCTGCTTTCAGAACGTCTTTTAACAAATCCTGTCGATGATTATTACTTGTTTAAAGGAACAATATTTTTTCATTAATAACCTTTTCACCCATAGAAATTCCTCCAGACGTTATAACGACGTCTACAGTTTTAAAAGCTTGATGCAGCTGCTTAAGTAGATCTGTAGCCCTATATGATTTTAATTATAAAGTTTGTCCTTTTAATTGAAAACTCATCCTATACTAACGTATCCTTGGCAACTCCAAGACATACTGGCTGGATTCCCTCATTCATTACAGCTGCTTTTAAAGTTGTTCTATTACTATCACGAATTTTGCCTGGTTTTAAGCTCTCCTCAGGTTCCAATAGCTCATTCCCTGTAGACATAACGCCAATTCGAGGCTGCTTAAAGCATTGCACCTTTGAAATAGAAAGAAGAAGATACAGCGTATATATATATATTAATTGTAAAAAAGTTACAAATATGGAAAAACCTCAGTTACTCCAACAGTAGCCAAGAGGCCAAGTTCTGATGGACCCAAGTGATTGCCTTTTCTCAGAATTATCTCGTTTTTCGGTATATCGAATCCTATGGGCCTTATATCTTGACCTGGTTTCGGAGGTGTCAAGATTTCAATCTCTAACTCTTCTTTACCAGCATTTGCATCTTTTACGAGTTTGGTACTCTCTACTTCAATAACGCAATCCGCGCCGACAGGAATTTGAGCTCCAGTGCTTATTCTAACACAATAACCGGGTACAACTTTGTGCTCAGACTACTCCAAAAGAATAAAATATCTAAGTTAGGAGGATAACATTTTGTTAATATTTAACTAACTGCAGAGCCAGCGGTTGAATCTCCCAAAACCAATCTATGGCCAGCACCATCAGAAGAGATACACGCATAACCGTCCTTGATTGAGGCTGGATAAGGCGGTAAAGCATCTTTGGCCAAAACATCCTCTGCAACGATTCTATGGAGCGCATCTACTCGAAAGTATAAAGTCGCTTAGCTATCTCATTTAAACAACAGAAAAAATCTATTTGCCTACTTTTATAATTGACTGTCTCAGTAGGTAAGAGCTCAACTTGTTCTAAAACCTTTGACAAAGCCTCCTCAACACTAATCATGGGGTAGGGAGATTTCCTTGGCCTAAGAGCTACGTTATCAGGCCAAACAGCTGAGACGAGCGTCTCGAGCTCTTGATGATGATGGTGGTGGTGTTGGTGCTGGTCACTTCCCATATCTTTGTGAATCTTTTCAGAACCAATCTTATCATCCGTTAGCAATTGAACAGCGTGTTTTAAAACCGGAGCAACTATTTTCAAACACTCCTGTGATCCTTTGAGGCTTCCAGGAAGATTGATTATTAAAGTTCTTTTTCTAATTCCAGAGCAAAGCCTTGATAGCATTGCCATACAAGTTATTTTAAGCGATTCACTCAAAAGAGCCAAACTAATACCAGGAGTTTCCTTTTCAATAACAGCTTTAGTTGCCTTTTGATAATAATTTTAAATGTATTAGTTTAAACCATCATTGAAAATATTTAATAAGAAAAATTTACTTCAGGCGTCACATCTCTTGCGGCAAAACCCGTACCGCCAACCGTTAACAAGATATTTACTTCATCTTCATCACACCACTGCATTAAGTTTTGTTTTATATCTTCGAAGTTGTCTTTTACAATATTTCTTCGCGTAACTTGACATTCAACATTTGACCTATTAAAATTTTCCCCTATAATGTGAAACTTACTGCCTGATTCCTAAAGAGATTTTTACTTACAATAGCTTTTGACCAGTTAATAATGAACAGATTATGTCACTCTTATCTGTATGCTCTCCAGAATATCCTCTATCACTAACTGTTTAGTATAAATTTCATATTTAATACGTTGCATATACAAGTATTTAGTTGTATTTATACCAGCAATAACACCAAATTTAATGACATTGGTTTCAGCCATGGATAATTGATATTAATCTCTGAATTACGAAAATATTGATTGAAAATATAAGAGTTTTTAACGATATCTATTTCTTATATTGTGAGAGGTAGCGGGGCCTATGCTCAATATAATTGTTACGTTTTTGGTGCGGAAGTGTGAACCCTATATTTTGTTTAGATGAAAAAGATTAACACTTCTCTTTAACTCTCTACAAATTGATCTCAAATACGAATAGTTTTGTTTGTTCAAGCAAATCTATGCTTATATCTGCTAAAAACATGTGAAATAATACTTGATCATAATCTTTTATTTCACTGTCGTTGCGAAATACTACATGTAAGGCTAGTCCTAATTCTTCACCTATATAATTAAGTATATATAGAACTGGCTTGTGCTAAAAACATATAGCCAATTGGGAACATGACAGCACAATGGTTAGTCGAACTTTTGGACAAATACTCGTCCAAAAATTACCATATTGAATATAATGGATTTCTGTCGAATCATATGATACATGGTATTATAGCTCTGTATAAACTAGCAGCCGATGAAAAGAGAATTCAAGAATTTATCAAGTTTTATACTCATAAACTCCGCGATCCTGAGGCGATAAACGATGAATATACCATAGAAGATTTGAAAGGAGCGCGCATTTCTTATCCGAAGGTAGTCAACTACTATAGAGGAGTTTATCGCGATTGTAACAATGATATGAAAGCAGTACTTGAAAAAGTATGGCCCCAATTATGTGATGGAATAGGTGGATCAGCAATTCATGGTTTAATTCATTTGGGTTATGCTTTATCGGTGGAGCACGATCCAAGTGCAATAGATGGATTGGCTTATACTCATCATTCGCACATTCCGTTAGTTTGCGACAGGTTCAATAAAAATCCGGCTATCTTTGGCCAAGGGAACGAGAATCCCCTTAGTATTGCACAAGAGATGGGTGAGAAATTAACTGATAAAATGTTTAGTAAAGTTGAAGACGAATTAATGCAGAAATTCCCCAACAACCTCCAAAGACTAATTGCTATTCTTCATACGTTCTATCCGGAAGAGGTTTTGGAATTCGTTGGCCGTATTCAAGTACCTAAGGACATAAAGACTTGTTTGGACTTAGCATACTATGCTTTGCATCTTTCTCTTATTGTTTATGTAAAATCTGCACGAAAGAATGATTTTTTCTTACTTCATGGTATAACTTCAGGATGGGCTTTAACAAAGGTTGTTAAGATTCTTGGAGATTGTGATTTATCCAGAAGATCAATTACAGCTTATATGGCTACATTACTAACTGTTTATGTGGGACAACTATCACCCAAGTTAACTAGTACTGACGAAGTTAAAGATGATGTTAACGAAGAATGGTGGGAGAAAATCACAGAGGAATTGTTAGCACGAGAATTAGATGAGCATGTTTATAAGTTGACTCAAGTTTGCAAAGAATTATGGAAGGATAGAGGATGGCCCGAGTGTCCCACTGCTGCAAGAATTGCGTTAGATCATTCTTTTAAATTCGAAGATTAGCAGAATAAAATTTATCTCTGATTTGATAGTATTAAATTGAGTAAATAATCTATTTTTATCATAATATCTAACTTTCTTTCTGTCACTCTTTGAATCAGCGCGTCTCAAGAGAATTTAAATTTCCTTTTTAAATATAGCTCTAACGGGAATGGAGATAATGATGACGCTTGGGGTACTACTTTTAGGCCCATATTCAAGGCACATTCCTAATCGAATGGTTGGATTTCATCTATATCATAACGTTGCACTTGCTTTGTTTTATAACTTTAAAATTACATTTTTCAATATGTCTTTTTCTTCGCTTGACATTCTACATTTGACCTATTACTGTTTCCCCTTAGGATGCTAAGTATACTCTGTGTTTTCTACATAGGCCTTACTTACATGTGTAATACTTTTGTACCTATATATTTATACTCTGCTGTAATGTTCTCTATCATCGACTGCAATGAATAAAATTTCATTTTTATGTACAATATATATGTGCATTTAATAATAATAGAACATGATAGAATATCACATTTACTGACATTATAGTGATCATGAATAATAAAAACTATTCATTTTGTTGCTAAAAGCCAATTGAAAATATGAGTCTTAACGACATCTACCGGTGATGTCCATGAGCGCTAGACTGGTTGTTGCTTTCTCATAGGTATCACTTTCCGTTTGGGAAGTGTGAGCCTTATTTCTAATTGTTTCCCTAAAAAAAATCACAAACTCACCGTTCGCTCTATTTCTCAACCTAATTTGCTCCAATATAGAACTTTATACAAACATTTTGCATTATGACGACACCGTGGCTAGTCGAACTTTTGGACAAATATTCATCTAAAAATTATCATATTGAATACGATGGATTTCTGTCGAATCATATGATACATGGTATTATAGCTCTGTATAGGCTAGCAGCCGATGAAAAGAGAATTCAAGAATTTATCAAGTTTTATACTCATAAACTTCGTGATCCAGAAGTGGTGAAAGAAGAACTTACTATAGAAGATTTGAAAGGAGCGCGCATTTCTTATCCGAAGCTGGTCGAATATTATAGAGGAGTTTATCGCGATTGTAACAATGATATGAAAACTGTACTTGAAAAAGTATGGCCCCAATTATGTGACGGATCAGCTGGATCAGCGATTCATGGTTTAATTCATTTGGGTTATGCTTTATCGGTGGAGCATGATCCAAGTGCAATAGATGGATTGGCTTATGTTCATCATTCATACATTCCTATAACTTGTGAGAAATTAAATAAAAATCCGGCTATTTTTGGTCAGGGAAAAGAAAATCCTTTTATCGTTGTCAACGACATGACTGAGAAATTAACTGATAAAATGCTCAATAAAGTTGAAGATGAGACAATTCAGAAAATGGCTAACAGCTACCTTCAAAGACGAATTGCTGCACTTTTTAAGTTCTATCCGGAAGAGGTTTTGGAATTCGTTGGCCGTATTCAAGTACCTAAGGACGTAAAGACTTGTTTGGACTTAGCATACTATGCTTTGCATCTTTCTCTTATTGTTTATGTAAAATCCGCACGAAAGAATGATTTTTTCTTACTTCATGGTATAACTTCAGGATGGTCTGTTGTACAGATTGTTAAGATTCTTGGAGATTGTGATTTATCCAGAAGAACAATTACAGTTTATATGGCTATATTATTAAGTGCCTATGTAGGACAGCTATCACCTAAGTTAAACAGTACTGATGAAGTCAAAGATGAAGTTAATGACGAATGGTGGAAGAAAATCACAGAGGAATTGTTAGCACGAGAATTAGATGAGCACATTTACAAGTTGATTCAAGTTTGCAAAGAATTGTGGAAGGATAAAGGATGGCCCGAGTGTCCCATAGCAGCACGAATAGCTTTAGATCATTCTTTGAAATTCAGAGATTAATATTTGTCTTTTCATTTGATCACAATAAAATAAATGATAAATATATCTTCATGATATTATCAGTCAAACAGTAATTTCGGTACGTCACCCGATAAGGGTTCGTCTTCGAGACCCAAGTGAGAATCAAAGGGCAGTTGTGAATTCTGGTCAGTCACCTTTTGAGAGTGAGCACGCCTCATATGAGTTTTCAAATTTCCTTTCTGAACGAAGCCCTGATTGCAATGAGGGCAATGATGTTGCTTGTCGCCTGAGTGTTTCTTTAGATGCATATTCAAAGCGTTTTTCTGATTGAATGCTTTGTCACACAAATCACACTGAAATGGTCGTTCACCAGTATGAATTCTAATATGACGCTGCAGTTGAGAAGGTTTTTGAAATGATTTCGTACAATGTTGGCATTTGTGAGGAGTCGGTCTCGGTTTTTGTTCACCTTCGCCGTGAACATCTCTCAGATGCTCTGATAAATGGTAGGCTCTTTTAAAAGCTTTTCCACAAAATTTACATTTATGAGCTCTCTCAGTTTTCATACTAGGTGCGGTTTGTACAACTATGGGCGTTACGGCATTTTCGTCATCCTTAGATCGATTATCAACTGCTGAAAAAAGAAATATTGGATGTCCCGTCCCATCTTGTTGAATATCTGTTACTGACACTCCGTAACGTTCTATTTCGGATGTGTCAATTACGACAGATGTAGGATGCGATCTAGCACACTGTGATGAGTCCTGCTCAGCCATATCGGAATTTGGATCTACCGGTAAATCCATCATATTACCCGCATGCTCAACAAGCATTTGGAAGTCTGCGGGATTAATTTGTAATTGACTATTAGGAAGGTCATTTTCAGATTCCAACAAGGCAATTACACCGCTGGGTCGAAGACCATCGTTCATGTCAAATATATGTGGTTGCTGATTACTGTCTTGTAATTGCTTTGCGGCTCTGTCCCGACGTTCATAATCGCTGATTAACCCACCCCTATTCGTTCGTTTCCTTGATTTTGTTGGAGAATCTCCCTTCAAATGATTCTGTTGATGGGATTTTCTGTGCCCTGATGTTCTGAAGGTTTGCGAACAATGAGCACATTTAAACGGTCGGCTTCCTGTATGAAGACGCATATGCACTTTAAGCGAACCTTTGCTTGCGAATGAAGTGTTGCACATATGACAAGAATATTCTTTTGTTTGTTTCCCTTGATGTATCTTTAAGTGAGTATCTAAAGTTGATTTAACTGTAAACGTTCTATGGCAAGTAGGGCAAGCAAAAGGTTTCTCTCCAGTATGAGTACGCACATGTCGAGCCAAATCTGAAGGCTTTTTAAATACTTTATTACAAAATTCGCATTTATTGTGCCCGACAGTTGATTTTCCGGCTCTTCGTTGTTTACTTTGCTTCTCTTCATTTAAATTTTCCACCTGAACAGACAATGTAACGGTATTAGAACAGCTTTGATGAGAAGTTGGCACCAATGCAGTAGCTGTGGGAGACAAGGGAGCACTTTCCCCATTGCTGATACTAGCACCTTGGCTAGAAGAATTGGAAGATATCGTAGGAGTTTCCGTCACATTTGTTTCAATCATATCAAGTATTCTGGTAGATTTCACTTGTTGATCATAACTTAAACTGGATCGTTCTCTGGCACTTTCAATTAATAGCTTTTCAGATAAACTCATTTTTTCATTAGGCTCTGTTTTCGAAAGCTTTTCAGCCTGTTCATCGCTTAATTTAATAACTTGCGTGTTATTTCGGCCTCTTCCGGCTGACACAGTTCTTACTGAGTCTATTACATTTTCCAATTGAGTATCTATCAATGCCGGTGCTGTAGCCGGATCTGTTTGAGGATGAGCTTCCCTCATATGTCTGTCGTATTCTAATTGATCTGGCGCTAATTTTGAACAGAGAGCACATTTGAAAAAGAGACGATTCGGATCAGAAAATACATATTTCAATGGTCCAAAACTCTCCACATGTTGAGTCTCAATACCTGAAGCAATAGTATAATCGGTACCAACAGCATGTGATTCGTCTTCAGAAACTACGGTTACTCCAGTAACACCAGTCACGCCAGCTGCATTCAGCACTTGAGTCAGAATAGAAGCATTACTGGTGTCTATTTGATTTAATGCATATAGTTGAGGATCAATGGAATCGGCGATGGCATTCGTTGGAACGAAATCCGAATTTAATTCAACGTTACTTGTGTAATTGATACCAGTATTAACTTGCTCTTGAAACGTTACTTCAGGTAGGGTTTGCTCTTCTTGCACAATATTACTTGGTTGTACTGATTGAGTAAAAACTTGATTACTTGCTTCTGAAACAACAGTGGTGGTTTCTCGCAAACAACCGGAAGGGTCCTGCTCAACAGCAACATTTGACTGGTCGTTGGCAATGAGTCCTAAATCGCGATTGTCTTCGAAAACTTGCATCTTTAATTCGTACTTATGCGTATTTATATGCTTCTTACAATTCATCGTTGTTTTGAAAGTCTAAAAAAATGTACATAAAAAATAAGTTTTTAAGTAAATTCAATACTTTTTGAACCTAAACCAACCTTATGACAATAAGGACAAACGTATGGCCTCTCTTCACTATGAGTCGTCTTGTGTCTCATTAGAGAGCCTTTGGTTGAAAAATTGCTTTCGCAATCTTCGCATTTATAAGATTTTTGACCGGTATGTGTTCTGATGTGTTGTTTTAATACGCTAGCGCTGGAGAAACTGCGAAGACATTTAATGCAATTATATGGACGTTCCCCAGTGTGGCGTCTAATATGTTGCTTCAAATGTGATGACTTCTTAAATCCACGCAAGCAATAGTCACATTTGTGGGGTCTATCAGGATCAATTTGATCTCCCAAGAATTTTGCTTTTCTTGGAGCTTGTTCTAACAATGTTCCATTTGGTAACTTTCTGAGCGGTTGGGATAATTGTACTTCAGGCAGAGATTCAATAAAATTGTTTGATTGGCCACTAATAGCATTAACTTTTCTTCGAAATACTCCGGCTGAGGATGAATTTTTTCTCGAGTGAGTTTGGATATGAGCATTCTTATGGCCAGCTGTACGAAATCTTTTATCACATTGCGTGCATACAAAAGGTTTAGATCCAGTGTGAAGCCTCTGATGAACCTTTAGACTAGCTAGCGATGCGAAGTGTTTTGAGCAAACAGCACAAGAATATTCTTTAATACCCAAATGAGTCTTTTTATGATTTGTAAGTGTGGATTTGATAGCAAATCTCTTGTTACACTGATTGCATGCATATGGTCTTTCGTGAGTATGCACCCTAATGTGTCGAATAAGGTCGGAAGGCTTCCGAAATTCTTTTGAACAGTAGTCACACTGATGCCACTTTACACCAGATCGAACGCAAATTTTCAATTGATATTGCCGTGTTCCACCAGATACACTGTCTGTTAATTCAGGTAATTCCTCATGAACATTCTGGGACATAATTCTTTCTTCCTCAACACCGCTATTTTCCATGGCTCTACTTAAAATATCCCCGGAACCTCCTCCTGGATCACTTCCTTGTACATCGAGATTTTGGCTTGTTGAATCGTTTGGATTAGCTTCTGATGTTGGAGGATATTTATAAGATTCGATATTTAGTCCTGCTTCAGCTTTAGGATGAAATCTGCTTACATGCGAATTCATAGAACCCAATTTTCTAAACATGCACGGACAATAGTCGCATTTGAATCGTTTATTTTCTTCACCAGGATTAATGGAGTGTAATCGCGCTATATGTGCACGTAAATTTCCTCTTTGACTGAAGGTCATTAAACATAAATCACACTTGTGAGGTCTTTCTTTAGTATGTTTTGGCATATGTAATTTTAAAGCGCCACTTTGATTAAAAGCCTTACTGCACATCTTACACTTGTAAGGCCTTTCTCCTGTATGAATTCTCGTATGTCTTTCCAGTTGAGAAGGCTTCTGAAATCTTTTCTCGCAATGAACACACGCATGTGAAAAGTGGGTTCTATCAATAACCTTTTTATGAATTTGTTTCCTTGCCATTGAGGCAGTAATTATTTGATGTTGTTTCTGATGCTCACGTAAGCTTGATGCTCTGTCGAAAGTTTCTTTGCATTGGGGATATTTACAAGTTAAAGTCCTTTTTTCACGTTGAACTTGCACTAGCGTATGCTCATTCATGTGTTTATCTAGATTGTATAAAGAGCTAAATTCATCCCCACATTCAGTGCACATTAGTGTTTCATCTTGAAGGTGATAGTGTATATGAGCCTTTAGTGATGCTAGACGCTTAAATGATTTCCCACACTGAGAACATGTTGGTCTATCACTTTTTGTGTGAATTGACATATGAATTTTCAAATTCTCTTCATGATTAAATGATGCATTACAGTGATCGCAACAATGAGGCTTCTCGTTCGCATGAGTTTTCTTGTGGCGGATCAGAAGTGGATATTTATCGAATATTTTCTCACATACTAAACATTTGTATGGTCCTTTACCAATAGGAGGTTCTATTATCTCCTCCGGTCGCTTTCTTTTCAAAGTTTCATCATCTTCTATATTTTGAATTGTTATAGTGGCATTCTCATCAAGCGCACTGCATATATCCGAGCTTTGTAATTCAATCGGTTGAAATTCGCCATCGATCACGGCGTATAATTTATTATTATATGAATAAACGTTATTTTTTTCATATAGTTGTTGCGGTATAACAGAATTTTGGGGAATAGGACTTTCAGATAGCGATTCGGTGGACCATAGTTGGGCAGACTCAGAAGTCAATCCGTCAGGTAACGGCAATATTACAATGCCACTATTTTGCAAATTCGAATCCGTTGTTGAGTTATCAGGTAAAATCGCTACATTTTCAGCAGGTTGATGCAAGATAATAGCTGTTTAAAGAAAAGCGAGTGTTAATTCTAATAGCATTCTGATTATTGTTAAATTTTTAGGTCAAAGCGAAAGCTTTGGAGAAACCCGTTGGCCAATACAAGAAGTTAATCAAATGTGATAATTAGTTATATACTTCCTACTTTCTGTTTCGAACTCAAAAAAAAAAAAAAAATAAAATAGCACCAGAAAATATCCATGCGCCTCAGTATATAAAGAGGACAAAGATGAGTGCGACCGGGACTACTCTGTCTATGCCTGAATCCAACGGTTATGTCGACGATTTTTTCGAAAAGATGATAAAATAAGTTAATGTAAAACACTTACTGCTCAATCCATGTGTTTCTGTATCTTCAACGTCTGAATTTGAAAGAGACATTTTCTACTAATTTTTTCAATATGGCGGTGATGCGCCAAGCTTTTACTGGTAACCAGTCTACGGTTTCATGAGAAAATATTGCATAATTTAGTCTGGGAAAAATATCTATTTTTCGCTAATATTATCGTGATCGATAAAGTACATGTTTAAAATTTTCTACATACGACCATAAACAATCATTATAATATTAATATATTCGATTTCAAAAATTATTTTGTTTGATGAATGTTTCCCTAAAATTAAAGTGGTCGCGTTGGCGGGAACGTAGAAAATGATTTAAACTTTATAAACATTGTATAATGATACTCGTACACTACTTTGAAAATATTCCATAAGTAAAAATTAAAATTTCTAAATGAAAAATATTAGATATAGCAGGCTGTTTTATGAACAGTTCAAATAGCCTACCAACTAAAAAGTACGAAACTGTAGAATTGTTGTTTAAAAATGGCCGCCCCCCCAACGCCGAAAACTATTGCCGCAGCCGTTGCTCAAGGAAACTATACCGTCTGTAGTTGATTTTCAAAAATGACAAATATAAAAGCTTAAAAATTATTTTAATTATTCTTTTATAGGCTATTCAACAGCTGATTGCCAATAATCATGATGTAAACAAACGATCTCCTGATGGAATGACTCCACTAGGCCTAGCAGCTTTTTGGGGTTATTCCGATATTGTTAGTTTGCTTTTACAGTCAAAGTAAGTGCATTATTTTACGAATCGAAAAAGATTGACATAGATAATAAAAAATTGAATTAGTGCTGACATCAATGGAACAAATGCGGGAACAAACTGGACTCCTCTGCATTGCGCCGCTTTTCAAGATCATGGAAAAGTTATTATGAAATTAATGGAATACAATCCTAGAGTAGATATTAGAGATCATCAGGGAAGGTAACAGCTAAAATTGCGATATAGATAGTACTATAAAATTTCTACAAACAGAACGGCTGTTGATTTTGCATCAGCACTTGATTCAATATGGCCATTTTTTGCTGGTACTATTATTTTATTACCGTTTAATACTATGCTTATACTTAATTTAATGATTTTAGCGAGAAATTGTAAAAGAACACACAAATCCGAACTTTTAAGAATGAATATAATTACTAAGGTCAGTTGTTGATATCGTATTATTTTAAATTGAGAATTTTTCTCTACGTTTCCAAAAATACATTCCGTTATTTTTTTGCAATTTAATTCTCTGTTAACTACTCCACAGCTTTCCAGTCAAGAAGAGGAAGCAGTGCCATCAAATCAACAAACGTATTTTTCCCGACCAGGATCGGCTTACGTTTTCAGGGATCCACTTTCTGGAGAAGCTCGACGATATAATAAAAATCAAGTTTGTTACACTGTTTCTTTTTGTTTTGAAATATTGATTATAAAAATTTAAGGAGGCTGCCGCAATGACTGGTGATGTTCTTGCCGACATAAACGAAGGAGTTGGAGAGATACAACGAGAAACCCAAAGATTGAAAATATGGAGCAATTAATGAAAATAGTTATTTGAAAGAACAGACATTTTCCACATAGGATATTTTTTATGTCTAGGCACGCGTTTTGACTTAATGTTAGCTTTAATTTCGTGAGTCCTTACAGTTTACAATACTACTTTTTTTTGTTACGTGATTTACCCTTTGTTAATATGTTTACTTCAAATTGGAAGTAATTAATTTTAGTTGATAGCAAATTCTAGTAATAGTTTAAATATAAAAAAATTGTATTCAATTCTCTTTAAGCAAAAAAACTATCCTTCAAGATGAGTTTTGATCCAATTTTGTATACAATTTGGATAAATTGAACGAAACATTAAGCCATTAAGTACAAAAAAACATAAATCTTTATTCAACAGTTACATTACATCTCATTAATTAACATTAATTTAACAAAATTGAACAATTGAGTTCGATTTCACTGTAACTTATTGATCTCCATTTTCCACGGGGGTAATCTCACTCTCCTCTATCTCTTCACCTTCTGCTTTCCAAAGTCCGTAAGTCTTGCCAGGTGTTGTTTGCCATAGACGAAGAGTCCCGTCTTCACTTCCACTAGCATACAGCTCACCATCAGGACTAAACTTAATACAATGAACTGGACCAAAGTGACCTTTATATGACTCAGACATAACACCCGTCTCAAAATCGTACTTGTAAAGAGTGAAATTTTGACCTCCACACACAGCACATGATTTCGACGGATGTAAAGAAGCACTGATGATTTCAGCTTCAGCAGTAAATTCCTTATCAAGATTCAAAGAATCCATTGAGTAGAAAGATATCTTACGACCATGGCCTACTGTAAGTAAAGTACCGTCTACTGAAATTTCAATACTCATCGGTATGTCTGGGAGCTCAACTTCTTTGCACACGTGTCCAGTTCTCCTGTCCCATAAGCGGATCGTCTTGTCGTCTGACGAGCTGATTATAAAATTTTCGTCTGGACAGAAAACAGAATTTCTAATCAAGTCCGTATGACCACTGAACAAAAAAGGTTCAGAGTCAGTATTATTCAAGTCGAAAATACGTAGCAGCTTTTCATTGCTTCCGGTCAACAATTTTTGACTGTCATTCGAAAAGTCTACAGCTTTCACAATATGTTTATGCGAAAAAGACATGAGCTTATCGCCGCTTATTGCATCCCAAATTTTAGCTTCGAAATCAGCTGCCCCGCTGGCAGCTTTTGTCGCTTCGCTGTTTAATGAAACGCTCCAAACAGCACCTTTATGTCCTTCAAAAGTGCCTATCCAGTCACCAGTTTCTCCTTGTCTGAAATATATTACGTTATTCAAATTTGCAAAAAAAAAAAAATTGAATTTTACCTTAACATAGGTTTTCCATCTTTACATGCGCTAATGATGAAATAGCCATGTTCTGTTATGTCGCTGAAGTCCATATCGACAACGGGCCTTGTGTGCCCACTACAGGTCAAAGGGACCTGGCGGAAGTTCACTTGCGGCATGACAATTTGACTCCAAGTCCTTCTAAGCACAAATGTCCGCAGTCTTTTCAAGATATTTCAAAACGGACAAATACACGCTGCTAACGTTTGCGCATGCGTGATACAGAAACTTCCGGTAACCGATTAATTCGTTAACCGTTTAGTTCTTATTTTTCTATAAGACCTTGGAAGGTCAGCTTAGTATTTCTTAAGGACGTTGGCCCTCTTCTACTTCAAAAAACAAAATAAAAATACTACTACGTAAGTATTTTTCTTGCCAACAACGGCTGTTTAATTAAGCGAATGATAGTGGTATCTGTAATAGTCACCTGTAACGGATTACCATTTTCTTCATAAGTGATACATTGGACTATTATAAATAATTATGGCAAGTCGTGTGAGTAACAAAATTTTTTTATTTATATATTTCTTTGTAGAAAATGATTCGAAATTCGATTTCTTCAAACTAGATCTTCAAGTCAGCTAAGTGCTACGGTCGTAATTGGTCTGCCTTGACATCTCACTTTCGCCGATTTTGTAATACCAATCAGGAGGGTACGCCCGTTTATATACCCACTAAACAACCCGTTGTTATTGATCGCTACGGTGAGTTCCCAGTCGGAAGGTATGTCGGCTCGTGGCCAGACTTCCCCCTTCAGTCACTTTCGTCAGAGGGTGAGTTGCCTCCAGCTCATTTGGCTCCGACTTTTCTGAAATATTTTTTACTCTCAATTTAATATCAAATTTATAAAATAACAGCAGCTGCAGATTGGCCAGATGTTCAACTAGGTATTTTGCAGTCTCCTAGTGATCACAAATTTCCATTTCCTGGCTTTGTTGGGCCGAATGTGAAAATACCCTCCTCCATAAGTGTAAGTGTACATAAACGAATATTTATTTATACACTTCGAACAATTAATTTAAAATTATTTAACACTTTAACAGCTAAATAATATTTTGACTGAGGAAGAAGTGAATGGACTATTCCCCACTCAATTTGATAAGCACGATTCGGTTATTGCTAATTTACAAGCAGAAGTTAGTAATATCCAGACTTTGAACCGTAGTAAAATATTCCTAACAAGATTGTAACATTTTCTCTAGATGGAGTCAAAAAATTTACGCCCTGTTGAATGTGTTGCAAACACAAGCAATTCTCGAATAATGAAAGAATTACAACCTCTTTTCCCTGACAGAAAAGTCATTTTACTTGATATATATTCAAGCACTCTGCTAATGTATTATCTCTTCCTTACAGTTGCCAGAAGATATTACAGTTATAACTATGTCTCAAAAAACTGATAATGATATGACTACATGGAATAATAGTGTTGAAGAGGAGAGAGAGCAGCTACTTGAATCTGTGAGATTTATTATCATTACCATTAAAAACTTGTATATATATTTAATTACATTTTGTTATCTTTAGTTTATCGAAGGAGCCCAAGATATCTGTCGAGCTCTTGAAAGTTCAGGATATTGGGCTGACTTTATTGACCCTGCTTCCGGCAAACCTGTAAGAATTATATACAAAGTATTGCAGCTATAATTAACACTCAAGTAATTTTAAATATTTACAGTTTCTTAGTAAAACTCACACAAACAATACTCTCTTTGAAACGAACGAAATCTACAGAGATTTGGGTTTCGAAATCGATGATTTGGGATGTTGTAAAGTTATCAAACACGCAATATGGGGTACTAAGGCATTTGTTGGACTGATAGCAACTGATGCTCCGATGGATCATCCTGCAATAGCTGCTTTTAACTGTTCATGAACTTTTGAAAATAAACCTATCCAAGCTATCTTCTTCAATAAGTAAATTGATAATATCTGCAATATAATCGGAAATTAACTGTTTAAGTTTTTCACCATTCGTTTGGAAATTATATAATTGACATTGTGTGCATAGAATTATGTTGACAATCTATTTAAATTGGAATCTTTAAATATCAAATTATTAAGTATAGAATCCTATAAATATAAAAATTAGCAATTATTCTGTTTCTTATCACAGAAATATCATCTATCTTTCTTCTTTAGCAAGCATTGTATTCTTTATCTAAAATAACTCGAGGAGAATTGAATGCTAAAATAGTATTCTCTATCAATACGTTATTATTAATACTACATTGATGGCTACTGTACTTTGCAGTTATTACGTAGCTATCTACAGCTATACTCGTTATGCTATATAAACTGTTCATATACGTTACTTGTAATTTAAAATAATACTTTCTATTAATTATTGAGTGATCAATGGTAAACGTTCATTTTGGAGTTTTCTTAAGGTTCAAATTTGAGTTGAAAATTAGTTTGTAGGGGTAAAGTCAGCTGTACTGGATATGCTAAAACTAATGGTAAAACATGTTACATAGGGAAGGAAGAACCCAAGATTGTGTTAGGGTAAAAACATAACTTATTCTCAAAAACAATTTGTAACAATCGATAACACGTTTGTTTAGAATTGATCCTGAAACTCACTCGTGAATTCAAAATTCATGCCAAAGGTGACTTCCTGTTCGTATCTTTCGCCATTCACATGATTAAAAGCTCAAGGTCATTAAAAAATATGATCACGAAAAAAGAAGCTTCAGTAAATCAAGCAGCCATCCCATCGAATGGCGATACCTTTTCACGAGGATTGGAGTTAGTATTAATATATAAATATATTATTTGTATAATATTTCTTTTGCCTTCATTCGTATCAAATCAATATCGCATAATTTCACAATTTCTCATACCATGCTATTTCTTTTTGCAGTTCACCGAACGATCACTATAGTTGCCATGATTCTCGGTCAAAACCAACCTATGACAGTCCTGATGGAAAGGGATTTTCGTCCAGTGACAACGAACCATCTAAGAATCATCAGAAATTGGCGTCCGATGTTACGGGAAATGAGTTAAGACAAAACAAGAGTTCAGAATTTTCTTCACCTACTGAGTTCGCTGAAATTCTTTCTGAATTTTTCGTGGTGGAAGAAAACTCACTACATTTAAATCTACATGCGCTATCCGAAAGGATCTACGCTAACAAAGCCTACATGAGATGCTTTAGTACAAGTCTTCGGACACCAGGATTCTTTTGCCAATCAAAGGCTCAAGAATTTAAGGGAAAAAAAAAGGAGATGCAAAAAGTAGCTGATGTAATTTCTACACTTTTTCCCAAATTGAAAGACAATTTCAACGAACTCAAAAATGATCTCAGGGATTTGGATATTAAAGTGAGTAATCTCTCACACAGTCGTGTAAATTTTTTCCCAGAGGAACCTTTACCCGAATTTAAAAACGTTCATGATCATGGCGAAGGTAATCATCTATTGAAATTGACATATGGAATATCCTCGTTATAAATTGTAGTTTGTTAGTTTGTTAGATGTACAATTTTTTTTAGCCATGTACTCAATTCTGTATATGTTTTGAAAAATCTACTCTTTACTCTTTTATTTTATAAAATAATAAATATTTTTACCTTACATATAAACTGGTTCTGAGATACCAGTTTTTTTTATAAACTGTAGTGTTTCGCTTAAAAATGGCGTCCACCTTGATAGGTCAATTTCTTTCAACTTAATCTTATATAACTAAATTTCAACAGTCGCTGTGTTTATAAATACATATCACTATAAGTTGAAATTTTATTTTGTAGCTAAAATATTCGATTTTTGCAGCAGTTGCGCAGAATAGGTCTATTTCGGCTATATGTCTACGATATAACTGGAAAGGTTCTTCTCTGATTTGTCAAACGTTGGTGTATATTATTTAAGTAAGCAATATAAGATGTATGTAACGTTTATTATATAATATAGAAACGGACGGTGGGCAAGTTCTCAATCGTCTCAACCCCAAGTACAGGAAAGTAATCTTCCCCAAACAAGAAAACCATATTCTCCCTTTCAAAAAACAAGTAGTACAGCCGAATATGCTTTGGCTAGAGTTGATGACTTAGTGAACTGGGCTCGTAAAAGCTCTTTATGGCCATTGACTTTTGGTCTTGCTTGTTGCGCCGTCGAAATGATGCACTTTGCAGCCCCAAGATATGACATGGACAGATTTGGAGTAGTATTCCGTGCAAGTCCCAGGCAAGCAGATTGTATACTTGTAGCTGGAACGGTAACAAATAAAATGGCCCCAGCTTTAAGAAGAGTAAGCGTTTCATGCACGATCTTATTACATTAAATAATTGATCTATTATTCCACAAAGATATACGATCAGATGCCTGAACCAAGATGGGTCATTTCTATGGGCAGCTGCGCAAACGGAGGAGGCTACTACCATTATTCTTATTCGGTATTGAGAGGCTGCGATCGCGTCATACCAGTCGATGTCTATGTGCCAGGTATTTTACTTCTTATTTTCCTAGAGATTTACATAAAGATTAAAATGACATTCTTTAGGTTGTCCTCCAACGGCAGAAGCCCTTCTTTACGCTGTTTTACAACTGCAAAGAAAAATTAAGAGAATGAAAACTGTGCAAATGTGGTATAGAAAATAACTGATTTAGACAAAAAACACAAAAATTCTCAATTAGAGAAAAAGAAAAAAAAACTATAAAATTGAATTATTAAATTACTTTAATTTCAAATATTTTAAAACTGGTAAAGAATTGGAAAAAAAAAGAAAAAGGAAATATTTTAATTTGGCCTATAATTTGAAAAATTCCTTTCTCTTAAAAATAGTTGTAAGTGGCTCACACGATACACTCACGTACTTGATTGCCAATAGAGAAATTCTTTGTATTTATGAGTCAAAAGTTACCCTTATGTTTGTTGTACAAGTACCAACCGGATACTCAAAAAAGAAACCCTTTATGGGAGTTTTTTTCACGTTTGTGTACAAACGAAGGATGACACGTGATACATAAAGAGTTACCTATTTTTAAACCGTCGTAATGATCGATAAATTGAACGTTGCCATTCTTGATTAGGCTATTCACAGACCGTCATTTTATTGTTACAATTCTATTTGATAAACACAAAACGATGCATCAAACTGATTTGGATCAGTATAAAAGTAGATAAAAAAGGCAACATTTTTGGCACACGCTCTTGAATTATTCATAGAACGCTCTTTCTCAATTGTATCCAAGAAGAAAGATAACAAAGAAGACAAAAGAATGGAAAATAGATGAACGTAACATTATTGAAAATGTCCAAACTTTACGTATTTAATCCCTTCAAGTTGTATTCAGTTAAATTCGTACCACTTATGTCTATTACGCAATAGTGTATATTTATGAGATATACATACACTACATGGACATGATAATCGACTGGTAAATATTACTTAGAGGATATATATGGCTGCGTCTAGACAAATCTCCACCAAGGTCTCCCTGTTTACATATGAGATTTGAAATTCTGGAAATTTTTTTCACCCTATTTTCTCTTAAAGAAAAAATAATTTTCTTTTTTAATATTTATTTATTATTGTTATATAGAATATCTAAATTAACATATTCGAAAATATACACAAATCGATCAATTGCCTGCAGAAAAGCTGTAAAAATGAAAATATAACAGTTACATGTTAATTCGTTATAAAATTCCTAAATCTGAATTACACAAGTTCGAGAAAATGTTAACTATTTGAGGAATTCGGCGTCATCTTCATAAATTACGACGTCTTATCAGCGTCTTCATCTCGCTAGTACACACTGTATAAAAAAAGTTCTCGCCTGAGGAATGATAAGTGTTTTGACAACAATCTCCACTAGATGGCCAAGTAGTCACAAACAAACGCTAATTATTCTCGAATGTCTTTTTTCACCCTTTGATTCTTTTTTCTTGAGAGATTCTCTATCTTTTCCCTCATCTAAATGATTCTTTCCAGACTTTGATGAATTTAAGATGATAACTCTTAAAAGGTTGAATCAAAGCATTCAAGATTTAGACGCCCTCCTCTCCTGGAGTGGTGATAAGAAAACAGAAGGATTCCCCCCTTATACGGGTAGAATAATGAATACTATTTATAATTGACTCCTTCTTCTCCCGTCTTTCCCTTTCTTTGACATTAACCGTCCAAGTAAAAGAGGGGAGGAGGTTTTTTACAAAGAGGTTACAAGCCCGCCCTACTTTTGATTCAACGGGTAGATAGTGCATAGGGAAATAAAAAAAATTTGAATTCAAATGATATACAGTATTCAAGATAATAAAAAAAAAGGTGAAAAAGAAAATTGATCGAGTTAGTTTTTGAATAGAATGGAATCGAGTGTCATTACGAAACTTTTTAAAGACATCCATTGTAAAAACAAGAAGGTAAGAACTTGTAAAAGTGATCCACCCCCTTCGCCTACTTAAGAACGTCGATGACGATGCCTCAAGGTAAAAAAGAAACTCAACGAAACAGAAGGGGGCGGACTTCTAGCCGAGAGCCGAGAAAAGTCTATTGGAAAAGTACCAGCCGATGGGCGAGAGTAACGTTGCGGGAAATTATGAGATATTGCGATAGGAATAAAATTCCTTGCGATGGCACGATAACTGAGATAATATTACGTAATCAGACTGGACAATAGACGACTTGTTGTGGAAGCAAGATTTATATGGACTTTGTTTTTTAGTACGAAAAGAAGACATTTGTATACCTTTATTCATAGTTGATTTACTGCCAATAAGGGGATATTAACAGGGATTTAATGGAGTATTTAAAAAGGTTTATTACGAAACGTATATTAGTTAGGTAATAAACAATTGTAACAAACTAAACAAACGCTTTCGTATTCAATTATCATTCCCCTATAAGTTTACTCGCAATTTTTGTACATATCCATAAATAGTATTAGAAAATCTATAATGTTTGCGAGCGTAAAAAAGAAAGAATAGAAAACGTTTTCAGTCAGTCGGTTGAGAAAATAAAATCGACGCCGCTTAGAGAAATAAACGCTATTGAGCGTTGATTGACGTACTCAACTGTAAACGAAATAAATAAAAAGAGGAAATCACTTATCTCCGACTACGATTTGTTGTGAAAAAGGGAGAAAGTAGAAGAGATGATAACAATTTTCAAGGAGGATTTAAGATGGGTTGAAACAAAAGAAAGTAATGAGTAAAGAAGATAAAGAGAGAGAGAGAGAGGGAATTGTTGGATATGGAAGAAAAATGAGAAGAAAAAAGTTTGCTAAGGTGTTTACAAAGCGAACAAAAAAACAACGTATTGAAAATCGTTTGACCGTACACTAATATGGGAAGGTGAAAGATACTACAATAGAAGAAAAGAAGTGAGGAAAGAGTAGATTTCTCCCTCAACTGCTTCTCTTCTTAACCCTTCTTTCGCACCTAATCCCTTCTCGTCACTCGTTTTTATCAGGTATCAAAAGCTAGGTTATGACGTCTAATTTTACAGGATTATCCCAAAGAATCAATGTAACTGCGAAATTGGAGACGTCCAGATATAATATATATGATTGCATTTAGTCTGGGCAATATTTACAGCGCAACCGGACCGAAAATCGAAACTATGAAAACTTTTGGGGGTAGGTAGACCCTTCCTCTCTTTTTCTAAAGAACGTCTAACCCTGGTAGCCAACGTTCTTTTGGCGGGAAATAAAATTAACGTGCAATATCTGATCGTTAGGAATATAATACGAATCCCATCCGGTATGTATCGCATTTGTAAGGAACGTTATTATACTTTAGACGCCCCCCGTCGTCTTTTCTCCCCTTATAATTCATTCCCCTTTTTATATAAATATACAGACGGCTATAAATTACAATTTGTTGATGTATTTTGCCTTTTCATATATGAACTGCATGAATTATATGCAAGATGCATATTACCGTTTAAATCTTACAAAGAACATTTTAAAGAGGTCCGTGATATATGTTCGTTTTTAACTAGCGCGACGCCTCCCTAAGCGTCATTTCAAGGCGCGAGGGCGTTGAAAACCTGGGGCGGCAGGTGCCGAACGCACGCGGCACATGGTCACGGGGGGAAGTTTAGAGTAACGAGAAAATCATAAGAACCGTATAGTCCAGCCTTTTGAATTAGGGTGAGAAAACTTCTTTGCGAAGCAAATGGCGTACTCAAGAGACGCTTTTGCTTCCTTTACAAAAACCGCCACTTTCTGCCGCCTAGAGCGTTTCACTGTATGAAAAAAACTGGTAGACGCTTTATGTCGGCGTAAATCGAATTATGAAAGGGAGAATAATAAAGGGATTAAAACGAACGTACCTAAAACATCGTAAACGGGAAACCCATTCGACGCTCTATTTCCGATTTCGTTCAACAGCTAACAAAGGGACTTTAAAAAGGGCGAGTTGATCGTTAGGAAATTAAAAGGTCTTATAACGGTCGTTGTTTTTACAGTGATATTGCGTAATTTCTATTATAAAGTCGCTCTTTTAAAGGGTTGAAGTAGCGGGAAAGAAAAAAGAACGTCAATCACAGAGCCTACGGGGCGTTAATTTAACTCGAATGATTACCTAAGAAATGGGAAGACGTTTGTTCGGATGCCGTCGAGCGTCTATATTAGAAATGATGAAAGATAAAAAAAAGAGAAAGACTTAAAAGAACAGACGACATAGACAGAACTAATAACGACATCCTCTAACCGGCACGTACGTAGGCGGATCTTCGGTACGTTCCTTCATTTAGCCATTAGTACCTCCCTTCCTCACCTCTCACCATCAACACCCATTTTCTAAGCGGTACGCAGGTGCAAGAATGGAAATTTTGTTTCCTTTTTTAAAAGCCGTAAAAGCGGCTAAAAGGAAGCGATCGCTAATAAATCTGAACGCCGGCAGCTGTCCGAAAAACCTCCGTTTGCAAGGGGATCGCCCTGAGGGCCGGGGGCGGGACGGTCGAGCAAAGGGAACGGAAAGAGGAGAAAGCCTGCTCAAGGGTAAGTTGTGTCACGATGGTGGCGGAACTAGACGAGGTGATAATTAACCGACCGGATGGTAAGAAAACAAAGGAACCGGCATTCAAACAAATAAAAGCGGCTAAAAATTGCGTATTGAACGTTTGCATTTGACCTTTATTCCAAAAGTTGAATGTGCTTTATAAATAATTTTGTTACCAGTAGCAACTATATTAATACATTTAGTATATTTAGAACATAAAGGAAGCCGATATTGAATTACGTTGCTACGATGCGGGAATTGAGGAGCATATGACGGAATAATTTTGGAAAATAGGGAAAAAATGCGGGTTTTGTAATTTAGTCCCTTTATATAGATAAATTTGAATAACTCGTGAACATTTCCAAATTACAACATAGATAAATTATATAAAAATAGCTAGAATAGCCTAGGAAGAGAGATAAGCGGTTACTTTTAAAGATACAATAGGCTAAGGAGTTATCGAACAATTATATCGTAGGAGAGAGAGGAGACTTGAACCCCGTAGGCGGGGACCGGAAGCTCGTCTTTCTCTACTGATTAATTCTTCGATAAAAATCTAGATGTATAAATGAGCGTTTTTTTTCTTTATCCCATAAACTAGTTGAGGAATTTATACTTCTTCTTATAAATTATAGATTGCCGTGCTCAGTCATCCTCTCTCTCTCCCCAACAGCTATCAACTTTCGATCGTATCCTCAATTTAGCTCGCCGATCTTTTCCCAAACTTCCTTTACCCCCCTCCAACATTTGGTTGTGTTTGGAGCTAACTCTTAATCGGACATTAACTTTTCTCTCGAAAAGAGACCATAGGTAGAAAAAGGGTGGGAGTTGAGACTTTTGAATACCTCCAGAACCATTAAGAATACGGGTCGGATAGATAAGTGCAATTCGATTGTAGGCTTTTCTTTCAGGTGGAATATCAACAATTACACTAAGTCTATTATATATGCGTATAGAGGACAAGTAAATTTTCTATTCGCCCTTACACTTATTACTCCGCTATAGAATTCAGTTATTATTTACTCAAAGATCTCTTTCAGCCTAAGGCCGGCCCTACGAGAGGTTATTATAATTCCATTCCAAACATTCTTTTTCTCTCTCTTACCGCTCTACATACGCCTAAATATTCGCCTGTTTAAGGTAATGAAGAGATTAGACTTACGCCTCAACGATCACAACACAAGTTTAAGACCGACGCGTGGCCCCTTAACCCCCAACGACCCCATCTTCTTCCATCCCTTATCTAGGTATATTTTAAGTCAATACCCCCACTAAAAAAAGGGAACTATTCCAACCTTCTCTTCCAAAAAATTTTCAATAGGGTTTTTCAATATTTATAATAGAAAGTTGCCAATTGCTAATATTTTCTCCCCACTCGAATTACAAAAAGTATTAATTATTGAAAAGGTCGCGTTTATTCGTTAGGTTCATCTATTTATATTTTATGAATAAATTTCCTTAGCCTTTATTGAATTCCTATTCAATTTCGTATACTTGTTCTTTTTTTTTTACTAGATAATTCATTAAAGAATTAATAAGAACTTTCTTTGCAACTTTCTTTCGTTTCCTTTCTTTAATTAAAATGGAAAAAAACTGTTAGCAATTCGTCTGGCGTTGTTGTTTGCCTTGCATGCTCTAAACGATTCCAACGCCAAAGTACTAGTGTATACGGGAGGGATTAGGTATTTTTTTCAATACGACGAATAAGGGATAGTTGTTTAAGAAAGGACTTTGAAAGTAGATTTCTTATTTCGTTAATATTTACTCATCCGACTCTTCACTTTCTATACTCTTGCTTATTTTCAATGCAGCGTGAAATCAATCCACCTGTCCCAATCGTCAACCCATAACCACCTCGTCTAATTGAATCAATCTCCTTATATGTCTATCTATCAGTCTTTCTATTCCAATTTTGCAATTTGATATTGCGTAGTTTCAAAGTCACCTCCAGCCCATTAGCAAACAATAAACAACTCTGTTAAGCCGTTTTATTCCAGTGACGTAAGCGCAAAAGGGTTCCCCCCCTCCTCCCCTTTAGAGTTATGCGAAAAGGCAAACGTTACTTGAGTTGTTTTTGTCGCATCTAGTGTTTATATGCAAAAGCTATTGAAATTGTAGTGAGAAATGAACATCTGCCACGGGGAAAACAGTTACGCGGTGTGTTTATGTATTTGTGTGGTCCGGTCGATTATTTAAATAAAGATTTCGGTTCGTGCCGTTGAGAATTGACAATTACATACTTGATTATATACTGAAAATGTATATATATATTGTATACAATATCACTATATCGTATTTATATAATGTTATAAGGCGTTCTTATTTTAGAAAGTATACCGGACGTTGCCCGTAGCACGCGTTCTCTTTGATGGTCGATACCCATCGCAAGGCATGACGTCATCAGTCGACGTAGAACACGTTGCTAATTGCCGTTGAGTGCGTTTAGGTTGAATACGGTACAGAGCCTAACTCGTTCAACTACGATTAAAAGATACCGACTTGAACGACTTTGCATAACGATTAGCTTGATTTGTTAACATCAAATATTACCGCCGAAACCTTTGAACGCTTCGTCGGTGTTCTTATAAATATTTTAAAAGGTTGCGTCCTTAATTAATTTCGTTGTGGGACCGTCTCGATTATTCCAAGTTGGATGAGGGCGTTTTTTGCTCAATTTCGAAAGGAAGGAGGTTAAGGGGCATTGCTTTGGGGGAGGTTGAGTACAGTCTCCAATCCCAGTTCTCTTAAAGCCTATAACTTATAACCAAGGCTATATAATTATGCTAAAATTTATTTGACATCTGCTTCCCTCTATAGCCTTCGGCGTTAATTTTCAACATTTCCCGGTCAATTAAAATAAGTGACGTCATAACTGGATGGAAGCGTGCGCCCTAAACTTTAGCCCTTTTATCATCTTCTCAGCAGGTCCGGGACGTCGACTTTAATCACAAAGGGGAAGAAGGATGAACCGACCGAAGACACTGTATTATAGGGCTACCTTAGCGGTCACGCACCGTTCCACAGTCTTTCATGTGTCATCCGGCTTTGTTATTATTCTACTCAGCGTGTTCTGCAGACTATATATAGTAGTCTAGTAGAACGTGTAAACACAACTTCTCTTATAACAGTTAAAAAATAAAAAAAAGCTCTTAACAAAGGTGCCTTAATGGCCACCTTTTTTGAATAGGGCTTTAAAAACATATAATATATAATAATTGCATATTAGGCGTAAGGAACGGGAGTGTTTCAATCGTATAATGAAGCTAATACAATGGACCCAAGTTGGTAAAAGGGCAAGAGCATAGGAGGTAGGGAAAAAATTGGATATGTACAAAAAAAATTCCTCTTGGCATAGGTCAAAAACGGACGTGAACTATTTTAATTACAGTAGACGGCGATCGTCTACTCTAAGTGCTTGTAGAATGTATATAACCTTTAATAGTACTTAATGAGAACAGGAGACGTTTAAAAATTCATTAAAACTTTCTCATTTGTATATATTAACTGATATTTTGCTTTTTCTTTTTAAATTTATTCAACCAGTAAATTTTTCGTGCAGTTCATCTATTTCCCTTTCATACAACTTTTACTTACAATTAAATTGATAATGGTAAGGAAGAAAAACAATGAGGGAGAAAAAAACAAGGGTAGCAACTGTTCAATAATCTCATCAATAGACTTTGTTCTGTACCAACTAAAGTCGATAAAGTTCGATTGACGTGGGTTTTAATTTCAAACGGTGTTTTTATTTATTCAAAAATGCCTCTGGGTATTCTCCTCATCTCATAATTCGTTCTAATCGACCTACGGAAACTTGAAACGAACGGGAATCACCATTAATTAAGGGTCATTTGGGAAACCATCAAGGTATAAAAGGACTCTAAGAATATAAGTATACAGTAGAGAGTATATTCTCTCTTACGTATGTACAGTTTACGTGTACAGCATATTCAAGATCCATAATACATAATGGAAACGACAGGTGCATCAAATTACTCGACAAGAATCACGCAGATACATCATCGTCAACCCGAGGAGGACATAAGAATTCCCTTATCGTTAGCGATTATCTGCTAATGATTAAGGAAGAATAGATTGCTGTATAACATTAGTTTTTTTTACGTTGAACAGATGCACCTTATGGTATGACTTACGCCAATTGTTGCACACACCACCAAGGTGGCCCCGGAGGGGAATGTAAAAGAGAGAGAGAGAGAGAAGTGGAAGGAGCGAACTTTTGTTTTGGTTCTCCCTTTAATCCGCCCCTTGACGATCCCTAAAACGCTTTGCAGATTTTATTAGGCGAGCTGTAAAACAATTATCGAGCGTCTACCGGAATCAATGGCCTTTCTAATAGCCTCCCATATACATGTTTGATTTCTAAATGTATCCTTTGTATCCTACTATTTGCCCACGAATATCGAAGTAAAGGAACGGAGTAATAATGTGAAGTAAATGGAGTAAAAAAACAATATATTTGTATACTTTATATATATAACTAATACCTTAGTAGATGTTTATAACAAAGCATAACAGAAGGCCTAGGTGATTTAATCCGAGTTTAACGACCAGGAAAGAGGGCGCTGAAGAATTGTGAATGAGTAGCCTGATCATAATGGAGCTTGTATATATACTAAACTATCAAGAGTGCTAGTTAGATAAATAACATTCTTTGATTTCTTTAAATTTTCCATTATATTTAAAAATTCTATTTACATATGACAACGTTTAACATATAACAATTATAAATATTGATAATAATGATATAAAAACATAAATGGTACAAAGGAACGATTAAAAGCTTGAACGGAATGACAACGGTATTCTTTCTCAAAGGCGACGAGAAGGTCGCTTAGTAAGGCGATAGAGAGAAAGAAGGGAGAGGAGTAGAGAGGAGGGGGGGTGAGGTAGAGGGAGGGGTCACTGAATGATTAATGTCAAGAAACGAGGTAGTAGTAAAGTTTCCTATTAGAAAATATTTTTCATAATAGCCAGCTTTGGCGGTCGAAGTTTGTGGATAGTAAATCGTAGAGTAATTCATTCCTTTGTAATTTTTTTCGGCAAGTTTGACTGGACAGTGAAGAGTAGACACTGTCAATATCGGACAAAGAGTTGCTTTTAGCGGTGGATTTACACACTTTCCTCCCGTTATCTCTTCCCGTTTCCGCTTCCCTTCGTAACTTGTGAGAATGATGACGATAGCTTTGCGGATAGGAAGAAAATGACGATGATGACGTAGACGAAGAGTATGACGAGGATGGCTGTGGTTTTCTAATGGGTTTTTTAACGTTTTCGTATTCGTGACCGATCGGACTGACCCTTACACATTCCTCAGCCAGTCTGTCAGAAAATAGGCGTATGCCGGAGTCAGTGGAAGTATCCGTTGAATCACTGCCGCAATCAACGCCAGAAGAAACAGTCGAAGAGGATGAGTTATAGTTTTTTAATTCTTTACTGTCGTGGTTCTTCCAAAAGGCACGAAGCTCTCTAGATGTCTCGTAAATCTCTTCCACTTCAACATCGCAATTGTCGGGGGCCGTTGGCCGTTGTAAAACCCTTTGTAAACGCCGACGTTGTTGCCCTTTGGGTTCCAGAAAATCGAAAAATCCATAATCGTTTTCAAGACGTGTAATATTGTCATTCTTTTTCTTCTCAACTGCAGACGACGAAGGGTTTAAAGATGATGCTGTAGATTTTTTTTCTTTAATCTTCTTTCGTTTTCTATCAATAGCTTTATCAGTTATCCTTCTGGGCGGCAGTCTACCATATCTTGTGTGGGAACAAGTAGTGCATTTGCATCTTTTCACAACGGTTGGATCCAATTTTCCCTCCTCGATCTCTTCATAAACATGCTGAGAGCTATCGAGGTGGGAATTTCGTTTATTATTTGCTGCTTGTACAGAGTTTCCCATGATCGCTCCTGCTCGAGTACAATAGCTCCTATGGCTATTTCCACCAGGGTGCAAAACCTTATAAACCCTCTGGAAATCGCTCATTGGTTAGACGCCTGGCATAACTCGATGCTGATTGGTCGTTTACAAATGCATAGGAAATGTTTTACTTGGCACGCGCTTGACTTTTTCGTTAAATATTTGTAAGCTTTTTTCCTAATTCTAAGGCCTACTAACCCGTCACTTTTCAGTTTTTTACTATTTATAGACGACTCCCATTCACAAAAAAAGGAATATAAACAAAACATTAAAAAAGACTAAAAAAAGATTTTCAATAAAGATATTTTCCTTTTGAGTTAAAGGAAATTAAGTTTGAATATTTACCCGCCAGGTGCCAGGGAGATTGGCGTTAAAGTCAAGGTTCTTGTATACGAGAGTAGATCGCAGCTGGCGTTTTTTTTATTCGGAGGCTACTTAATATAAAGTTCGAATTACAAAAAAACTCCCGAAATCCCTGATCGACCAAACTTTCTACGCCTGAACGTTTTTCTAAACACTATTAAGTGATTTCGGGTCTATTAGGGCGGCGTACATCAAAAGACCGGAGGGAATTTGTAAGTAAAAAAAAAGAAATGAAAGAACAGGTAGGAGGCTAAGAGAAAAGAAATTGAAGCATAGGAAAAAACTCTTTATCGGCACGGCTTTAACGAGCAAAAAGGTAGACGCGAATTAAATATGATTAAGGGCTAAGTGGTGCTTTTTTTTACTAAAGAAAAGAAGCGACAGGTAGCTTCGTGCTTCCGCATAACACTAGCGAAAAGACGACAACTGGCACATGTTCATTAAAGGAGCAGGCCAACAAAGGATGTTGTCACTCGACTGATGAGCAAACACTCTCCCAACCTAGTACTTGGGTTAGAGTGGCAGATATTGTTTATTACGTAAACTCAGCAGATAACAACGTTCCTGGCTGCTAATTATTGTTTAGGTTTCGCGTGTCAACGCTGGTCGGTGGTCAACTGTTTGCCTGATCAACGTAGGTGGTCAACTGTCACGCGTTATTTGCATTTTATAATGCATACGCATACAGTCTGTCGTATTTATTCTAGTTCGATAAATTTTTCAAGAAGCTGTCATTGTTTTTCATAAGTAATCTTTTGCCTTTTCACTTATTCTAGTAGGGGGGAGGGGAAACTGTATACCTATTCTCACTATTAATAGTTAAACATAAAATACTTCCTATACAAATGGCACGCAAACGGAAAACGAATAATTGAACAATCGTAATAAAACTGTCAATCTATCAGTAGTTTTTTTTTTGGGACATACTCGTCAAATATTCTAATCGACTACCGTCACGATCGCGACGTCCGGACAATTTTTATAATGTATACGTTATATCACTCTCTTCCTGCTTCTATTCTATGTAAGACGCTTCTAGAAAACTTTACAATACACAAGGAAAAGCGAAAATCATTAGCTCTCCCTATATGCTCCTCAATCGAACATTCTGTCAAAAGTTTACTTCGGTCACGACACAATCGATTTATATGCTTATAATTATCGTATAATTGTATAAGCGTCGTTTTGGGCAAACAAATCGTTGGTAGTTTTAACGTGTCATGCATAATGAACCAGGTGTCGTTTGAGAAAGAGGAAACCGGTTTTGAAAAAAAGTTCCCAATACGATTTTTTTCCACTCGCTTCAATTTTTCCCTTTGATTTCATCGATTCTATCTTATTTCCGAATACCTGTAAAACTTTATTTTTTATTATTCTTTTTATCTCTCTTCCTCCTTTCATCCTTTCTTTTTTCGTTCAGAGCTCAAAAAAAGAAAAAATTCCGTCTTTTTTCTTCTTTTTTTTTATAAATAAAGACCTAATTAGCCTTTAGTTAATTAACAGGCTACTTGTCACCCGGTGATGGCAGTTAGGGACCTGTATGAGTCAAAAAGGGCTAACAATGTCCCACTAAAGCGCTAATTCAATTGCGTAAGCTTATTACTGACTACTTCAAAGGAGTTTTTTGTTTTTGTATATAGATAAGTAGCTGAGAAGAATAAAATCTCAATCTTATTGAACCCCCTTTGTAAATTGATATAAATTTACAACAACAAAAAAACCATATGTCGTTCCTTAGCTGATTATTTAATATATATAGTTATATAGATAAAAAAATTCTCTTTCTTTCTTCTTCACCTCTCCACCCCCCCCTACAGTGAACTTTTCGCTTGAACAATGGAATATCAGTAGATGGAGCCACAAGATGGCTTTTATATCTATCATAACCTTCACTTTTCCTTCAAACTTAATTGACAGATTGACCCTATTCAATTAGCGTCAACTAATTAACCGGTAAATAGCCGAAAATTAGGTGTACACAGCTTTAACTATGGATTTATTGCAAAAAATGTAACAATTCAAAGGTCTGCATTAGTAAATATCTGTATAAAACAACTAAAAAAGCAAATAAAACGCAAATAAAAAGGTATAAAAAGAATATCCTTTTATAGATATTGTTGTTTAGATTCCAGAAATAATAGAAAATAGCCCGAAATTTTCTCTTTGTTTTTTGTTTTAGTAGTATTAGTTTGAAAAAAGATCACAACAAATATAAAGAAAAGAAATACACTGTTATAAGTAATTTAAATGAAAACTTGAACGATGAGATAGTGGAATAGCGTTTATAGTTTCATAGTAAATAGAAACGAGTTAAAAGTAGGAGTAGTTGTGGACTTTGTGAGGTAATTGAAAAGCTTTCTATTTCATTTCCGAGAAAGAGGACACGAATTAAGCGGCACATGTAGATAGATATTTAGAGCAAATAAATGAAAAACTTCTAATTAAGTAGCGAAAGGATGATTTAATCGGCTTTGCAAGCAATCGAAGAAAAAAGAGATACATTTCATTGATATAAAGCGATTTGTAAACATTTAAAACTTCTTCAATGCTGCAAAGGGGCTAGAGAATTTACTTTCAATAAGCCTCACAACGACCTTCAACTTTCTATTTTTACATCCTCTGGTTGAACTTGACCAACAAACTTCGTCTCCTCCCTAGTACTTAAAAAAAATACACATTATATCATAGCCGGCAGCAAGGCTGAATTTCAATTGTAATTTTTTGCACTTACTCCTCTGTAGGCTGTTGAGGATAAGGAGCTTCACCAAATTTGTACTTCTTACGATTTTTATTCCCCTCTGTCTGTAAGAGAAGATAAAATGTGTTTTTTTATTTTTATTTTTGACAATACAATAAGTAGTTTAAAGCAAAAAAACAAAAAGAAAGGAAAACAAGAGAAAAAAACACACACACTAAAAAATTGAAGGTTACCTTAGCAGTCCATTTTCTATCGCTATATTTCAGAACATGATAAACAAGACCACAAAGAATACCACTGACCACTCCCGTTACTATTCCGGCAAGTAATAACGCTAAACCCAAATAAGCAAAAATTCTGTCAAAAAGTATAAAGAATAATTAATGTTAATTAACTAATTAAACATATAAGAAAAACGAAAGACTAGGAATGATAATGAGGCTAACCTTTTCTTAGTTGTCTCATCATTCCAATATTTAGTGAAGTATACCAGTAGTAGTATACCAACCAGCAGCAGAAGTACTGTAGCAACAATCCATCCTCCTCCGCAACAACATAATTTCTAAAAGAATTTATTAGATATTAGTGTTATATTTGAATTGTTTTAACTATATATTGATATATGTCTAGATATGTATGTAATAGATTAAATAATTCTCTTTCCTTTTTGCTTTCTATTTACTTTTCTAACGCTTTCTTTCTTTTATATATATATATATGTATATATAAATCAGTGATCTGAACTTGATTTCTCCCCCCAAATATTACCTTTAATCTCTTTTTAACCAATTTGACTTCTTCGTGAGCAAGAGCTCCTTCGCGACCTTCTGCCGATACTGCAAATTTTTTCTTTGCCATTTTTTTATTGTATATTCTCTGTATGGAGGTTTTTAGAAGAATACTATAATTAGAATATATGATTTACAAATATTGATCAAATATTCAAATATGTTTTTAGTATTTGCTTTTAACAACACATACTTAGCATTTATTTTTTATTCTAGCTGAGTAAGTAGTCTTATAATAGCAAAATGGTGGCAAATCGACAAACCTTTTCAAGATGGTTCTAATGTTATTGTTATTTATGACAAAATTAACATTGATTGCACTTAAAGTTGCGAAGTTTACATTCAAAATTTTACAGATATCTTTATTTTACTGGCAAGCTTCTTGCCCTATTTCTATTCTGACTGCTAGTGACATCTATTGCATGTTCATTTTACGATGTACAAGGGGTGCAGAGAATAAATGGCGCGAAAGTTTGAAAGTTAAAACTGATATGTTGTTTATTCAATTGAATAATAAATCTCAGAGGAACAAAAAATAAAATAAAATAAAACAAAGAAGAAGAAGAAGAAGCATAAATCACAAAAAAAAACGAATAGGGCGAAAGACAAATTCGTAACATATTAAGCCTAGTTCGTCTGCCTTTTTTTCGTTTCGATGTTTGTGTCCTATATGTAAGATTCTTTGAAAACCGTTGCTTCGTAATTATCTGTTTGGAAGAATATAAAATGAAAGGAACTGAATAACTTTCGTTTAAGCCTTTAATTGTTGTTACTTAATACCTTGGGGTGGTGGAGGTGATTTTGAATCATTCTTTGGATTAGAAATTTCGCAGTAGATGTTTTCTTCCGTATATAATTTAGGATCGTACATCATTTCCAATGGGTTTAAATATCCTTCTAAATTTGGGGGTCTTGGCGGTAATTTAGGACCAGTAGCACCTGAAGTATTCATTGTAACGCCTGAGTCTCTACTATGAGAGCTAAAGCCGCTATAGCCGCTAACACCAGAATGTGTTAGTTTATTGATAAGTCTATCTCGTTCATCTGGAGACATTAAGTGATATTGACTTGAAGCGACGCTCTCAGGCCGACTAAGTATTGATATTATTCTATCTCTTTCAAATGGTGTGAGATCATCCAACATCGAATGGGGATATTGTGAAATAGAGGATATAGATGGAATAAGATTGGTAGTAGAATTTGCGGTCGATTTAGATCTTGGTGACTTTGCGTATCTTTTCGAATCCCGACCTAAACGAGGAATATCGGGATTACTCTCCGTAATTGGTTTGTCATATGTATGCTGATCATTCTTTTTACTAAATCTCTTTTTGTAAAGAATGAATACAATTAATGCTATAATTAGAATGACGGCCAGGATTCCAAAAACAACTCCAAGTGCAATGCTAACCGCCGAGCTACTAGAATTCGAAATTTGCTTCCCTGATGACGTAATAGCACTCGCACACATTTTATTACTATATTCATCCTTTCCTTTTATTTTTAACTGGATGCAGACAACATATTCTGTGTTTTCTTTTAAATTTTCAATGATTTGTTCCCGTTTATCGGGTTCAATTGGTTTTATTTCAATCTTAGCGCCAATGTTTTCCTTTTCAGTAGATTGCTCCTTAACTTTTGTAATTGACGAATAATCAATTGCGAATGATTCTATACTGGAAGGCTCGTATAAAGAACCTAATATCCATTTTGCTTTAAGATTCGAATCGTTCAATTTCGTTAGATTGAAACGATTAAAAGCTGACTGATTTGGTGATAATGTCGATGGTATTACAATAGGTTCGCACTTGTCTTCTTCAATTCCTCCAGAACAAACAAGGTCATTTTCTTCTAAATCTCGAAACATTTGTCCAACGAGGGAAGTAGGAGATTTGCAAGTCCACAAACCGTAAATAGGATCATTGTGATTTCGAACCCATCTATGCAACCATTTCAGACGACAATCGCAGTCTAGACTGGATAAACTCAAATGATCTAGTTTGTTGAAATTTCTAAAGACGCAAGAGCTAATTGTGCTTACTTGCGTTTGTTCTAAATGTAAGATCGCCAATGTATCGCTTAAACCAGCGAACGTATTTTGATTAACTTTCTTTAACGGATTATTCTTTAAAGATAATTCCTTTACTTGCGAATTTAGGAACAAGTTATCTTCTATTTCGCCAACGTCTATATTTTCCAGTATTATTTTCTCCAAAGAGATGAGTGGTTTAACCATTCGTAGATCTTTAGGCAGTAAGGGCGTGTCTTTAAAATTTAACTCTTTTAATGAAAGTTTTATAGATTCAAAGTGTGCTTCCGTTAATGAACCGGCAAGATTACACTTTTGAAATGATAATATTTCAATTTTAGAATGTCTTCCAAATGTTTCTTTTTCGATTGAGTTTAGTTTCTTATTATCATCCATTCGTAGTTCAATTAATGAACCTTCTGTCCCTTTTAGATGTTTAAATTTTAATTCTTTAATATCGCAATTGCTTAAAAACAACTTTCTCAATTTAGTAACTTCTATAAAGAGATTATCCTTTAATGAATTTAAGCCTTTATTTCCAGATAAGTCTAATTCCCGTAGATTTTTTAACTTACTGATTTCAGTAAGTTGATTAGTACTAAAGGTTGTGTCAACTAATACAAGCCTTTGCAAATTTACAAGTGCATCAAATGATCCTGCTGCTACATTTGTTATTCGGTTTTCAGTTAAATCCAAAATTTCAAGTCTACGTAGATTTGTTAAACTATTCGATTCAATTCTAGAGATTTCGTTACCTTTCAAATATAATTCTTTAAGATTGCCAGCTTTGCCGTAAATTGCAAAATCTGTAAGTTTGTTATTGATTAACGACAGTTTCTCCAATGCAGTTTTATAGTTAATCGGTAATTCCCCTTCTCTTATAGATTTTAATCCAAAATTTTCTAGCTTTAAGTTCCTTAGATTTGGTAAATCGTTTAAAGCTTTATCGGGAAGTTGACCATTTTGTATTGTAAATCCTGATAAAATTAAATCCGTAAGGGAAATGATATTGAAAACATCTTTGGAGAATTGAACATTCGAAACGATTATTTGTAATTTCTTTAAATCAGGTAAATTAGCAAAAGCGTTATTATCAATAGAATTTAACCGTTCTTCATTAATAAGTATTTCTGCAACTCTTAAGTTATTAAAGGCATCCGATTGTATTGTTGTAATTGAGTTCTTTTCAATTTTCAATAGATCATAGGATTGTCCATTCTGAACAAAAATTGGTATCTTACTTAATCCAATTTTAAAGCAGTCAATTTCTTTTATACCATTTTCATCCTTACAAATACAGCCCGGATTATCTTTAATAGGGCATGGAATAGTTTTAAATTCTCCGTTATTGAAGCATGCTAATAACCAGATTATATTTAATAAGATGAATAGCATTCTTCTTGAATAAACCAGATTTTTAGAAAATCTTTGTTTCTTTTATGTTTTTTATTTAAAAATCTGCTCCCTTCTTTAGACTATCAAAGCATTCCTCTCTTCGATAAGTACCATAAAATATTTAACCTGTTCAAGGTAAAAAAAAAAGACATTATATAAATTAATAACCTAAGAAAATACGTTATTTTCAAATTGTTGAACATTGATAAAAAATTCAAAAGAAATACCGAATGCCTAACCTAAATACAGAAAAAATATCGGCCTGCTACAATTTCAATATTTTTTTATTCAAATAAATTTTCTCTTTTGGTTGAAATCGTGTCAATAAAAGAGTTGAGCAGGAGGGAAGAGAGAGAGGGGAAAATATTTACAAGGCTTAGAAGTATTAAATATATATATATATTTTATATATTAGTATATTCTGCTATATAAAATTTTATTCTACTCTTTCTTCTCTATTCCCTTTGCCTTCTCGTTTAATAATGAAATTATGATTTTATAGATAAAATAAATTAAACATCCTTTAACGATTAAGTTGAATATTTAAAAAAAATTAATACTTTTGATAACATATCAATAACTTCGTAGGTGTTCTTGATTCATTCGTAAAAGGTCAGATCTCTCTCTTAACTGAACTCAAATGTAATATTTACCTTACGTAGAATAAAATCTAGCTATATAAAATATATACGACTATACATATATACTATATTAAACAGAATTTTTATACTATAGATCGATAATATCCCCTTATAAATTTCAAAATATCATATTTATAACCAATTTTTTTCTTCTATAATGTTACAGTAAGGTATAATAAAATGAAATACTGCTCTTATGTTACCTCAGAATAATGCATCATCACGTATGAGCAATAAGAGCCAAAAGCTAGTTTAGAAATACGTTGAACAACCTTATCAAGATATATTCTTTTTCCCTAGTTGTTAAAACGTATCAAATATAATACGTTGTAAGTGATTGTTATAACTTTACAGGCACCTTAAAAAAATATTGTTCTAGTACAAAACGGATTTGTTTATTATATTTGTTTTTCTTACTCTCATCCCTTCCTATTTTCTCTGTCTGTCTATCTGTCTATCATAAGTATGTCTGTCTCTGCGTCTGTATCTCTCTCTCTCTCTCTCTCTCTCTCCCCTTCGCTCTGTCTATAACTCTCTTCTTCTACCTGTGTATCTATTCGTCTAGCTATCTATCTGTTAATTTTTTTCTTCCCTTCTAATCATAACGATAGAGGTGATCATATCCTGGATCTGTTTTATTTCCTATTGTGTTTGTTTATTTATCCTTACTATGGCTAATTCATAGACTTTGCTTTTTATCATCTAGGCCTTTTAATTAAAAAAAAACAGTGGAAAAACCTAAAAAAAGAGACGAATTGTGAAGATAAAAACAAATACTTACCCAGATATTCTTACGATTTTGTATTTCTAACCTCTTATTATGTTTTTACGCATGATTGATTTAAGTATTGAAGAATCTATTATTGTGTAGAGACGGTCATTGTAATTACCAAGGTGTTTGGACCCAAAAGATGGCGCCCTACCAAGATTATTCAGTGTTAGGGAAATCCCCACCCGACCCCGTTTATACCCCCACGTTTTATTCATCTATAAAAAGCATCTGTTCAATAGTCAAAACACTCCCGGGATTATGACTAATACGTTGTTAATGTTATTAGTGAAGGAATTTCATATTAAATAAAAGGAGATATTTTAATATTTATTTAAATAATTTTATTATATGAATAAAATATTACAAACTAATATTTTACAATCCTTTTTATTTAATTCAAAAATAACAGTACATTCAATTAATTAAGCAAACTATTCTCGACGCCAAAGACCACTCTAATTTTTTACTATTGTTTGATTTGAAACATTTTAGACTTTTTCTGATGTAGAAAAGAGACATATAGCACATATAAATTATATATATATATATTCTATATCTCACTCTTTTCTGTCTGCTAGTTCAGTATAATAGGATTTCAGCTTAACACAAATCTGTCTACTTCTATAATTAAAAGACAAATATGTATCTTTCGTAAAAGAGAACATACCCATCTATTAAATATAAAAATAGATGAAATCTTTCTAAAAATAACAGACAAGAATCTAGTTATGCAGCAATTTTTTTGCTAATGTATAAAAGAAGAAAACATAGTACATTGTATGTATTTATGTATCTATGTTTTGAATCTATATTTGAGTGTATATATTTGTTTTTTTATAGATAGATATTTATAAAACTTTACAGTATCATTGATATCTGTAATTTTATAAATAGTTTTACATCGATTCAGTTATCAAATTTTGGAGCAAGCATTTTACTTGGAAATATTTAAATGTTTAACATCTATTTTTGGAGAAGGTTTGGAAAATGGGATAGGAGAGGGGAAAGAGAGAGAGAGAGAGAGAGAGAGAGAGAAAGAGAGAAAGAAAATGACATTAATGGACTTAACATATATATTGAATTTTATATTCCAATGAAAACCTTTTATAATATATAAAACTACTTTTTTTAGCCTTATTACAAAATGATTTATCTTGATTTTTCACTATTATTATCTCTAACCACAAGAATTTTTAAATAAAAAGATGTTAAATAATTAAATAAACCATGTTTTACGTGATTGAATGACTTCAAGTACAAATTTTATTTTATCTATTTGTTTCTTATCTCATTTTATCTTATACAATGCAATCTAAATACACCTTTTTTCATTTGCTCTTTAAAGTTCTTTGGGGGTGTATATTCTCTTTTTTATCCTCATTTGAATACTGTCACCAATTTCCTGGTCCTTTTCAACGGATGGTTGCATAATTATATTGATTGACAAATAGTTTACTTCATCGAAGAGTATCATTACAGGCCAAAACCTATTCTGAGAAGAAGTTTTAAAATCAAGGAATTCTATTTGTAGGTTGTTCAATTACAAATTAAAATTTTATCATATTAAAGGGAATATTTTCTATATTTAACCAATTTATACAATCGTTTCCTTTTCCCAATGAATTCTAACTTAATCAGAACTTTCTACATTTTTCTACTAGAAAAGAAAAAACATTAAAAAAATCAATCTAATCAATTTTTTTCATTCAATTCATTAAATAATTTCATTCTGAAAATCAACTTTATATTTAGAATAGAATCTATAGAATTATTTCAAAATTTACCTATTCTATTTCCGTTTTCTTTTTCCATCAAACTAAACTATTTTTAACATATTGACTCATATAATTTATTCAACATTTTTTTTCCATTTGCAGGAATATTGAAATGTTCTATTCAACCTTTTCTTATTGATCTTCGCTCCCTTTTAATAACCTTGAACTTGTTTAATTCTGACAAACACTTTCTATCATTTCTATTTTATATGATCAATATTACTTAATTAAAAAAAAATACCGACCATTGTTATAATATTCTAATTATAGAATTTTTATTAAAAAATTGATATCTGTACACTCTTTGCCCTAGTTTTTAGTATGCTTAAATAAGTAAACTGTAACAAGTTCAAAATCATAAAGGTTAGAATGGAATTTTTTTCTCCCCCTCACTGAATTGTTTTTCATATAGAAGAGCCAATTTCATTTCTTATTCAGTATCTACTTTTTACTTGAATTGAATTAAATGGAAAACTTTGAAAATGTTTGAATAAGCATTATGAAATAGAGATGAAAGAAATAATGAAAAAATTGGACTATTACAAATTGAAATGATTATATCATCCTAGTAAAAAAAAGTATTCATATAGATAGATTTATTAAAGATAATAATAATAATGAAAAATATGAATGCATGTCTCTCTTTAAAACTGTAAAGTACAAGGATAAATTCAAATTTAGCAGATGTTCTTATTTTCTTGTTAGCCTAGAAGTCTTCCAAAAGGACATTTTTCCTAGAGATTATATATATATATATATATAAATATATAAATATATATCTAAATCTCGTCTTACTCCTACGATCATTTACAGTCTAGAATTAAACAATTAAACGTATACCCTTAAATAATAAAAAAAAGAGCTACGTATATAAAAAAAACACTCTAAGAAATCTGAATAGAAGACATAAGAAAATATAAAAACAAAATACTTACCCAGTTATTCTTTCATTGTATATTTAACCTCTTATTATTCTTTTTTTCTGTATTGTTGTTAAAAGGGCATTTTTTGTTTGTTTGAATAATGTCAAAGTAAATTGGTAAAAAAAAAAAGAAAATAATTGAAACTTGTATTAATTCTATTACTTGTTTCATTAGAATTTTTGCAGATCTATGCAAAAAAAAATGTATATATCTTATTTTAATAGAAGAGAACTTTTTTTATAGACTATTTTTAACTATTTTGATAAATTATTAAAGTGCTCTCTTTCTATTTTCAAATAGGTTCGAAGAGTATTTTAAAAGGTCACTGTTTTTATTTTGTTTTTTAACAAAAAACCCTAATAAAATTAATCTATAGAGTTATTCTTTTTTTTTTTTTGATTTGTATGCGAAATATGCTTATTCGTACATTTCACTTTTACGTAATAGAAAAACCTTGAACATAAAACTTAATTTAAGGCCTTAAATAAGTCCGACAGTTTAGTGGGTTGGTATTGAAAACTAATTGACTACACATATCTTTATAAACAATGTTTAAGAAAAAAAGGGAAGACAGTAGTCGTCTCTAATTTCTTATGCGTAACTATCAGCAAGTCAAACGAAAGCTATCGGAAGTAGTTTTTACATCTACGGCAATATTGTTTTGGCTCATACACATGGGAAGTATAAAAGGAAGTTGCTTCCGAAAATGAAAACAGATGAATATTCATTAACATCATCGCGTGGACAGCGAATGGTACAATTTGAACTTTACTACTCGGAATAAGAATTGCAAAATATCCGAAAAAATAAAAATTTTCGGAAACTAGAGCAAAAACATATACTGTATATTTGACTGCAACTTAACCGTTCTTTTGTTTTTTATAACTAAAAAAAATGAAACTAAAAGAAATATAGAGCCAGGTTAAAAACTAGTTTGCTTGAACCAGTCTATCTATCTTTAAGTACTTTAATATATATTAAAGTATTACACTAATACATATGTATCGCTTTCCTTGCCTCCTACAACTTTCGATTCATTCGAAAAATTTAAAGGTTATTGGGGGAAGACAGACTTTGAATACTACTTTTAGGACGCTATTTGTTCTTAGTAGAACTTAGCTGCCTAACACCAATCTGTCAATTTATGCTTATAATTAAAAAAAAAAGCTGTACTTTTTGTAAAATAAAACATACCTCCTATTAAAGTTATAAATAGACGAAGTCTATATTTATAATATTCTAATTATTATATAAAAAAGTATAAGTTAAATTAATAAATAATAAAAAATATCATAAATGATGAAAAATACATTTAAAGAGAAGTAGCAATAGCTAATAATAAGATTCTCAATAAAAGAAAAGAAAGAAACTAAGATGAGAATGTACTTAACCTGTTTTATTAAGCATTGAGAAAAGGTTTTTTTTATTATTTTTTTTAAGATAGTGACACACCCCTTTATCTAAATTTGGATTAATGTGTATCAATTTATACATTATTATCCTTTATATATATATATATATATATTTGCAATTAAGTACCGTGAGAAGATTAAGGCAAAAAGGCATACTTTTTTAACAAGTATTACATAACTTGAAAAGAAAATCCCAGCCAATTCATCTGTCAAAGTTTAGACATTTCTTTTTTTTTCTTCTGTAAAACAATTTCAAGATAAAATGAGATTACATATAAAATTATATTAGTCATAAAACAGTTTCTTAATTTTGACGGCTTTAATTCCTTTTGGCCAATTTTTTATGTTTTTGTGTCTTATTAGAGGATAAAAAAAAAGAAAAAAAAAGACCTAAATTTAAGGAATATACTAAATATACCATAGAGTTTTGTACTTGAAAAAAGATACCTTTATAGTTTTATATACATTTTTGTTAACCAATCAACAATCACCATTACCGCATAAAAAGCTCTGCTTGGCTTTTTAAAACCATTCAGTTTTTTAAAACCGAGGGAAAAATGGCTCCAACAGATAGCACTAAAATTGTCGACTCTCAAGAAAATAACGAAGGAGAAATGCCGGTAAGATATTTGTTTTTATATATTTTGTGTCGTAGTTTTGATTGTTTCTCTATTTTCTTCTGAATTTTCAGTGAAACAAGATTGTTCTATTTTATTATGTTCGTTTTTATGCGTATTATTGATTCTTCTTGTTCAATTAATAATAGGAAGAAGTTCCAATAGGAAATAAGAACTTTAACGCTGGAGGTCCTATGCCTTTTGGAAAAGATATGATTGATGCGGCCATGGGTCTGCAAGATCTATTCAATGGCTTTCAGAATAGTCAAATTGTACATACTGCAGTCGTTTTGAAGATTAACGATATTATTGGCGATGGAGAGTTAGCTGCGTGGGAGGTTGCTGACCGTCTGGAGTGTTCAGTAAAGTACAAGCACAGAGACGAATTGGTGAGCAATGTTTCAAGGTTGTTGAATGCTTGTGTATCCTTAAAAGTTTTGAAAAAGACAAGTGAGTATTGATAAAGTTCATTTTTTAAAGAGTGTGACCTAGCTAATATGAACCAATTAATATGACACAATTCTCTTCACAAACAGACGCTTCAACCTATAAGAATACAGTCTCTGGTCATTTATTGAAGGATAATAAGCTTCCTTTCAATGACCTTTTCCATTTCATGCCAGTGCTTTATAGAGCATTCGGTCGCTTGGCATACAATTTTTCCCGAGGTGTGTAAAAATATAAAATTGAACGCTCTATTTTACATATCATAAATATTCATAAGCTAATGAAAAAATAAAAAAACAAAAACAGGAGAATCGAACGATAGCATATTTGATGATAAAGGTATGCTTAAACTTGTCGAAGTAAAAGAAGTGAATAATCAAGAAACGATCACAAGAAAGTTTGGCACAGTAATGAGTAAGATGACAAGTATGGATGCTAAAGCTATTTTACAGAACCCTAGAGTTCAGAATCTCCTAAAGAATATCGATGTCTGCTGCGATATTGGTGGTGGAAATGGAACATTAGCAAAATGTCTTGCAAAGAAATATCCATCAACAAAATTTGTCGTATTCGACAAGTCTTTTCCAATAAATTGCACTACAAAATCTGATCAACCTTCGACGAACCTAAAATTTCAATCGGGTACGCTTTTAAAAGAATAACTATTTTCTTTCCTTCTATATACAGTATATAAATCTATTTTTAGTTCATTTGTCTATTTTGCCCATATTACTTTTCAAATATTTATCTTATGGTACTAGTTTAATAATTTTTTCTTTCTATCTTTAGGTGATTTCTTCGATAAATCAACAATTCCAGAAGCTGCAATCTACATATTAAGTCACGTTCTTGTAGATTTTGGAGATCAAATGGGACGCAAACTACTGTCTAATCTCCATGGTTGTCTAAAAGAAGGTGAACTTTTAATACGGTCACCTAGTTGAAAATTTTTATAATCTTTTTATAGGTCAATCTGTTCTTATTTTGGAAAAAATTCTTCGAGACGATAAGAGCGGACCAACAGATGTCGTTCTCTACGATATGGGTATGATGGCTTTACACAAGGGAAGAGAGAGGACGAAAAGTGAATATTTCGATATGATCTACCAAGCTGGCTTTTCTAAATGTGAATACATAAGCATGGGGAAAAGCTCAAAAAGGGATATAATATTAGCAACCAAATAATACTCAATAGTAATAATTTACGTATTTTGTTAATTAGTTACATTTGTTTCCCTAATTATATTCACTTGAGTCAATATTAATATGAATAAATTTGTTAAAAAATCTTTTTTAAATATTGCCTTTATTCGATATTTTCTTTAAAGTAATAACTATATAATAAAAGTACTTAAAAAGTAACATAATTACCAAATATACTAAATATATATTTGAATAAGATAAATCAATAAAATATAAAGATTTCTTTCTGCTACAATATAAAGATTGGTGTGTGTTACTTGGACGATGAGATAAAAATAAGACTTCTCGATACGGATATGGATAACAGCATGCGCCATCTATCATGTGGGAGGGGGGATTCCGTTAGGATTATTGCGCATGCGCGACTTTTTAGGGTATTTCCTTGACTCTAAAAGTAGTAGAGCTCGCCATCTTAGGGAAGTTAGGGTGGATTTTTGTATCCATTCGGTAGGTTAATCTATGTTATTATTTATTTTGCAATGTTTAGCCTGTATATAAATTCTTAAAGATCTTTTAGCAATTATGTAAATGATCAGCCGGCGATTTTCAATCAATTTCACATTTGATTGTAAGTCTTTTTTGGAAAAACTATCGGCTCTCCTCAATTAGTCTGTTTTAATTGAATTGAGCTTGTTGTTTACTAAATCCGATGTAATTTATCCACGGAACTGAATTAGTAATAGCTGATATGCTAAAATGTTATTAATATTTATTATATATAAGTAATTCAATTGAGGCGGCATCATTCCTTACAGACCACCGACATGGCGACCTTATCGCTAAAAGTTTACATTCTTGGGGCAGAAAACAAAGTTATAGCAGATACAACTCTAAAATTCGATCCATCGACCGAAGTTATTGATGCCTGTATGACTGTAAACAGACAAGTGCCCCAGAATGTACAAATCAATGCCCAGGATTATGGTCTGTTTTTACCGGACGATGACGAAAAGAAAGGAATATGGTTAGATCCTTCACGTAATTTGGACTATTATATGTTGCGAAATGGGGTAAGGACGAATTAAAACGATTATTTTTTTATAGCAATATAAAAATGGCAATCGTTTTCATTAATTATATTAATTATAAACTTCCTCTCTTTCATCTCTCTCTCTCTTTTTTCTAACAGGATGATATTCACTATCGCTGTAAAATACGCCTATTAAGAGTTCGAATGTTGGATGGAAGTGTAAAATGTTTAAAAGTGAACGATACATTAACTGTACAAAATCTAATGGTCCCGATATGCACCAAAATTGGAATTGCAAACCACGATGAATATTCTCTTGTTCGTGAATTAAAAGACGAGGAACTAGATAAATTCATGAGTCTACGAAAAGGACAGGTTTGTTGAGTTTGTAAGCTGAACACATTGTTTGCTTTGTAATTACCTAGATTGCTCTGTTTTGGGAGATAAAATAAAAGAGGGAATGATAGACAGAAAAGGGGAATGAATGAAAAGAGAAAAAAAAATAAAAAGAAAGAGAAACAATTCACTTGTACTGGTATAAGAAAATATCTCGTAATTTAAGCGAATATACGAACACACCCGTCCTTCTGTTGTTCTACGTATCAAATAACAGTACCGAGTTTTTATAGTTGATCTAAGCATTTAACTGCCTAAACAATTACGTAATTTTTAATTTATTACAATTGGCCGCAGTCTAATACAAAAAGTTTATAAAATTCATGTTAATTAATACTTTAAATAGATTATCTTATAAATAATTAAATGCTTCTGTGGGCGATATGATAGATTTTATATACAGTGTACTGTATTCATAAATCTACACCACATGTGCGGGATGTATGTATATATATTTTCTTTATATGCAGAGTATAGCAAGGGATCAGGAAAAGCTGGATAAGATGAAGAAAAAGTTACAAACAGAAGACGAAGTTCCTTGGCTGGAATCCGATCAAACACTCAGAGAACAGGGCGTTGGCGATAACGAAACACTTTTACTTAAGCGTAAACTATTCTTCTCGGATCGTAACATTGACGTTCGCGATCCCATACAGCTGAATTTATTATACGTTCAGACAAGAGATTCTATTATCAAGAGCGCACATCCTGTTACCGCAGAACAGGCTCTTCGCTTCGGTGGTCTACAATGCCAGATCCAATTCGGAGATAGTATAGCTGAAAAGCCTTCCCGTTCTGGGAGTTCACTAAAGGACTTTCTTCCTAAAGAATATGTGAAAGCAAAAAATGCAGATAAGAAGGTATTCGCTGAGCATAAGAAGGCCCGAGGTCTAACTGAGTTAGAAGCGAAATGTAAATATGTTCAAGAGGCACGTTCTTTGAAGACCTACGGTGTAACCTTCTTCTTAGTTAAAGAGAAACAGAAAGGAAAAAATAAGCTAAGACCCATTCTTATCGGTGTTACCAGAGATGCCGTATTAAGAATGGACGGAAAAACTAAGGAAATGATAGAATCTTGGCCTTTGGAACATGTCAAAAATTACGCAAGAACTCCTCACGGATTTATGCTAGACTTTGGTGACTATGCTGACCCCTATATTGTTCAAACTCAAGAAGGTGAAAAGATAGCTAATCTGATAAATGGCTATATAAACATAATAATACGTAAGAAGAAAGACGGTGATTACGCAGGAGATGATAGCGATGTATCAGTCGTAATTGCCGAAGATGAAGTTGCACCGTCATCAGCTACGATCATACAACAGAATTCAACACAACAGCATACTGACTTATCATCTGTTGCCAAACCTGTCGTTATTGGTTCAGCCCAACAATTACAAAGTGCCCAACATGGTCAATTGGCGGGAGCTCAACATCAAACAGAACATCGACGAGTTCATATATCAAATTTCGGTGTTGCCGACGGTGAATATGATGACGAAAATGTTGTCACAACGGCAGCTCAAAGAGCCTTACTGGGCACTATTAATCTAGGATTAAGAGCGGTACAGGATGCCCGCCAGCAACTCGGACAGCGAGCCGAGATACCACAAATTGGAAATGATAAAGCATCTTTGGCCTGGAAGAGAGAAGAATTGGAAATGTCTAAGCAAAAGATACATGCAAGTATGAGCGCCATATCAGCAGCAACAGCTAGGATATTGCGCGCTTATAGTGAAAGACCAAGAGATGATTCTAAATTGGGCGAGGCTATTAATACCATATTGTCGAATGTAAGAATGATGAGTAGTGGGGCACAATCGATAGCTGCCTTGAATGATAATCAAGAGAAAGGTGATAAATTATTATCCGCCGCTCAAAATCTAGCTGACGCTTTTACGGATTTGCTAAAGATAGCCCAGCCCGGAACGGATGAGGTAAGTGCATTTTATGAATAATAACTATCTATCACTATTCGCTCCTTCTTTATATTGAAAATACTACATCAGAAAAAAATTTAGTGGAATTTTTAAAATTTTTCATTTAAAAAGGTCTTATTCTAATTTTATAAGAAATCCTTTGAATATCTTAAGTACTCATAGATGTAGATAATGATCGGGTATAAGCAAAATATTTCGATAACAAGGTCTAGATAGAAAAATTCTGTAAAGGTAGTTAAAAAGTGAGCGAGAGGTTAGATTTAGTCAGACTGGGGGAGAGGAAGAGCCATCTACGGGTAAATTGTTTCATTAAATTATGCCAGGCATGCTTGCTGTATAAGCAACATCGCATCAGTAAGCCAGTACAGCAGCTATCCTGCAGTACTCGTTTACTTTTATTGGTTAACTTAGATTATGTAGGTTCTAAAAAAAAAATTTTTCCTTCCATTTTTAAAAAAAATGGTACATGGACATAAATAATAATTATGGATTGTTTTGTTGTTGTTAAGTATTACGAGGCTTTAAGTAAGGTAAGCAAGTCTATATCTATTGTTTTTGTTTTCCTGGTGTTCTCCTCAAGCTCCTGATATATACGAACCGAGATCACCTCACCAAACTTATTTTGCTTCATATTTCGTTATCTATAATTTTTTATATATCCTATTCCCAGTGTCCAATACTTTCTTTTGTAGTATAACTAGATATACTTGCATAATGGTCAACCATTTTCTATTCTTTCCTCCTCTATTATCGTCTATATCCCCGACAGCCACGTCAGAATGTTGTGGAAGCCACATCACGTATTGGTGAATCGACAACTGATGTTTTGAAATATTCGGAGGTACATCATTTGGAGGCCTATGAGGATACGTTAATGAATATTGCTAAGGCGGTAGCCAACGCCACTTCGAATCTTGTTTTACGGGCTAAGGAGGTATCTAATTCTACCAAGGATCAGAACTCCCGTGATACTATCGTTAAGAATGCAACACAATGCGCTTTAGCTGCTTCCGACTTGGTAGCTTGTACTAAAGTTCTCGCTCCAACTATGCACTCTCCTCAATGCGCCAAGCAGTTAGAAATATCAACAAGTCGAGTTGGAGATCACGTGATAACTTTAACAGACTGTTCGAAAAGATGTAACGATGTCGACGAGCACAAGCTAGCAGAGTTGAATGAGGCTGGTGTGGACGTTATCAGAACTTTGCACGATTTAATGAATCACATTCAAGGAGCTAGTGCAGATGGTGGTGAAGATGAAACAGATACCGTTGAAACGATTCTCAACGCGTCTGAAAAATTACATGAGAGTGTTGGTAGGAATCAAAATGAGACTTTAAGACAAGCTCAATTATTGGCCAAGGCTACGTCACAGCTAGTAACAGCTCTAAAAACGGACGCTGAGGCGGATAACAACGGTGATGAACAGCGCAAGTTATTAGGAGCGGCTAAGCAGTTAGCCGATGCAACTGCCAGAATGGTGGAGGCTGCCAAGGGCTGCGCTTTAAATCCAGAGAATAATGAACACCAACGTAAATTGAGGACAGCCGCAGAGGATGTTAGAACAGCTACAACAGTGGCAAATATAGGTGTTTCAAAAAGATCATTGAGAAGATTGGAGATTGCTGCTCGTAATGCTGCTGATTCATTGGCTCAATTATGCAATGCTGCTCGGGTCTCTAGCCGCAGTCAAAGTAATGCTTCCGTCCATCAGGCTTTGGCCCGACAATGTTCGATCGTTAGTAAAAGTTCCATTCCGGACGTTGTGAAAGCTCTTCAACAGACAGCTCTCTCGCCATCGAATGATTATCCCTTGATTAATTCTTCCAGATTGCTCCTTGAAGAGGGTAATAATCTGGTTGATTGTGCTAATTCATCGGTACCTACTATTACAAATGAAAGCTCAGCGCTTAGTCTAACAGGAGCTGCTTCCGCTTTATCGCAAGCATTAGCCGAGTTACAAGCTGCTCTTACAGCTCATACAGGACTCCCTCGTCTTGTGTCAGATGAAATTCAAGCGGCATTAAATACCCTCTATTCTTTAAGATCGGATTTACAGGGTACTAAGATTGCGGCATCTCAAAGTTTGTATTAGAATTCTTTTATTTGTAGCAATAACGTCCCGTTTTATTTTCTCAGGTGCTCTTCGGCCTTTACCAAGAGAGAACGATGAGGAAGCCAACGAACTTTTAGCTGACGCCTCCAAGGCCGTTGCCAGTTCCATAGCTCAGTTATTATCAGCGGCTTCGCAAAATAACGAGAGTCACGTCGGCTCATCTGCTCGTGATTCCGTTGCTGAATTGAGTAGATTCTGTCGGGCAGCAAGAGAAGTTGCAGCAACTGCACCTGATAGACAAACTTGTATGACTTATCTATTTTCTTCCCATCACAGAACTTTATTAAATTTTTTTTTCAGGTGATGAAATGCTTGATAAAGCGTTAATTATACTACAAGAAACGTGTCAATTACTTGAGGAAGCAAAGAATGGTTCCAAGATCGATCGATTAAAATTAGCAGCTGGTAATGTACACCATGCTCTTGAAGATTGTGTAAATTCCTTACCTGGTTTAAGAGATGTGCAAACGGCCCTTGAGCAAGTATGTGTTATTGAAAAGCGGCTAACTGGTAGAAAGGTTACTAGGAGTAAAGTCCAAACAGCCGAATTACAAAAACAACTAGATTCTTCAGCAAACACCCTTAATAAGGCTGCGTCAGACGTAGTCTCTTCAGCTAGATATGCTCCAACCAAGGATTTACCCAATTCAGCCAAGAGATTTAGCGCTGCTTATGAGGGTCTAGCAAATGCAGGAATAATGGTTGCGGGTACAGTTGATGATGCAGAACACCAAAGAGATATAATCGCTGGCATTAGAGGAGTAGGAAACACTTCATCAAGACTACTTCAAGCCGGTCGATCAGTTATGACAAGACCAAACGCACCTAATATAAAGAATCAACTAATGCAGGCGGCCAGAGCTGTTACAGAATCCGTTAGTGGTTTAATAACCACCGTTAGACAATCAGCCGCCCACCCAGGTCAGCAGGAATGCGATGCTGCTCTTAGTCGTTTAAATATGGCTAGGAATTTATTAGACTCTCCAAGTGAACCACTCAAAGATACAACTTATTTTGAGTGCCTAGATCACATAATGAGAGAATATGCATCAGCTCTTTGTAGTTATATGTCGTCTGTACCAAAAACGGCTAATGGTAGGGAAGCAGAAAACTTTTGCGCAGCTATTCGAGGTGTCGCTGGAACGATTTGTAGCATTACTGAACTGGCTGCCCACTCAGCTTACATATTAGCTGTCTCCGATCCGTCATCGACCCCCGGCAAACGGGGTATTATTGATCAAGCCCATTTATCCAGATCGGCGTATTCGATCCAACAGGCCTGTGAACTCCTTTGCAGTCCGGCACGTGTTACACAGCAGCAGGTGAGCTCAACTACTCTTACCTCAATTTTTATTGTGAAATAGAATATTTCATATATTATTATTAAATAGCCCTTTTCCTCGAGATATTTATAAAAAAAGAGTTATTTAATATGCTTACAGGATCTACGAGCGTTGGTATGTGTCAGCATAAAAATGATTCAATTCTTTTCCTAATTCTCTCTCTACTATTATTATTATTATTATTACTATTACTATAACTCGCAATTATATATTATCATTTTTTTAAAATAATATTTATCATGATTATTATTGTTACGACTATTCAATTGCTTTCTATCTTGATCTGTTCCAACATGAATCGCATTGGAAAATTCACTTTTTAAAATTGTTTTTATTTATATAAAAGCTACTAGCTTTATTGGTCACGATAGTATTTTAAGAAGAGCAAATTTTTACTATTTTAAGTGCTGATCTTTTATATAAGTTTTAATCTAACTATTCTCGATTGGTTTATTTCTTCAATTTGTAATGTTTCTATTTTAGAGGCATATTTAAATTGTAAAGTTAGAAAAGTAACTAATTTAATACCTTTTTCAGATATTAACAGCGGCTACCGATGTTGCGAAACATACGTCTACAGTTTGTACCTTGTGTAGAGAGGCGTCTGAAAGGACTTCTGATCCAGTTGCGAAGAGACATTTTGTGCAATCGGCGAAAGATGTCGCTAATGCTACTGCAAGTTTGGTAAAAGCTATTAAGAAATTAGACGCAAAAGCAACTAAAGAAAATCGTGATCTATGTGCGAATGCAGCGGAACCTTTGATCAGATCTGTTAGTCAATTAATGACCTATGCCGATTCTCCACTATTTACTTCACGAAGTGCTAAAATTTCCAAAAATGCTGAAACCGTCCAAAAACCTATTATAACAGCAGCGTCATCTCTTTTGGACGAAGCTTGTTATTTGGTTGTTGCCGCAAAAGAATTAGCAGTGACCGAGTTGAAATCAGAGATGTTTCAACCCTATTCCAATCAGAGTAGTAAAGTCTCAAACTCTCTCAAGGATCTTATGACATCAATGAAAGATAGTGCTCCAGGTCAAGTAGAAAGTGCCATGGCAATTGATGCAATTTGTGGAGCTTTACGACAACTCGACGCCTATTCGGTATCGAACGCTGAAAGACCACGACTAGGCAGTCGTTCAAAGAATGACGAATTAATGCTAAGGACCACAAAAGTGCTATCTGATAAAGTCAGATCTACTGCGATAGCCGGTCACAATCACCCTGAGCAAATAGGTCATGAATTAGCAGCGGTTGCAGACCTTGTTAGGTCATTGGTCCAAGCTTGTACGACCGTATCTGCCAAATCTTCAAAAGAATATTATCAATTGATGGAGGAGACAAAAACTGTAGTCGAGAGTACTTTACAATTGGCCCAAACAGTTAAAGAGTGTGGCGGTAACGCTAATGCGCCTCTTGAGTTCCACGAAGCGATCGATGATTCGGCAAAGAACTTAAATGAGTCCATAACAGATCTGATGGACACACTGCAAAATACAGCCTCTTCTTACGGTCACGTTTCATCCTTGATAGAGCAGATAGCTAAAGCTATATCCAGAACGGAAGAGCCTTTAGCAGTTGGTGAAAATATCAGCTTTGCACAATTTCAAACATCAATGGTTCACCTCGTACAAGCTATTGTTCGAAGTGCACATGATATGAATGCAAAGACAGTAAATGGAAATGTTCAGGATTTAGGAGGTTTGGTCCATTCAATAACTCGAGATTTTACTGCTTTAGCCCAAGAATCTCGAGGAGCAGTAGCCACTAGCTCTAGTCAACAAAACGCCATTTCCCTAAGATCAGCAATACAACAGTTAGGAACTGCTTGTATTGATCTTGTGCAGGCTGGCGGCAACGTGACGGCGCATACCAGTGACCAACTAGCCAAAAACGAGCTCTCCAAGCACGTTAGGGTCGTTGCTGAACGAGTTGGCAGGGTTCTAAGGGAATTGAGGGTAGGTGCCAGGGGAACTGAAGCTTGTATACATGCAGCTAGTACAGTTTCGGGCCTAATCGCCGATTTGGACACTACCATTATGTTTGCAACAGCCGGCACTTTAGCTCCAGACAAGGGTGGTGAAACTTTCAAAACTGAAAGAGATGCCATACTTCGTACAGCGAGAATGCTCGTTGATGACACCAAATTATTGGTAGGAAGCGTTGGAGGCGAACAGCAACAACTTGCTGATGCCGCAAGAGCAGCAGTTACAACAATTTCAAAATTAGCGGATTGCGTAAAAAGGGGAGCAGCAGCGCTTGGTGCCGACCAACCGGAAGCACAAGCTCTTCTCTTACATGCCATAAAGGATGTAGCGACTGCCTTATCAGAGTTGGTATCAGCGACTAAACAAGCAGTGGGACGAAATGAAAACACACAAAGTGTTGGATATCTTAAAGACTCTGCCAAGCAAATGATTGAAAATATAACCCAACTTTTAAAGACTGTAAAAACTGTAGAAAATAAAGCAGCCAGAGGAACTAGAGCTTTGGAGGCAACTCAAGCAGCAATTGAAACTGAATTACGTAATTTCGCTTCAGCTCAGCACGTTGAGCAAAGAATTTCGCCAGACCAACTCATAAGGTTAACACGCCCTATTACATCAGCGACAGCGAAAGCCGTAGCCGCAGGCAATTCCGGTTTACAATCCGACGTTATCGAAGCAGCGAACGCAGGGAGAAAAGCAATTATAGACGTCCTAAAAGGAGCTAAGGGCGCGGCCAATTCTGCCTCCGATAGCGAATCAAGGGAAAGAGCGTTAAGAGCAGCTAAAAATTGCGCCGAAAGTTATCACAAATTATTGACCGTCTTGGACGTGGTCTTACAGCAACCAGGCGTCATAGAACCAAGGAAACAGCTAGCGGAAACGTCAAAACGAGTTGCCAGTTCAATAACTGAAATAGTAACTGCTGCCGAAACCATTCAAGGTCGGTAAAAAATTTACATAGCATCAACTAAACATGGTTTACCTAAACAATCTGAACATTAAGATTTAATCACTAATGTCAGAGAATAATAAAAATAATAATAACATTAACAAATAAATAATAAAATAATAAAACAAAAAACTTCAGGGCCAGATGATAGAAGAATGGCTCTTTCAGGTTTCTCATAAAAACTCTGTTGTATTTGGAGATGTTGTTTACTCTTATTTTTGTACACTTTGAACGAAAAGATGTCTCTGTTTTCTTTTACTTTTTAGCACGTCATCGATATTTAGCAATAGCATTAATGTGGTTTCTTTTTTAATTGTTTTTATTTATGAAATGTTTGACTAGGGCGAATCAGAGACGCTATGTTTCTATTTAATTCTTCACCGAACAGGTTCCGATTGGGTAGATCCAGATGATCCAATTACTGTTGCAGAGAATGAGTTACAGAATGCTTCGAACGCCATTGAGATGGCAGCAAAAAAGCTTTGTCAATTGAAACCTAGAGAACAGACGAAGGTATGAACTGCTTTCTGCCCTTTTCCCAACCCCCGCCGGTCCCTTCCTTTCTGTTACTTTATACTTACCTATACCTTATCTACATACTGCGCGCCACCTATCATATATTTTTTTATAACTTAATTATACAATGCTTGCTTTAGTCTAACAAAGTCTTCTTAACGCCTCTTGATATGTTTGGTATATTTGGTGGTTTCTCTATCACATCACCAAGTATCGAACATGTCCTGTAGCGTTTCGAGCGAGCGACAATTCGATTCGTTTCCTCGTTATCCTCCTTTTTTGAGACTCCCTTTTCCCACTTCCCCACTTACCCTCTCCTATCCTCCATTACTGGTAATTTCTCCCTTTTTAGGTCGTCGACGAATCGATGACATTTGACGAACAAATTTTATCGGCCGCTAGAAGCATTATAGAGGCAACATCAGCACTGATAAAGGCAGCGACCTTTGCTCAGAAGGAATTAGTGGGTCAAGGGCGCATGCAGGATACAGGTGACGAGGTTGAAGAAACTGGACAGTGGTCACGAGGTCTTCAATCAGCTGCAAAGATGGTAGCCGATGCTGCCCATAGGCTATGCGAGGCAGCTCAGGCCCTTGTCGCTGGTTCCGGCTCTGAAGCTCATCTGACATCAGCAGCCAGAGCTGTGGCTTCGTCAACTGCGCAGTTATTATTAGCATGCCGTGTCAAATCAGACTTACATTCAACCGCCATGAAACGTCTTCAAGAGGTTGGTAATGCTGTGAAGAGAGCTACAGACAATCTCGTACAAGCGGCTAGATCACAAAATTCCGAATGGACCTGCGAAACCAGCAGCGTTCATATTTCCAGTAGTCGAGTTGACGGTATGGCCCAATTAATAATGGCCCAGCAAGACATAATAGTCAAAGAAAAAGAGTTGGAACAGGCTAGAAAGAAGCTTGAGCATATTCATAAGCAACGCTATGGTCGAGCCGATTATGATAGTAGCGACGGTTCGAGTTTTTAAAAAAAGGAATATTATTAAATTGGTGCTGTTGATTTTCCTGAAAGTGTAATTAGAGCCTTTTAATTATAAACAATATATGCTAAGACACAGTTTATTTTTCGAATATTTTACTATTTATTCTTAACTGCTGGATAGATGTGCATGCTCTTCTGTGTCGCGCTTATTGCTGAATGTGTTCTTATGCAATTTTACACAATTGCTTTAGCAATGTATACTTTCGGAAATATACAAACTATTAGTTTTTACTTAAAAAAGAGTAACACTGTCATTTATTGTTTTAACTAAATAATCAATTTCTTTTAATTCTTATCATATACGTATATATATATTTCAAAATATATATAGATATGTAACGTGCATATTTAAAAGTAGGTTAAGAATTAGGCAAACCAAAATTTACAATTATTTAAGCTTTGACAGCAATTAGAGGAGTACGAGGTGAAAGATTATCAACCAGAGTTGGATTTTTTAGTTTCTTGTATATTCCATTAAGGACAACGTAGAATAAGTTGGGTTTAGGCATTCCATTAAAGTTTGATGCAGCGCACATAGTATAAGCTCCCATATTTTTGTATACAAGCCAGTCACCAACGAAAAGTTCTGGTAAGCGAATACGTTCGTTAAGACAATCTAAGCCATCACATGTTGGACCCCAAACACTTGAGTCATGTTTGATACCCGTGTAATCTTGTTTAAATTCTGGAGTTACTACAGCATGGTCATAGAGTAGACAATTAAATGATCCATAAACGCCATCGTTGACATAGTACATTATGGACTTTTCTCCCTGTTCATTTTCTGTTTCTCGTTTAGCAATCACGTTGACAACCAAAGTAAGGGCAGATGCTACAAAATAGCGTCCAGGTTCGGCAATTATTCTAATTCCACTTTCTTCTGGAAAGAGTTCATCAAGAGTAGGCTTTAGGTCTGAAACAATTTCTTCAAAAGTTATTGGTGCTCCTACATGCCCAGGAAAGCCTCCGCCAATATCTAGTAGATTGAATTCAAAACCAAGAGTTTTTGCCAGGCAAAAAGCGTCATGAGCCATTCGGACAGCAGCTGAGAAGGCCTTAGCCTCATAACAGCCACTACCAACGTGGAAAGATACGCCTACAACGTTCAATTTTAACTCTTTGGCCTTCAAGAGTAATTGTTCCCAATTTTTGGGATGAGCTCCGTACTTCATCCCTAACTGACATTGCGCTTTTATGTCATCGGGAGGTAGAATTCTAAGAACCAGTTGACACTCTGGATGAACCTTTGCAATTTTATACAATTCTTCTTCATTGTCAAATGTGGTCAAAGATACGCCATTCTTTGCAGCCATTCTGATGTGAGAATTTTGCTTACAAGGGTTAGCATATATAATTCTGGATGGATCAACATTTAGGCCTATAATTCTTTCAATTTCAGCTTTGGAGGCGCAATCGAATCCCATGCCCAAAGACACCATCATGGACAAGATAGATATATCATCGTTACATTTAACGGCATAGTGCGGATCAACTCGTGGTAGTAGTCTCTTCCACTTGTCCAGTTTTCTAACAACGTCGCTCAAGTCAGCAACGAAGAATGCATCTTCACTATCATTCTTCATTTTCTCTGCGATTACCTCTTCGACATCGTCAACGATTTGTACATCGGTCATATAGTTACACTTCATCTTGTTAAGATACTTTAATAAACACGTAATTATAATAAATTCTGAAGTCTTGAACCCTTAGCAAATATCAGCTGGGATCCCAAGGAGGTTCGGCGTTGTAATCGAACTTTAGCCTGTAGAGTGCCCCTCCTTCCGGACACTTGTTATACACAGATCTGCTGAAACCTGAGAAACCTCCCTGTTGAAAATTTAAAAGAGAAGTTTATATAATTTTTTATAAGGTAATATCGATTCTGTTTGCTGGTTTCAGAATACCAGACATCACGTGATTCGAATCACGTGTATTCTGTCAGCATGGCAGAACTATTCATGTCGAATTTCAAGGTTGCTTAAGCCCAGTTTTATTGAAATTGATACATGTTAAATTCTGACATGATTTTTAATAGTTGATAAGAGAATATTTTTTTAAAATGCCTTTTTTTAGCTTAATCTACATTTTCAGCATGGGCACACCATTTAGGAGTGGTTAGATTTAACATAATATACAAAAACTTACCCTGGCCCAACGGCTACTCTCCTGCCTCGGTGGAATTGTGAACAGTAAACACAGACAGTAAAAGTCGAAAACTTGCTAGATTACCGTATTTTACGATAATCAACCTCCTATGGCTACAATGCCGTCGGAAGTAGTGCGAAAAGAATGGAAAGACGTCAGCAGATAAAAATTAATACGCGATAAAATTCCAATTGCTCAACATTTACAAATAACATAATTTCATAATAATTTTGTTTTATTAAAATTTTGTTATTATTTTAAAACCTCTAACAGGGGTTACTGCTTTAGAAAATATTAATAGAAAATTAAAAGTCGGCCATAGAACTATTTTTTTTAAGTGCCATCTGGCTGTCAAATAGTTTTCATCATAGGCTGAACAAGTAATATAAATCTTTAAATAATTTGTCTCGTCAGAGCATATTATTTGAATTTATTATTCATTTCAGCCTTAAGATTAGCTAATTTATGGAAGGGTGGTCTAGTGCAAACAGAAGGTCCCTTGCCAAAAATATACGCTATAGGGCTAAGAGTCAATCAATTCGCTGTAAACGTATTTCAACTAATTCTAGGAATATTAACAACGACTATGCCGAGTTGAAAATTATTAATAAAACTAATGGCAGCTTTCAGCCTATATTTTCAACTCGTAAAACTTCTAGTGTAAAGATTACGAGCTCTTTCAACAAAAGGGCGAGAAGAAAGTCCTGCGGTTGTTGCCCTTGTCGTCGATATTTAGATTCGGAGGAAATAATCCAATTAAGTGAAGAGCCTGAAGGAGTTGAACGAATAACACCTAATCCAGGAAGGAACCTAAGATTAGAGGATGATATTATATCAACTTTAGAAGAATTGCCCCTTGACGAGCTTCCCGCACCACCGAGAATAGTTAAGCAAAGCGGGAAAAGATCAGTGAATAAAAGTAATAGTAGAGAACTTATAAGCGATGAGAGAATTGCAAAAAAAAGTGAATCGCAGCTGAATAATAAGATTGGCGAAGAACAAAAGCAAAAGAAAACCGCATTAGGATCTGACAGTGTAATCGCATTAGAAAAGAGGAACGTCGTAGAAGCAGAAAAAGAGGCGGTATTAGAAAGTAAAATTGAAAGGGAAAATTTTCTAGAATTGCAGAATGGAAAGCGGTCGAAAGAAATAGAAGCAAATCTACCCTTAATTGACAAAAGCAACTGGAAACAAAAGGGAGATAGTAAGTGCTTATCCTCTGAAAAAGCCTTTAGAAAGCTTGGAGAAGTATCCCCAGTCTTAAATTCATTAACGAATGAAAATCAAAAAGGAATCACTATATCAACTAATTTACAGTCAGGCTTAGAAGACTCTTATAGGAATTTTCCTGTACAATTTCCATTATCGTTTATAACAAGCAACAAGAATAGGCGTATATGCTCTAGGCAGCACCTACCCTTTTTTATTACAGACAAGGGTTTCAATGAGACACTACCCCCTTATCTTACCAATTTTTGGTTTAGGAAAGCAGAAAAGCAGACTCATGCTAAGAGAATTGATATGTTTGATTTAAATGAAAAACTCATTGAAGTGCTGGGAACGGAAGATGACATTATTCAAAAGGTTATTAAGGGACAATACACTTACACGTCCGATGTTGGCAAACATAAATGGAATTTGAACAGAGTCAAAAGTACTGAAGGGTTTACCAATGAGATGCTCAAGGATAATACGAGATCGGCTAAAGTAATCGATGGAAAGTCGATTAAAAAGCGTCCAACTAAGCATGTTTCTCCGTTACTTCCATTACCAAATAAGGTAAATGGGGAACAAGTCGAACCATTTGACAGAAGAAATGAGGAGGATATAAAAGAGGACGCTCTACGCCAACTGAGAACATTAATTGAGGAACTAAATAGAAAAGCCTCGTACGCTTCTCGGCGGAAGAACGAAATTTCCGTACCACAAATTGCCAGGCGACAACGATCGATGGAATACATTAGGAAGGAGTACATGGGTAATATGCATAAGCTGATCGATATTGAAAGACCAACAACTGGTTTTCTAGGGACTTTACCCCTTTTGAAGTTCACCGACGTGGAATCGATTGAATTTACTGATTCCGTAGTAGGAGTCGGCAAGCACTCTGTTATAATTGGGGGTTATTATAGTAACTACAAAATTCCAGATTCCCTACCTAAAAAGACGTCTAATGAAAGAGACGTAGTAGCTATAAAGTTGTACGAGAAAAATGTCAAGGGAGCTTTGGCGATTGTGGATGTCTTCAAAGAAGCGGCTATTCTAAGTTATCTATTTACAGATGACAGCGACAATCATCTCCTTATACCTAAATTAATAGGCCTACTACAATTGGAAGAATCATACGATTTTCTACCTTTTGCATTAGTAACAAAGTTTATTGGAAATCGAGAGACGATGGAAATTCTAACTATGGACATAGTTTTAGTAAAGGAAACGGACAGCAGGAAACAAGGTAGAATTATAATAGAAAATTCGCAATGGATTGAGATGCTAATTAATCTGGCTAAGTTCATTCGCAAATGCCACCGGAAATTAGTGGTTGTTAATAATTTGAAATTGACGAATATCGCCTTCCAACGATTAGTTGATGGTTGTTGGGTTCATCCGATTCCACTAAACTTTTCAAATTCCTATAGAATAAATAAATGTTCTAAAAGCACTAGATACTTGAATTCTTTTGAACCAGATATTACGCAATTTGGATGTTTAATCAAATCTGTCGATTTATGTCTAAATCTTGGCCTTGAAAAGATCACTTCTCATTGCCAAACGTCAACGCCAGTTAATCTTTATTGGTCGTTATGCGATATAATCGACGCTCTGGAGGCCTCTTTAAAAAATGTTGGAAGGGTTTTAGAGGACGAGAAAAAAAACAAGAAAACGCTCGAAATCGACAACCAAAAGAAAGTATGATAGAAGATTTATGCTTTTTTACTGTTGTTGTTCGAGGACAATTTATCATTATGGGGCTGATTCACGAAGGAATTCGTCCTGAAATTGAATTTTCTTTTATTTCCTCTTCTCAACGCCCATTTTTTGCTTTTTATGTCTTTGACTGGTCATTTTTTATTTAGTTTGTCACAACACTTTCCCTAATAGATGGCGCTGTCCTTTTAAAAATTTATTGCTTGTTTAAATAAGCGGCTCATAATTACGTTGGCCAACAAACAATCGAATTACATAGTGTCTAGAAATCAGAAACGGCTATAAATCAAACGACCACTGCGGGAAAAAAATAAGGAAATAGAAAGAAATCGGAATCGATCTGCAAACACGTAGGCCGACATTTCATAAATCACGTGACTATCTAGCAGACGGGTTCGTTTGCTCTCTTCACTACACGAAAATAAGAAATCGACATTTCGCTTCTGCGCGTCGTTTCAGGCGTCTCTCCTGCGTACTCTCTATTTTTTATCTTGTTTACACACTTTTTCATGTCATCGAATTATATCGGATTTGACATTTTAATACTCCGAAATTGGGAGACGAACCTGTCAAAATTGTAGGCTTAATTTTGCTAACGAAGATGTTTTACGACTGAAGACTGTTGATAATGCCAACGCGAAAGCAACAATACGATCTAGTCTCGGACGATGGATATGACTCAAGGATACCTCTACATTCAGGTAAAAGATTATATAATTGTGGAATATATCGATTCATCTCACCTTTCTCTCTCATCTTTGAAACATTCACCTATAGTATCTCGATCAGTGTTTTTTTCTATTTTATTTAATGCATTCTAATGAACAAAAGAACATTATTCCACAGAGGAAGCCTTCCAACATGGAATTACGTTCCAAGCTAAGGTAAATACAAATTATCATTTATCATTTCGTTATTAGATAAAAGTGACGGTACGAAACGTGTAAATATATATATATATATATGTAATTGTAAAAGAAAGAGAGAGAAAGAAGGAAAGAGAGAAAAGAACGAAAAAGCGAAAGAGTGAGACTGAAAGACAGATAGAAGATATGGGGCTATGAGTTGAAAAATAATCCATAGAATAGAAAGAAGGATGTGAATATATAAATTGATTGATTAATATGGATGAATAGATTAATGAATCGGGTAAAGGAAAAGAAAAAAATATAGAAGCAAACCGTCATCTGTCCATAAGCGCTGAGAGCTAGAAACAAAAATTGATTACCGCGAAAGCCTCTCCAAACTTATATAGATAAATAAAACGAAGGAAAATTACAAACAGATCACGGCCCAGAGAATGGTAGTAGCAGACGTAGAAAATTTGATCAGTTAGTTCTGAAGTGGCGTGTCTGGTACTCGTATTCGCCTAATTACGAACACGACTCGTTTGTTCCACTAGCAAGTTATCGCTTCCTCTTCATTTTCTTTCGTCCTCTTTTCTATCTCTCAATTTTCTAGACCATACCGCTCTCTTTTTTTTCCCAAACCATATAGGCCTACTTTCTCATCCGATCTGCCAAAAGCCTTCTTTGTCAATTGACAAACGCTCTATATTTAAGATGAATGTTGATCGTGCTGAAATTTGTTAGTTCTTCATGCTCTACTGATTTGAGACTGTGAAGAGCGAGAGCATGAGTAAGAGAGGCAAAAAAGAGAGAGAAAGTGGAAAGTAAGAGAGCATAGGGTAGAGAGGCTGAGAGAGAGAAAGAAATGGAAAAAAAGAGCGAGAGAAGGAAAGAGGAGAGAACGAAAGGAAAAATCAATAAAACGAAGCCTATCGTTTTCCAAACGGCGGCTCGGTCCTATTAAAATTTGCTTTTTTTTTATTTCAAATAAAGTAAAAAGACGCCGGCGTCACGTTCATAAAATTAACGACAAAAAAAAATTTTCAAGTCCATAAATTTTTTAGCGAGTTGATTTTACACCTCCGGCAATTTAACAGTCTCTTCCTCTATATCTAAGTGTCTGAGAGGGAAAAGTAAAGGTTAGTGAAATAGGAGTATGGTATGAGGAAGAGCGAGTGCCAAAGTCGAATTACAGACAATCGCTTTAATAAACCGGTCACGGAATGAGAAGGGAAAACGTATTTTTCCCAACAGCCTTGCCATCTTTCCATAAATATACAATATTTACAATACTCTACATAATATATATGTATAAGAGTTATATCTTTATTGCACAAAAATTCTCAATTTCTTCTATTTACCGACTTAAACTAAATGAAATTCTCGTATAACGAGATGTATTAGGAGGATATTTCGACTATATATATATATTCCACTAGATATGATAGACTTTTTTCTCATACTATCCTAGAGGCATCGTTTAAGCTCTAGGGTTTCCAAGCAATATACAAGTAGGATGTACACAAATTTCTTGTTTAATTACTTCATGCTATCAATTTATTAATAATACTTTTTCCTTTGCAGTATATTGGTACTTTGGATGTTCCACGACCTACTAGCCGAATAGAAATTGTAGCCGCCATGAGGAGAATAAGGGTAAGGGCTTCTTTCTTTTATCAATTCCTTAGATGTAGAAAGAATGCGTACAAAAGGAATACATAGAGATAGCGGAAAGTTACGGTTGAGAAAAAATATTTCAGAGATGTATAGTGTGTATACTTAAAAGCCACAATAGAACTTATCGATATAATTAACTATGAATTTCTACCAGTTATCTCACTCTTTCTATTAATATAATATACACATCATAGACAAATAGGAATTATTTTTAAATATTTTTTTTCCCCCTACATCTGTATCCTTTTTTATCGGCTTATCAATAGTTTATATAAACTATTACTACGTTTTTCTATCTCTCTCTATCTCCCTCTCTTCTTTCTTTCTTTATGTCTTTCTCTATCTCTTCATTCTCTCTCCCGCAAGCTCCCTTCTCTTTTTTCTCTTTAATCCTCTTTCCAGCAGATTAATATAAGTAAAAAACTCGTACAAAGTAGAGGGGCGTTAAATTACGAAGAAGGGAAAAAAATGATGTTTTTTATTAATTTACCTTTTTATATCATTAAATTGATAGATTAATAAGCTAACTAGATTATTAACGATAAAACGGACACGTGTGTATTTATCTCTATACATCTCTGTGTCCGAGTAATCGACGATACATTTTTTTCAAGTTCATGAAAAATAAATGTAGTGTAAAACCTATTAAGAAAAATCGATGGTTTTTTTTTTAAAGTGATTAATAGCAGAGCTTTTACCGACTAGACTATGACCGATACAACTACATTTACGTCTGTATAAATCAAATTACATTACTAATTAATAAATAACATGTGATTTTGACGCGATAGAGGATAGTAATAAGGGTAAATGATTAAAAATTGAGGTTTTAAATACAAATGAGCTTTAATATTGATAATTAAAAATCAAAGTTTTGCGTACAAATAGGTCAAATTAGGGAAAAAAAAGGATATATAGATATGTAGACATGGCTATAATGTAGTTGACAAGGTTGTAATTTCTCGATTAATTGAAAGTAGATATTGTTGAAAGAGAGTAGGTGGTTGATTCACAACAGGAGGTATAGTTGATTATAAATAGAAATATCTTTGTAAACATGGGCATAATATATATATAGATAGGCTTACGCAATTATTTTTCATCGAGTATGAAAATACGCGGTCGGAGATCATTATTTACTATTATAAGAATCTATGTAAATGAAGGCTAATTATAGTTGACAGCATACTAATCGCGATAAACAACATCTTCCCTCGTAAATCTTAATATTAAACCGACCACCAACTGTGAAGAATCTATTCCCTCATTAAATATACACTTTACCTGGTATTAGACGCCCCCCAAACAGTCCCACCCCCTTCCTTAGCTCTTCTGTTTTTTCTACTATTTATTCCGTCGTTGATGCTTCGCTTTCTTTTATTTTTTTATGCTCGTGTGTTTTACGCTTTATTTCCCCTGTAGGCCTACGTATTTGCCTAGAGAGAGAGAGTCCGATCGTTTTCCATTCCTTCCAACAAATCCAATGAAAGAAACCTTCTTCTCTTTCTCTATTTTCCTCGTTCACTCTGTACTAGTCCCTTTATCACTAACCGATTTCAAATAGCCTTTGATATAGAATATAGCAAAATGTATATTTACTACTTTACTATACGTCCTAATGTTTGTAACGTACAATATATCAAACATTTTTTCCGGAATAGGCCTAAAAAATCTTTTTCTCTTTATTTTTTCCACTTTGATTTCTTCGCTGCCACAAACAGCGCACCGACTGCAAACGATGGCAATTGCTGTTGTACGGTTTACGTTCACGGCGCCGCTGGAGGATGCTAAGATAAAATTAGCGAAAGCTAGCTGTATTATGGCGCTTTGATGGTCGCTTCGTGCCCCCTTTGAAAGTGCTTTCCCTTTTATAAGTTCTTTATTTTTTCTTTCCAGTTTCCCTTCCCTTCTACCCATTTAGCCCTCTTTCCTTTCTAGCGAGAAAAAAACCTGCATAATTCAAGAGCGGTCGGATGCTGCTCGGTTCCCGCCGGATTTCGGTCTGGCCTGATTACATAATATATACGCACGCGAAAGACGCTGAATAAAATGAGGAAAGAAGAGTAGAATTGATGATGGATTAAGCATAAATGCAATAGTCCCTCGTTTACAACAATTTCGTCTATATACGTATATACGTAGAATTCTTACTTCATTCATTCGGCGTCCCATTATCGATTTTTTATATAGAGTTAATAAAGACTCGATTGAGGCGTCTAACGCCAATTCGGATTACAGAATATATAGAAACGTCGCGTGCCAAATTCACATCGAACGAACTACGTTATTCCCTTTCAACTGGCCGAGATGACTATTAGACAGGATTTTAGGTAAAATTCCTTACCGTCAGTGCAAAAGAGACGCTAGACGAGAAACGCCTTGTAAATTAAGCGAAGCAGCGTTAGTCTAACGTAATTTTTTCGCGTCTGTGCCTTCTTTCTAATGCAGATTTTCCTGTCCGGCGAGACATCATTGCTGTATTAGTTTACAAAGTGCCGTTTGCCGAATTTCTCTCTTTTCAGGCATGGTTGAAACTTTATCAAGTAGAAAAGACAATGTACAGATAAGGCGATATAGGTGCTACTTTCGGGCATAGGCAATGAATTGGCCTATATCGTTGCCTGACGTTACTAATATTTATTTTGTAAATTTCCCCTCCTAATCGGATTCGACGTTTTGTAGGGGAGTTATTGGCGTTTGTTAATGGATTACTCTTGTAAGTCGTGTAACGGTTTAAAGCGCAATGAAAACCGACACCCGTTTACGTTGCCTTCACGCCTTGTCAAACTTCCCTAATGCACTTTTTTCCACTCCCGACCCTCCCTTTTTTCCAACCTTCTTCCATCGCCGCCTTCTTGACGGTTCGTTTAGATATCTCATCCCTCCTACTTTCTCATTACTCCTACATTGACATTAAAAAACAAGAAATTCACATAAACGAGAATTCGCTACAAAATATCTCGCATAACCTCCGGGTAAAAAGCGTAAACAAACTTTCATCAACTTGTCAGTATACACTTCCAAACTGGGTTTACTGTAGAAGATAAGAGGCGTCGATTCTCAGTTTACTCTCTTCGCCCCGCCAATTTCGCCAACTAAATAAAAATCTATACTTAACAAGCCCAACAATAACAACCTTATTATAGACCACCTGAATATTTTCCTTATGTGAGTCCTAAAAGGAAAACAAACCTATCTTTTTTCCTTGTTCATTTGTGTGAGCGAACTAAAACAAACCATGTTTGTCTCTGACCGATACGATTTCACCTATTTGCCAAGTTGGGGCTTAAGGATGATAGGAAATATGAAAAATTATTTTTAGCCCTAAGGGACAAAACTGTTACAGAGAAAATGGTCTCTTTTTTTCCCCTTTTTTCCATTTTATTCTCAATCTATCTATCTCTCTCTCACTCTTTCTCCCTTTTAACCCCTTTTTCCGTTCCTCATCTTCAATTCTATTTTCGTATTCGCCTTTCGAATCTTATCAATTATTTACGTACTTAATTCCCTACTTTTTTTAATAAAACGATTGATGATTGCCGAAATCCGTCATTACAGCCAGTAACTCAATTGTTAGTTTTTATAATCTAGATGGTAGGTGGCGCTTTTTTTAAATATTAGAAATCTTCTTTAACCCCATCTGCCGTTCTGGTCCATTTAATTACAAGTTGTTCCTAAATCCCTTTATCTGGATATATTTAACTCTTTGCATTTTATTAATTTGTTCTCTTTTTTTTACTTGTATTATTTACCTTAGTTTCTTTCCTTTCATCAGTATGAATTTAAGGCGAAAGCTATTAAGAAGAGGAAGGTTACATTTACCGTCTCTACGGAGGGAGTAAGAGTCATCTTAAGGAAGAAGATGAAGGTAATTTATTAATTTTCTCTATACGGAAGTTAATGAAAGAGACATAATTTCTTTTGCTTTTTGTCTAAATATAGAAACAATACTGGGGATGGGATGAACAGAGACTTTGTATCATGCATAATCCAATTTATAGGTAGAAAATGATCATTAAGTTTATTAAATTGACCGTCTTAGATTCATCATTATGAGTTAATTTCTCATTATAGAATATTCTACGTGTCACACGATTCTCAAGACCTAAAAATATTTAGCTATATTGCGAGAGATGGAGCCACGAACGTCTTCAAATGTAACGTGTTTAAGGCCTATAAAAAAGTGAGTAAAGAGCCTCTGACGAAAAAAATGTTTATATACTTGCCTATATTTTTCATGACGTTGTTCCTCGACAGGCGGAAGCTATGCGTATTGTTAGGACAGTCGGCCAAGCATTCGAAGTTTGCCACAAGCTAACAGTCGCACAACAAGCGAAAACAGAGAAAGCCAACGATGCAGACAGCGAGAAGACAGATGACGAAGAAGTGGAAGAGAAGCAAACGAAATCTAACCGAGTGCCTAGTATGAGATTACTTATATTTTTTTTCTTTTAAAGCTGAAGTGGAAACGGAACGTTTATGGAATTGATAATTTATTTTGCAGGGAGCGTTAGTTCACCGGCAGCCATAAAAATTGAAGAAAAGTCTTCTTCCTCAATCGGTTCGACGCCCTTACGTTGTTCTAAGCATTCTACTTCTAACAAGAATACTCCGTGCCATTTATCGGCTCCTGAGGCAGCTGCCAAAGCCCATACTATTTTAACGAATATGACTAAAAAGGAGCCGTCTTTAGGAACTATATCGTCACCTACCTCTGCTGATTTGGTACCTCTGAGCTCCTATCACCAATTACAACTCCTCCAACAACAATTCGAACAACAAGTTCAACACACAGAAATTGCAGTAGCTCAGTCGAATTTACTTAAGGAGCAATTAAACGCTGAGAGTAAAGCTAGGAGCGAAGCTCAGGTTGCTGAATGCTTCTCAAACTGAATTAGCGCCATTTCTAACGATCGTTTATACTATTTACAGGCTAGGACTCATCAATTACTTCTGCAAAATAGAGAGCTACTGTGCCACATAAATGCCCTTGTGGGTCGGTTAAAACAATTAGAAGCCTATCTACCAGCCGACTGCGTAGAGGCCTTGTCACCGTCAACAAATAACTCATCAAATTTAAATTTGGTAATTCTCAATAATAACTTCTCCGAATGCATTCAAGTAATTAAATACGTTTTTCTTGTTAACAGTTATCGCCTGTCACACCCGATCGTACTACGCCAATGAGTGAAGAGGTTATAATGCCAACAACATGGCCTCACGATATCGAAGATACAACAATTCAAAATTCTCTTCTTGATAAGTCTGCAAGAAATTCTGATATTTCTCCGGATAGTGGACACAGGGATATGTCTTCCTCGGAATTTTCCGAAATCTCACCTGTTTTAGACGTTGAGAATAATATCTGCTGTCACAAGACAGACGCCAATGGCAATGTCTCCACGCCTCCAACAACTTTGAATATACCTAAGCCTCTTGCTCCTCCTCCAAAAATACCGTCTAGAAGAGGAGAAAGACAGACTAGGATATCAAACAATTCTGCAAGTCAAAAAGTTTTAGCTCATAGTTCTTCCGAAGATGATAATACAGAAAATAGCGAGGATTCAGGTGTAAGAGTAAAACATCGCTTATCAAATTTGGCTACATTGAGTTTTGAAGAGTTTGACGCCCTTACATCACCTCAAGAAAAGTAAGACTTGTTTGTTTATATGAATATATTATATATTTAAAAATATGAATATTACAATATATAAATATTGATGTACATGTACATGTATATAAAGTGAACGAAAAACAGACATTTAACAATCTTTACGTACAGTATAAATGTTTCTATAAGGATTAGTTGTCTCCCTGTTATCATTTGTCCTCTTTTATATGCATTATGTGTATTGCATGGTCCCAGGAATCATATGTTTGATACAGTATTATTATTTAATTATTACAAGTACATAAAGACAACAAAACAAACAAAATCTCTATGATCAATTTAATGCAATGATAAGATAAGTTGACAGAAGAAAATCTAAAGGTTAATGTAATGAACATAAGTTCGAAAGGGAGTATTTTTATTCCTATATGAAGGATAATAAGATAAATTGTAGGTTTGTGTATAAAGTATAAGTAATCGACTTTTTAATTGCTAAAAAAAGAAAGAGAAGGATGAAAGAAGAGACTTATAATAACATATAAATATTAGTACATATTCTATATATATATATATGCAATATACTGTATATATACAGTATATACGTCATTTTGTATAAATGTATGCTCTGTTAAATAAATGGAGGGACACTTTACAAATGGCAGCACTTTACACCTGCTAGTTTCCTGGAGCATGCCTAACGAAGCCAAGTAAAAGTAATTAACAAAAAAAGAGTTTTTTCTTGCAAACAGTCTATAATCCTTCTTTTCGACCTCTTTAAGCAAAGTTATTTTATTTTATAAGGAAATAGAGCACACAGATAGTAGAAGAGTGAGGAAAGAATGGGAGAAAGAGACGGAGGGGGCACAAGGTTGAAGAGTAAATTGGAGATTGGACTGGAGATAAGCATGACAAAAGTTAATAATAATTGAATATTATTTATTAAATGATGATATAAGAGGACTTAGTGACAGAAAAGTTAAAAAGGATCATATGCCATATACATCCATATATATATATATATATATATATATATATATATATACATTAATTTATCTATGCACTAAGGCCAGTTGAGCTTACTTGAAGATCCTTAGGCAAAGATTAGCCGCCAATAGCTCAACTGACCCGTGCTGGACGAATTAATCGAAAATCGTCGCGATTAACGAAAAAAAGCAATCTTTGCGAGAGAAAATCGAATGAAACGCTTCGTCGAATATTTTCCTTTTTCCTCCAACTCTGAAATGACGCTTGCGTCTAAAAGTTATTAGTTAATTTAAGATACTATATATATTAGCTGTCATAATATGGACGAGTATTCCCTGTTTCACCCAAAACAAATTTAGTTTGATAGCAAATGGTTTTTCTTTCTAACGATCTTGGGAGAGGAGGGAGGGGGAGGTAGGAGGGTTGTGAGGGGAGAAAGGGAGAAGTAGACCGAAAAAATAATTGCTAGGCCTAGGCAAACTGTGGTGACGGGCTAAGGCTATTCGCTAAGAAAGCGGGTCACGTGAACGCCGCCGTCTAGTTATTACGAAACAGTTTGGCTAAGGACAACGACGGAGGACGAATGGAGACAACAGAAATGATTCAAAATGCAACGGCCACAACAAATTACAGGAGGAATATTATAATTCTTTCATTTGCTTCAATTATATTGATCCCTTCGCTTATATTAAATTCACTTCTAATCTACATAATAGTCCATGTGAATAAGAGAAGGATAAGAGCAAATTACATACTGATATTGAATAACTCATTAACTGGTCTCTTCTCTTCAATTTTACTATTGCCCATCGTTTTTGCCGCCTTTCTTCCTACTGCTGAGCTCAATTGCAACAGAATTTGCAGCGTTCTCATGATACTGGAAAATACCCTTGTTATATCCAATATTTGGGGCGTCGCCTGCATAGCAGCTGACCGTTACGCTTTCATTGGCAAAGGCACAGCTTACAAGACTTGTGCAACCGTTAAAAAGGCGTCATTCGCGGCTCTAGGCGTTTGGACGTTATCGATAACATTCGGTGGAGCTGCGTTCTTTCTATCGAAAAGCTACGAACCTGGAGTAGATAAAAGATTTTGCATATGTCACCTAACCATCGATTTTTATGGGATCTATCACCTTTTATACAGGTAAATATTCTTCTGTAATTACTTGTTTTTATTAGTAATAAAAGCAAAAATAACATATATTCTAGCGCTACTTTTGTTAGCATTGGTTATTTACTACCCTCCACTTTTTTCTTCTTCTTCTATGCGTTCGTTCTGAAGGCGGCTCGTAACCGAGCTGACAGAGACACCAAAAATCCGTTTCGAGGAGACGTCACTGGTCAGCCAAGCTGTCAGTTTAAATTCTACCGTGTAAAGGCGATTAGGATCGTCTGCGTTGTTCTCATCCTATACACCCTGCAAACGTTACCTTATTTCTGCACGCACGTTACTAAACAAACTCCAACAAACGAAGAACAATATATTGAATCTATATTATTCCTTCTTTTACTGCTCACTTCATCTGTTAGTAACCCGATTGTGTACGGATTATTTAATAGCAGATTAAGAACGTCTTTGCTATGTTACTTTAAAAGAAAAATTAAGAGAAGGTCAAATAGGTCAAAGAATACGGATTTGAGTATGGCCTCCGAAATAAGCGCCCTCTCAGAAAGAAACGATCACCAGGAATGTGAAGATGAAGAGGAAGAGTGCAAATAGTAATAATAAACAAATAGAGGACTGGACTCCTTAATTCTTTCATAAATCTCTATTTACTTAATCATTATGCGTCTATTGCTTCCCTCTTCGCTCAACAATAGAACCCTCATATTTAGAAACCCCTATAATATTCCCTTCTTCAATCCACAATCTCCCCTTCCCCACCACCTTCCCCTCCCCTTTCCACCCCATTCTACAGTTGTTTCCTTTGTCTATAACAAACTCTCCGTGACTTTTTTGCCCTTTCCTATCTTACCTCATCTCGCCCTCTATACCCCTTCCCACTCTGCGAATCGAGAATGTCGACGCTTGTTAGGCTAGAAATCTTTTATGAAACAAATAAGGCAAAAAAAATTATGTTGGAAGATTAATAAAAGAAATAGCAAAGAGAAAATCTTCTTCCTTTGTTTTTCATATAAAAAATGAGAGTTTTCCATATAATATTCATAGGAGAAATACATATCTCCAAGCGTTATCGGTCAGATAAAAAGAGGCAGCAATAGATCCCATTTGGGTACTATTAAAAATAGTGATATATTCAATACATTATAAAAGGTATATTATATGTTTATTTATTATTTATTACATAAAAAACAACTCATTTCTATATTACAAACATATAAAAAACCTCATCGTATACAAATAACAATGTAGTGAGTTTCAACACGGATAGGGTGATAATTCTAGTCCTATTTTATTATTCTTCCGGCTCTTTCTTCCTGGGTATTTTAACAGGTTTTGATCTAAAAATTACGCATTAATTAACGATTAGTGATAGAATTTCCCTTTTCCTTTTTGGATAAAGTGCTAAGGAAAAACTGATACTCGATATGTCAAACAGTTCGTGATTGCTAAACTTGTCTTTTTCTTCATTTCCCCCCCCCCTCCCCCACCCCTTTTTTTTCTCTTTCTGTCTCTTAATAAAGGGCAACTACAGATGGCTCCTTTTGATTTGCTGCTTCTAAATGAGCTCAATGAGAAGATAAATAGAAATTGTAGACTTCTTGGTTTTTTATTAGGTTTTTCTTATCCTTCCTTAAATTGGTATGAATAGTGAACGACACTAATTCGACTATTTAAAATATTGAGCGCCTTTCGGATGCAGACGTGCAAAAAATATAATGTTAGGGAATGATTTAACTGGGTAAAGACGACTTTCCTCTTTTGCTCCACGCCCCCACCCTCCCTCTAGCCCGGTCTTTGTAAACAATATCTCCTGGAAGTGGAGCTGAAACGGCTGATAAGAAAATGAAAGGGAAAACAGACAAAAGGTGATTATCTTCATTACTTGTTAATGGTCCCCACTCAATTAGCCCCTCTGAGCGCCCCGTGTCAAATTTTGACAAATTACTTATGAGCAGCGGTACCAATATAACAAAGGCGGATGAATCTATCATTTTTTTCTCTGTTGGCTGTCTCAGTCAGAATGAAAGATTGATTAAATCGAATGAGCTGCATAAGTTGAAGGAAAATAGTCAGTCTGTAAATCCCTTCTTCCCTGCCACATTTCAACAGTCAAAAGCTGTAGGAAAAATATATTAACTTTGGCTTGAAGGAAAATTTATGACCAATCATCTTCTGTAAACAAACGCCAACTCTCTATAATATTCGCGGATAGCCGCGACAGCATTTCCTACAAACGCCCTTAACGAATTGGGCAAACTAGAGAGGAAACGCTACGGGAGACCCATCTTATATTTTTTCGGCGCTCATTACTTTGGTAAAAGGGTATAATAAAAATCCGGGAGAACATTTTTTGACAAATCCAATCCATCAAGATCCATATAATAATCAAATATCGCTCCTAGTCATGCTCCACGTCGCCGAATGTATGAAATCTACTTGAAAGGCAAGGAAGTACACCGGTTGTCTCGAAGGTTTTCTTTCAGATTATTCTCTACGATTTTGTGTAACTTTTAGTTGTTGTATCTTTACTAGCCAGGTAGTAAATGACACTTGAAATATGCACTTTCCCTAAAATACATCATATCCTTTCATCCACCGTAAGATGGCGTTTAATAACATGTCCCGTGTGTATTTAACAACGAAGTTAACCGCTCTTACCCTTTTATATATAGAATCTTATGAATCATGTTATTTTCCACCAATTTTGTGCCAGGGTCTTCTTCCAAGCCTTTAGATACTATCGCCGAATTTACGGCGGTTTCGACCTATTACTCAGATAAGAATTCCTATTTGATTTGCAGGAGGAGAATTGCTCTTTATGACCCTGAATATTATTTATAGAGACGTGCGGCTCTTTTTAAACAAGCTATATTAAGAGAGAGAGAGAGAGGAATAAGGGGAGGAAAAAAAAAGCGAGTAAATTCAGGCAATTAACATGGACTAAAGTTGTATACGTTCTAAAAATAACATTCAACTGTGAAACTGATAATTATCTTCTTCTAAGTATCTTTTAAAGGAGGAAGGAAATACTCAACTGCAAAAATTTTCATCGAGTCACTCACAAGAATAAATATTTCTTAGAGCTTACCGAGCAATATCTATCAATCCTTTTAATCAACCTCGTTTCTTTTATGTTGTTCCATGTCTCTGTTCGTTCATATGCAAAATAATAAAGAGTTATATTAAGCATCATAATCTCAGGGCTAAATGTACTAATTTTCCTGTACGAGGAAGAGTATGGAGTTGTGTTTATTAGTCGTTTTGACAGCCCTTCTCCCATACAATGAAACAAAATTAAATAAATAAAAAATAAACCAAATCCAACTGGCAATACTAGAGTTAAAGAATCACCCATACTACGTTTCATTCATTTATCGTAGATGGAGAATCAAATATGGCAATATAATAGAAGAATTACTTCATTCATTGAAAATATTTGAATGTGATCAAATATTTAGAGATAAGAAAGCATATCATTTAATCAAAGTGAATAATAGAGAAAATAGGATGAACGTAAAGTGGTACCTTCTACGTCGTACAAATAAGAACTCTAATAAGAAGACTATTAAGTTTATATTTGATGGAAAAGTGAAAGATAGCTTTAATAGCTTTCCAAATTACAATATATTCCCATCAAGCTTAGTAGAGGAAATCCGTAGTATTTTTAGGATGCATCCAAATCACTTTAAGTTGGACTGAATAGATGATCCCTATAGGAAAGATGTTAAGTGAACAATAGGCACTGACCAGAGTTATTCACTACTAGTGGATCAGTATGTGATATACTTTCATGCCGTATTATTCAAATGGGAATGCTTGAGCTCAAGCTATGCAAGAATGTGTATATCGAACCCTTAAAATCCAACTCAAGCCCTCTTTGCTAGCCACTCATGTCAATCCTCTAATTGAGGATCTCAAAATATTTCAGTTTTCCTCACACAGGGTATCAGATTTGAAAAAGGTTCAGGGGGTTACTTGACAAAAAAATCAATTTGTAAGTAGGATCTTGAACACGACTAACCGCGTACTCAGAGCGACTCCAATTAAATGCTTTTTGATTGAGGGAGATCAAAGTCCAGTAAATACGAAAAGAAATTACCCAATCTGAGTCAAGAAAGATGAAATAGGTGAATTAGATCTCAATATAGCCAAAAACTCCGGCAACAGCGGGGATAAGATCAACGACTAGCGACTCTATTTAATCGAATAAAGTGTCTTGATTCTTTATGAATAGAGATCTTGACCATTACTTCAAATTAGCTTAATAGACATAAACTACTCTATTACCATTAAGCATTTAGAGCTGCTATTCATTTTATTTTAATAGGAAAATAATAACTTAGGCAGTATAGTTTGAGCGATAACTTGTAAAAAAAAAAAAAAAAGAAAAAAAAAGAAACGCCATCTGCCAGTTAAATTTTACACTTTTGTAATCACCATATAAACAATCAAATAAAAGCCAACAAGATTTTTGAGTAGATAGATTATTGTTGCAAAATTACATAAAAGATATTTACAAATTAATAGATAAAAAAAAAAAAAAAAACGGGCAGTTACGATTTAGAAAATGTTAACTTTCTAAACAGTCAAATTTTTCTTTTTTTTTAATCTTTTTCTCTTTTGCTTATAAAGGAGGGAGGAGGGGAAAAGTTTAAAAAATATATATATTTTAGTAGGATCAAGTAAATTTAATGAAAAAAAAAAATAAATATATCATTATATGTATATATATTGCATATACATATCTATCTCACAGCAGAGATTATGATAATTTCTTCTGGAATTGAGCAATTCTTTAACTTTTTTAACTAATTGGCTTTACTACTTCGATTCCTTCTTCTAGTTGTGATCTGAGAAGATCAACTTTGTTTAGCCTTTAACAACTTGATTTGTTTTGCAATTATTTGTATTTTTTCCTGCTTAAAACGTCTTTATGTCTGAAATGTTTTAACATCAGTACATCAAATATTTTCATACGGAAAAAATATAACAGTCTAATTTTTAAACGCTTAATAAAGTTGATGACTGCGGTTTATTTTTTAGAAGAGGAAGGGGGTAGAAAGGACTTATATTTAATTAAGGTCTCGGTCTTCCAGATAGCGATATTCAAAAGTGAAACCCTCTTTTTTCCGCTGACCCCATTTTTCATAATCAAAAAATATATATGTTCCCTGTTTGAGGAAAAAGTAAAAAATAAACAAACATCCCCCTAAGCTTTTCAAATATCAAATTCAAATAAGTTACCTGTTCGTATTCATCAGTTATAGTTTTAGGTTCTTCGTGCCTCTGGAACCACATCATATATTTTGTATGAAACCTCCAGGATTGTTTCTTCAAAGCCTTTGCCGCCATGTACTGAGCCTTCGTACCTTCCATATAATAAAATATATAGAACAGCGTCTCTGTAGATAATCGTTGAAAAAATTCAACAGTGTCAGAATGTGGAGGCGGCACTTGAGGAAAATGTTGGGCCGTTTGATAAGGATTCCTTGGCATGTACAGTCGTAATCTTTCAGAGTCGGATGGTTGTGGTACATGATTAAATGCCGACTCCTGCATTCTAATTTCCCTTTTATGCTCTTCGTTAAGCGGTTGCGGACCCAAAGGCGCTACTCCTAACATAGGATTAAGCTTTATCGTACAAGTCTGTTGAGGAGCACTTGTGATGGGAGAAGCCGATGACGTATGGGTAATGGAAGGCTGAGGGGGAGGAGCTACCGATTGCAGCTGCTGCCCTGCTTCTGACTCTGCGAGTGTTTGTTGTGCCATACTCTTTAAAGATGATAATTGCGGTGTTGTTCCATTTACTAACGGGGGAGGAGGCGATATGGGCGGAAGCTGTTGAACCTAAACATTTAGGCATTAATAATAAAACAGAGCAGAGTTTTTTTTATATATAGAAATAATATTATTACAGTTCTTTCAAACAAAGTCAAAATATTATTGCACAAAAAAGATCATTTACCTGAATCGGCGAATGAACAGGGGTTGGTGTTCTCCTCGTAGGCGCTGGTGGAGGAGGAGGTGGCGGTGTAGGAGGTGCCGGAGGCGGCGCCGTTGGATTATTATTTACAACCTTCCTAGCCGTTTTTTGTTCTTCATTACTAGGCGTCCGATTTAATTTTGGTGGTGCGCTTTCTTCAATGGGAGGAGTATCAGGAGGCGAATCAGTATCCCCTTCGTTCTCCTGAACGGATGCTAAGGAGTTTTGTTGTAGATAAAATGACTCTACATTCAAATCCTCGTAGATCGCTTCGTCTTCCATAAAATCAACATCTTGATTTGAGTCTACATAATACTCAAGGCCATCTTGAATACCTTTTATTCCCTCAACATCAACAGCATCATTGTCCAGCATACGCATTAACGTCTCCATTCGGCTAACATGAAATTGATGACGTTGCAACCGATACTGAAGATCATCCAATTTAGCTAATTTATCTTTATCAGTCTTCTTTTTCTTATTAGCGTTCAAACTTTCGACTTCACTCTCACATTTATCAATTTGAATATTCAATTTTTCAATTAATGACTGAAAATAACAGAAGAAATATTAATAAATAGATATGTAGTGTAACAAAATGTCTCAGTTGACGTCATTAATTGTTCGGAAGTAGCGTAAACCGATGCTTTATTGATTAGAACTTTAAAGAAAGTATAAAATAAAAATAATACCGCAAGGAAATGACAAATATCATCTTTCTCTTTTTGAGCTGGATCTAGTTTCTGAGCAGAACCGAGCCCTTCTTTCGAATACGCTTTTGTTTTAGTTTCCCTTTCAACTACTTTAAAACGTTCCATCTGCGTTTCTATCAAACGTCTATATTCCTGTAACTGGCGTTTATCTTTAATATCATTGGAAGTAAGCCATGATTTGATTTGGTCTCGTAGGCGTTGTAATTTCTTTATTTCTTTTTTCAAATCAGCTTCAAATTTTTCTTTTTGGTTCGTATTGCTTGCATTATGAACCTGAATTGGATAATAATTAAACATTTTAGACGTTATTATAATATTAAAGAAGATATTAGTTAAAATTTAAATTGAACTATTTTCCCTCAAGTAATCAAATAAAAGTGATATTTAAAAATCTAATATAATTGTTTATAGAATATAGCTTATGCATTTTCTATAGAATGATGTATGCTGTTTACTAACACTTGCAAATAATGCAATATATTAGAAAAATTTAGATTCAGCCGTTTAACCATAGGGAGAATCATTATCGTTTGAGCTTGTATTTGTTTTTAAGTATATTAAATAGTAATTGGTATTGAAGGGGACTTTGAATGTGTCATAATCACCTAATATCTAATGTTTCGTTTTCAAATTATATTTACTTAAGATTTTTTTTTGAATTTAATCAGAAATTTGTTGAAAATTTCTGCCACATGGTTATTATACATTTAATTAGTAGTTTCGAAAGATTAATTAACCTTATCCCATATTTCTTGAAATGTCTGAACACCTTCGTCTACCTTCTTTATACACCGATCGATTTCGGCTGTAAATTACAAACAGAATATTAAAAAATTGAATACGGCTCACATGCAGTAAAACATCATTAACCTTGTAATTTTCGTCGGTCAGCCATCTTTATGTTCCAAAGTCCAATTGGGTTATATTCATTATAAAACTCTGAAATTGAAATATTATTGTATGTAACTTTACGGTATTCGATTTTAAAAAATCACACATACAAACGCTGGTTGATAAATATCAAGATGGCGGCGACGTAGGACCGACTTCCGGTTACGAGAAAATATATAGCTTAACTCTACGACTGGAAAAAGAATTGAACTAGTTGTTAAAATTGTAAAATATTAAGTATGAAAATATATTAAAGAGATTATTAAAAGAAGGCGGAAGAATATAAATAAAGGTCAAGGAAAGTTTAGCAGAGAAGAAAGGCGCGCATTTCGAAAATCAAATATAACAGAAATCAATAATATAAATCCAAAATTCTCACGTGATAATATGTTTAATGGCTTAAAAAATTAAATGGCATATCGCAATTTCCGGCTATGAGTAATAAAAGCACTACATACGTCATTTAATGAAAGTAAAATATAAATTTTAATAGAGCTAACATTACTACAAGTAATTTACAACAAAGATAATCCAAATTTAATATCATATATAAATACATTATTCTGATTGTTTAAATATATAAAGTACTATTCAACGCCGTAATAAATAGAGGATAACAAAAAATCGAAAAAAAAAAGTAGATAACTTCTTATTTGTCAAAAGACTATATAGAATTTATAAAATGAAAATTATATAGAAAACCTCTCAACTAGACCCTAAATATTAAATTTAAAAATTATATTTAATTGAGTAGAATTACTCATAATATTATTTAACAATAAATGAATTAATTAACAATTTATGATCTTTCCTTTTTTTCCATTAAAAAGAATTAAACAAAAGAGATTGAACATAAGTATTAATTAACCTTTAATATTTTAAATTTTATTACATATTTATTAGTTTAAATAAAAGTAATTAATATAGTACGATATTAATTCACATACTAATATTTTTTTCCTTGTTCAATAAGCATTTTGAACACAAAATGATAATGAAGTTTAATCAAGTAAATATGACATTTTTTCGTTAACCTAAGTAAGTAATAAAGAATAATGAGAATATGTTATTATTTCAAGATTATAGTTAAAAATAGATATAAATAGTACAATATATATATAAATACTCTATATTGAAGATAGAGAGAGAGAGAGAGAAATAATTATAAGATACTAGAGAATAAAGGTAATATTAGTGTATTAGCAATGATTTTTGGTTGTGGTGGCGGCGGTGGTGGCAGTGATGATAATGATACATTTATTAGACGAACTTCTAAATACATATTAAATATTTATAAGGGGTGGGAGGGGCGGAAGAGAAAGCCAATGAAAAATATAACATGTACACTTTAATTATCGAAATAATCTCATGTAGAAATTAGAATGTTATTAAAATGTATATGATTGTGTTTCCTCTTTGTCTTTGTCTCTCTCTCTCTCTCTCTCTCTCTCTCTATATATATATATATATATATATATATACATAGAGACATACTGTTTAACAGACAAAAGATTGATTATTTAAAACAAAAATTCTTTATTAACTTTAATCAGAAAAGTAGTATAATCTTATCTAATTAATTAGCTTTATATTCATCATAATACTGTACTTTTATTGATTTCAAGTTCTTTACCGTTGATTATATACCATATTTTTGCATTCATATTCTTTTCTTTCCTCTAAATTTTCTATTCTAATACTTTATCTATGCTATCCTTCTTTTCCCACTGTTAACTTGTTCTATTTATTGACCTATCTAAAATTGATTAATAGCTTTATTGTTTGCTTATTTTATAAAAATTTCTCACTTCTATTTTATCATCCGCTTCTTGATAGATAAGGAAAAGATTTTTTTTAAGTCATACTTATACGCCATCTATCGGTAGAGAAGGACAACAACAAAAAAACTCTTGAATATAAGATTGTCCTATTTTTTCAATGAAAATTCGAAAGGAAGATAATTTAAAGATTATCGTAAATAAATTAACTGCTTTCACTCGTTTTCTTACTTTACAATTTGTAATTGTTAAGATATTTATGACTATAATAAAGTAGAAAGAGAAAAATGAGAAAATAATAGATTTTTCAGGTCGTTAACAACAAGAAAGTAGAATTAGGATAATTAAAAGGGCAATTAGCCTTGCAGAGTAGTAGTCTTATACACGTATGTTGTGGAGGTTAGAGTGGGTCAAAGGTCATTAGGGCTATTAGGGTTATTTGAAATGTAAGCATACCATAAATTATATCGAATTATAAGGGTGAATGAAAATGTTTCAATTACGACGTTTTATGAGACAAGAGCCTTTTTTTATCAATTTGGCAACCTCTATTATATAGAGGGTTGAAGAAACAAAGCTATAAAGCTTCAAGAGATGAAAGGAAAGAAACAATACTAAAGGAAATAATCTATTAAAAACATCATTCTTCATCCTAATTATACACGATATTTGACGTAGAGAAAATAAACAACCTTGGACCCTTGTTTGCATTGAAGGGTTTATCAATATTTCTTTCTTTCTTTTGGTCTTTTTTTTCTCTGCCACTGCCTTTTTCTTTCTCTCTTACTCAATTTTTCAACAGCTAAACGAAATATTTTTATTCACGTCAATAGAGGTTTATTTTTTTTGTATATTGAATTACCGTTCACATATTTATATTGAATCGTTGCCTAAATATATTTACTGTATATATAATTTATTACGTAGGTATGTAAATTATGAAACGTCTCAACTATAGCGTCCTATCGGTCGTGTAACCTACAACTTACAATATTTACTTCCCCAAACGGTTAATTCGAATACGCTATACAGGCGAATTAAATACTAGAAGGAGAGGGGGAAGGTTAAAGGCGGGAATTTAGAGAAAGAGGCGGGTAGGTTAGGCAAGCAGAGTGAGCGGGGGGGGGGAGGAGAGGGGAGTTTTGTTGCTATATAGCTTAAAATAGGGCAATAGACGTCGCGTGTTTAGCGAGCAATGGAATGTTAGAGAGAATAGCCAGAGTATTAGCAGGTGCACATGACAACCTATTGCCGTCTACCTATATAGCTATATTTCAAGTTTCCCTCTGTTATTTTTCACACCAATACTTAAGAAATTTTCTTTTAATTTTCATCTTGTCAGATCACTTCCTTTTACCACCTTTTAAACGTTTCAACAACTTAGAAAAAAGGGCCATAAAAGTCATAATAGTATGTTGCATGCGAATCTTGATAGACCCTTGACGTGACCGATAACAATAAATTTTTTTCATCATTCATTTTAACCTACCTCCTATTTTGTCTAACGTCCCTTTTATGTTTCATTTTTTTCCACCTTAGTCTTGGACCTTTTATTAGCATACTTTAAGTATATAGATAAGGTGGGGTAGAGTAAGTAGAAATGATTGATCATTTGTTTGATTGAGCCGCCAAAAAAAAAGCCTAGCGATAATTATCAAATGTACAGAGTAATAATAAGAAAGAAAGAACAGGAGAGGAAGAGAGAGAGAGAGAGAAGGTTAAGGGAAGGGGAGGAGAGAGGGAAAGAAGACATCATAACGTAGAGAAGAAAATTCATTGATATTTCAGAATGAAATGTATACATTATATATATATATATATATATATATAGAAGAATTTTGCACTTGAATCGATCGTTATTTTTTTTATTATTAAATCTATCTATTTTCGTACTTTTCGCTTCTTTTTTTTACAATCCAAAGAATTGAATAGATAAATAGATAAGGAATTTTTTTAATAAAAAATGTAAATTATTTCACTTTAACTGGTGAGAAAATAAAATATTCTAGAATGCGGGAAAAGAGAGATTTTCGTCGGAGATACTTTTGTCATTATTTATTTAAATTAGTATTATTATTATCATTATTATACATTGCAAATAAAAGGTGAATAAGTCAATTACCGGTGGGACGCCTGCAATTCGAAAAGGAAAATAAATAGCATAGAGGGGCGGTCTTTGATGTATTGGAATTGAATCAGGGATCCCCTATTTACGCAGAAAGAGGAATCGTTTTGTACCTTTACGAATAAAAGTTTGCGACTAATTATCCTATACGATTTTTATGACATTGATTTTATTCCCTTTTTCTCCTTTAATAGGCATTGAAATTGCCAATTTTGTGGTATATAATTAAAGATTGTTAATAGGTTCATTTGTAAAATCTCAATGGATTTTTTACGTGACGCCAACGAAATGTGTAAATAAAAGTTTCATCCTTAACATTCCTTATTCATTTATGGGCTATGTATAATATTTATATATGAATGTAAAACGTATTCATATAATGTATTTTTTATTATATTTTCCCTTTATGAGACTTGAAAATTAATCGGATAATTCTAATGTACGGTAAGGAAGTTGAAGGGGGTATTGGGAGGAAGGGGGAAAAAACTCTTTTCTTCTATTTAAAACGATCCTTTTATTGCTCTTGGCGTTCCTTTTTTGGCGTAAAAACCTGTCCCGCTTCACCCTTACCCTTCCGTTACTCTATGTAAAAGCTATATAGTATATTTTGCCCTACGGGGTCGAATAAGCTTATCATAAATAGTTAAATAGATTGCCTATTTGTTTATTAAAAGCTATCCTCTTTGAAGATTTTGCCACGTTGTAACAAAGAAAACAGTAAGAATGGAAGGAAAGATTTAGATGGAGAGAAAGAAAATGGGATAAAGGTAAAAAAGATGAATAAATGAGAGGGGTGGTAGGAGAAGAGGGTGGAATTATTTCGATTATTCCTAGCGGAAGGAAAAAAAATGCGTCTGGAAAATATCTAATCTTTATATACAAAAAGCAAGGATTTATACCTGCTTGCAATGACGCAAGAAGCTCAGTGGAAAACATTTGTGTTTGATTAAAAAAAATCCGTCCGAACTGCAAATAAAAAAAAATCTTTTTTCTTTTTTTACCTAGGCAGTGTGGGCGGAGATATTACATAGGTAGATGAGATTTTTAAAACTTTTCCTTAACCGGAAGTTCAGGGAAAAATTGTCCAGTAACGAAGATAGGAAGATAAATTGTCACGAGTCTTTAACATGTTACACGGAAGATCGTGATAGGTGTCGTTCTTTAATCTCTTAACCGTCTATGAACAGCCGTCTGTCCTCGAATATATATATATATATACATATATATTTGCTCACGATGTTTGTCACGTGATTAT